ACAGTGTATTGCCGCAAAATAGCAGCATTAAATAAATAAGCAGCAAAAAATTGATACAACATACAGCAGCGAAGGAGAAATAGAGTAGTCCACCTAAACTGACTTTAAAAGAACTTTGACTGCTTTAATCAACCAAAAGAAGAACAGGGACAGTGACCCTGATAAGCCGGGCACTTTGTTCTGTAGATTGTTAGGTATTTATTAAGGTTGGGTAATTACCAGATAAGATGGTTTAATAACTGCTAGTTAACAGCTGATCTTCTGTAGAGATACCAACGATGATAGTAATGCAACGCTTATTCCCAGACATATGTAACATAAACAGGAAATATCTTTTTTTTTTTTCAGATGAGAATGAGCAACAGGCGCTGGACAAAGACATGATGCCCAACGGTGGGAAGGCAAAAGGACTGTTCAGCAAGTCCAGGAAGTCCAAGCAAGTGCTCACGACCAGAGGTACGTCTCCACAGACGTTGTTTCTCTCTCATCAAGTCTGAGCCGCCATTTCAGAAAGGCCTCAGTGAGATGCCTCCGAGGGTCAAGTCAAGTCAAGTCATTTTATTTTGTATAGCCCAGAATCGCAAATTACAAATTTGCCTCAAAGGGCTTTACAGTCTGTACACATACATCATCCTCTGCCCCGAAACCCACCATCGGCACAGGAAAAACTCCCCAAAAAATGAAAAAACCCTTACAAGAGGGAAAAAAGGGAAGAAACCTTAGGGAGAACGTCAGAGGAGGGATCCCACTCCCGGGATGGACAGACTACAATGGATGCCATGTGTACAGAATGAACAATGTATAATACATGCAATTCCTATGACAGAAATGATTCAAGTAATTGTGAGTAGTACAGTGAGTAGTGAGTAGTGAGGGTGCAATCCAAAAATATGGTCCCTTAACGTTCCACTCCGAAGAGCAGCCCTTTAACACTCGCTCGGTCCGTCTCCACATCCCTCACTCACACACGCATGGAAACACACACGGATGAGCTTCATCCTGGAAAGACTTTAGTGGTCGATAGTGTGCAATCTGGATCCGACTCGTTGGAACGCTGAACGTGAGAGTTGTCTGTTTCGGATGATGTAGAGTCGGCTCTTAATGGTTATTGGCACTCAGTTTCCCATCTTACTCAAGTCTCTACACGTCCCTGATGAATAGGATTGAGTTCTACTCCCCCTCTCCCTCATCCACTCCTCATTTGTTGTATCTTTTTCTCTCTCAGTGTCCGTGTGCGGCCCTCCGCTCCAGCAGGACGACAAGATGAATGAGAAGCTGTTGGAGGCCAGTTCTCAGTTCAAGAAGAAACAGCCTAAAGGCACCATCGATGTGTGGTGGCTGTTTGATGACGGAGGTATGATGATATGAGGATCCCTCATGATTCTCATGAGACAGTCACTGGCTCCTTGATACTTTTGCGGGCAGCATGGAAGGGATAAACAAAGAATTAACAACAATGGAAAATTAAAATAGTAGCTAAAAAATGACAATAAACTATAAGTTATAAACGTCGGATGTGGTATCAGTTGAGCCCTGGCTGAAGTTTCATCTGTAATGTAAAATTACCAGGATACATATTGAACAATAGCACCAATTGCAATGTCTCTCAGGTCTCACCCTGCTGCTCCCGTACATCCTTACCACCAGGAAGAAGTGGAAGGACAGTAAACTGAGGATCTTCATCGCAGGGCAGCCTGGACGCTGTGAACAGGACAAGCAGGAGTGAGTCAAAAAATACAATATAGATTTGATCTTAAAGCTAGAGTTGTTAAGTTCTTTATTCCGGGTTCATCGTGTCACATTCTAGACTGGTTTGCACAGCTGCCGACACTGTATAGCAACCCAAAACAAAGGAAGAAGCAAAGCATTTCAGAGATGTGGAAAAAGTATCGTTATTGGCGCCCAAAGGCTCATGGCGGCAGCTAGCCGAGGCTAATCTATTAGCTATATTTTCCTCTGTTTGCCTAATAGTTTGCTATCGGTTTTACAATCACAAACGGGATGACGTATTAAGTTAATGATTACTCTTCAATGGATGATGTTTACAACATGAACCAATGCATGAAGTGCATTATTAAGCTCATGCTCGCCTGCTTGGAGGCTCTGACAGGTTGGAGAGAGCTGCAGGTTGTGGAGTATATTTTCTGTTTCCGCCATTTCCAAAAGAGTGCCTACTCTGGGGTACCAATTGAATTACAATATGAAGAAAGGTCATTATGGAATGATGCCATAAAGTATATACTTCATACCCCAGCTTTTAATTAATTGTGAAAATCCTGATCTGAAGTTTCATAAGCCAACAACATTTAGCATTAACTTCAAATAAATATCATCATATATATAATGGTTCTTCCGTGTGTGATCGTCTGTCTGTCTCTCAGGATGAAGTCTCTGGTGGAAAAATTCAGAATTAACTGCACGGACATCAATGTCATTGATAGCATCAACGTCCCGCCGAGCGCTGACAGGTAATTGACGGTTGTGAGAGCAACAGCGGACCAGATGTTGCTGCGGATACAGTCAACTTCAATCACCTCAGAGTATCTGCATGTTATGAGAATACAAAAATGGATATTTTCCAGATTCAGCTCATGCTCTTATCTGCTTCCTTCCAGCTATAAGAAGTTAGAGGACATGATTGAGCCTTTCTGCCTGCATGAGGCGTCTAGAGACACCGCTCAGGCTGGAGCCATGAGGAAAGAGCACCCCTGGAAAATCACCGACCAAGAGCTGAGCACCTTTGAGGAGAAGGTAAAACCACTGACATTTGGTATTTTGGTTTGAAGCTCTATGAGTTTGTAAATGAACTGTTGGAAAGTAAACGCTGCTGTTTTACAGACCAACCTCCAGGTACGACTGAACGAGGTGCTTCAGGAACACTCTAAATCAGCCAATCTGATCATTGTGTAAGTACAGCCAACTGTCGCCTGCATAACGCGGAAGCTTTGTACAACATATCGGTGTTTCTAACGCGCTCTCCGTGTGCCGTCACCCCCTGCAGGAGCATGCCCATTGCTCGTAAGGAGTCTGTCTCGGATTTCCTCTACATGGCCTGGCTGGACATTCTGACAAAGGACCTCCCGCCCACCCTGCTCATTAGAGGCAACCACAAGAGTGTCCTAACGTTCTACTCCTGAGCACCACGCATGTATCAGCTAACCTTTAAATGAGATTAATGGAAGTACGACAATTGTGGACCGTGTCCATCAAGCGCACCAGACCCTTGTTGTTTAGGCCAACGATATAACACACAAGCAGTTTCAGTCAACCCTGATGAAGGCATTCACACTGACGGTGCTAAGACGAAAAAGTGCAAGAAATATTTCAAAAGAAAACACAGAAAAGTTGGTCAGCTGGTGTATACCTAAAAAATCGTTTTCAGACACAGCAAAATATTTACCCATTACCAGTTTTCATCACCTTTGTCCGGACTGTGCCTTTTCCGTGTGGCAAGTTTTGCCAGTGTGCCAGTAGACTGTGTGGCTACCGGTGTAATTTCTCAGGGTTTTGTATGAATGCCGCCAGTAAGGAACAAGGAACTAGTTTTAATAAAGAAAAATGTATTTTTGACATTCCGCTTGTAACGTCTGAATGTAAAATTAGGAGCTCCGGCAAAGTTTAACCTCTTTGGAGTACAGGAAAAAAGGTGCAATGCTCAGATTGTTAATGTATATATAAAACGAAAAGCTAATTATTTTTGGTTTGGAACAAAGTTTGACCAAACGTCTTTCTAACTAAGAACAGCCGAGAGAACAAAGCCAAAGACACAAAGCTTCTTTTCAATGGTTTCACTGCGTGACTTTGTTGCCTGCTAAAATAAATGTACATAGTAGATGTTTCTTAAATGATTGAGTCCATTGTTTTAATGGTTCCATTCATTTTGAAGCATTCCTTGATATTCACTGGGTTTATAATATTCATCTGTTTCACCGTTTGACATTGTGCAGGCTACTGTTTAAATATTTAAATACGTTTAATGTTAATACCACAACACATGTTTTGTTTAAGGAAAATGGAAAAAAACTATTTTTCTGTAAATTGTGCCATGTTCTTCTTCCTTGTAATTATATCATCTTGATTACATCGTATGAAGAAATAAAAAAATGTTGAGCTGCTCAGATTCTTGTCTTGTCTGTCATTTATTCGGTAAGTTGTTGAGATAATGTCAGATATTGTTTTTCTACAGAAATATGTCAGGATACTGGTAACTCGCTTGTGACACAAACTATTGTACCTTACTTGAGTACTTTCATTAGCTAAAACTATCATTATAAATATTTGTAAAAGTGTGTTCAATATCACCACTGATGTTCAAACTTGCTGACTCAATATTTTAGAATCTGACTTTATCTTAAGTGATAGAGTTTAAGGAGAAAGTTGTTAAAAGTCAATATAATGATTAGATTGTATAATTAGGAGCAGATAGAAACATTATTAATACAAAGGTAAATAGCATAGCAATGTGCAATGTTTTTTCAGTGTCTTTTGGTTATTGATTCTGTTCTATCTTTCGGGCCAAAGGTAGAAAGATGACAAGACAAAAATGCATAAATCTCTTTCCAGCTTTCTGTTTATAACAATGCTCTGGCCAAATGTCCACGCAATGCACCTTTGATGATCTTGGATATCTAATGCATAAGTGCACGAACAGCTTCTAGTTTACCTTTCATTATTTCAGTTTTGTTTTTACAAATGAGTAAACGAACCAATCGCTGCACATTCAACGGTAAGCGCGATATCAAGTGTTCTCGATATTCCGACTCCCCTTTGCCGCAGTGCACGGCCCTGAAGAAGACCCCTGACTCAGTGTTGGGGAGAGGGAGAGAGAGAGAGAGAGAGAGAGAGAGAGAGAGAGAGAGAGAGAGGGAGGAGGAGCTGCATTGAAGGAAGGAGGCGGAGGAGGAGCTGCATTGAAGGAAGGAGGCGGAGGAGGAAGAGGAGGTGCAGCGCATCAGCTGAGAGGATGTTAGCGCTAAGTTAGCTGTTAGCTTGTAGACGACGTTAGCTGTAACTATGACACGAACGCTGCTGAGACTAAGGGGTCTTCAGCGACAATGTTCTGCGGTTTTTCATTCTCCACGTCTCATAGGGAGGGACTTTCGTATTCAGACGCTTACTCTAAACAAAGGCAAGCGAGTTATTAGGATGGATAACGTTACCTTTAGCATTAGCGACATCTCAAGTGCTTATTGTTGTTGTTAGCTTTGCTAGCCTGCCTACTATGTTGTACTCAAAGCGGCTCTGGTTTTAGTGCTCTGCATTATGTATCCGTCATGCACTTTGACGTAAAGACAGCCAACACTACCTCTGCATTATTCTGGTGCAATGCGTAAGTAAAGCGAGGCTTAACTTTACACACATACTGCATTATGACATTATTTCAATAGAGGTTAACGTTAACGGAAGTCTCGCGAGAACACGTTGTCATGCGACGTGATGACGAAAGGGTTTCCATAGTTACACAGCTTACTTACTTTCTTGCCGATTTAACGTTAACGTTGTATATAACAAAATATGACACCTCCATCTAGATTAGCACATGTCAATGTAGTATGTGACAGTTATGTATAAATGTGTATGGGCGCCTAAAGCTGCATTTCATCACGTTTTTTTGGAGGAGGAGGGGCTAATTTGGCGGACTTTCGGCGCGGGATATTTGATTCAAATACTGGACCCACCGGCGCAGAAGCTTCTGAACTCTCCAGTGGTCCAGTTGTGTTACCATTCGGCTCGGAAATAACTCGTATTTTGTCCGTCTAAGTATATCGGTGTACTCTCCGTCTTAACCGTGAGCCCTTTGCCGACATGCCCGTCCTAGAAGTCACCGGAGTTACTGATGCATCGGCTGTTTCTCCCTCGAAGAGGCCAAAGACCGAGACAAAGCCCGCGGAAAATGGAGCCGTCCTCAGGTTTGCAAAGCTCTCTGAGCACGCCACGGCCCCCACCAGAGGCTCGACGAAAGCAGCGGGATACGATCTCTACAGGTCGGTTTATACGTTTAATTCATACGACGTTTAGGTCTGCTGATTCAATTAATGTGAGCAGCGTATGGTTTTTGGATTTAAATGTCCGTATGATTCAAAAACCGATCGCATGTTCTTTTAACGGGACGTTTTTAACGCCCATGTGTGATTCGTGTGATCGTAAAAGTCACTTCAGATGTTTGTGAACGTGCAACGTCAGCTTGTGCTCGGACAAAAATGGTGCATTCAAGTGCAAACCTGAGCCTTGTGCTGTATAAAGCAGTGTATTGTATGACGACATGTGTGGACCAGCTGACCACAACCCTCTGAATTGAAACAGTGCGTATGACTACACCATCGGCCCCATGGACAAGGCCATTGTGAAGACGGACATCCAGATCGCAGTACCACATGGCTGCTATGGGAGAGTGGGTGAGTGTTTGGACCCGCTGATGCAACTCTTGCACTGCGTGTTTTTCCCGCTTTGTGTCCTTTTGCTCATTGCACGTGAGAACAGCAGCTGCTAAATGTGTCTGTCCGTTGTGTGATTCCTCAGCACCGAGGTCTGGACTGGCAGCGAAACACTTCATCGATGTTGGCGGTGAGTCTTTGCAGTCTTTTTGATCTGGTTCTGATAAGAACGCACGTGAGGTTTTTTAACACTTGAGACAACCAGTCATTTAAATTTTTCCTGCGTGTTCTCCTCAGCCGGAGTCGTAGATGAAGACTACCGAGGAAATGTGGGAGTTGTGCTCTTCAACTTCAGCAAGGACTCTTTTGATGGTGAGTCGTGGCGTCAGTGAAATACATCGTCACCTTGTATAAACAATCCCAGAAATAGATCACCAATAGATTCTATTAATGAGGCCGGAGCCATAATATCCATGCGTTTTGTTGTCTTTTCTGGAGGAATGTGATACCATAAGGCAAATTATTGAGTTGTATTTGTTCCAGCAGCTGGGGGAGTTGATATGGCCGAATAAACAAGGGTTGTTGCATTTCTATTTTGCTGTCTTTTGTAAATTATTCACTTATTTTATGCAACACAACTTGCTATAACTCATCTGAAATTAAAAATAATTAAATGTGTTGCTATGTTGTAGAGCTTTTTGAATCCTGTACGGACTTTATATTAAGACTAAAGATATTGAAAATGGTTTTATACCTTTTTTAACTAAAATGTTTGTTTCTGAAATCCCTTATTGCCTCTCACGTTTCTTTCCCTCTTTCCAGTGAAAAAGGGCGACCGAGTTGCTCAGCTGGTGTGTGAGAGGATCTGCTACCCAGATCTGGTGGAACAAACGGTAAACTGCAGGTTAAATAATCCTCAAACGATCATGTATAGAGACTCTGTTTCCAGTTTATTGGGTACACTGAGCTCAAACCAATGAAGTTTAATACAGTGGTCCGCCAATAAATCCGTCCCTCCTGACCGCTCAGTGTCCAGTGTTTGTCAGCTGTGCTGGCGAGGTGTTGGTTTAACTTAAGGGTCATTTTGGACGTTTTAGTTTGTAGAACCACAAACTATTCTGTGAAAGGATCATTCCGTTGAAGCAACGCCTCAACACAGTTGAGCTATTTATCTCCTTTACGTATGCTTAAAACTGACAACTGGGTGTACTCAACCTATTTCAAGTCAAGTGTTTGGCTTTATGTGATGTCATCGGATAAATGTTAATCATGATTTCATGGCTGTGTTCTTTCAGACGCTCGATGAGACGAAGCGTGGTGCTGGAGGTTTTGGATCGACTGGACGCAACTGAAAACTAAATAATCCAAATGTTACTGTTGTACATATATTGATTTTGTGAAAATAAAGTTATTTTATACTTTGGAGAGTTGAGTATTTTTTACTGGGACTGTTGTAGTCTGACCTGCTGGAGTAAAATAAATCGTCCACACGGGGGCCGTGCAGGACAAGAATCGCGTTCCAGCCTAATAAGTAAATGAACACCCTAAACATGTAAAGCTCATACGTTTCCATTTAACTAATGTGATTCTCACTAAAACATTCAGCGATTTCTAACAAAGCTAGCAGCTTTTAGTTTAAATTTGTGCCATTAATTGTTGAATCTGGATAAAGTAGAAGTTACAGCAGTGAATACATATACACCAAACATGTTTTTATTGTGAATTTACAACTAAACCCTCACTGATGTGAACACAGACTGATGTCCGGCTGGTCCGTGGCAATGGAGCACTGATTCTATTTTGTGAGAGTGTTTGGCCACGAAAGACCTCAGTGCATAATCATGAAGGCCCAGGTTTGGCGTCATCAATGTGTGTGTATATGTATACACAGTTTACAAAGGAAGTAGTTGGTCATTATAAGCACCATTACAAACCCCTCTATTCCAGGGGCTTCCCCTAGTTAACAAATGCTTCATAGATTAAAAGTGGCATCGATTATTACAGTATAAACACAATTTACATGTAGTATAGAGGAGCGCGGACAGGCTACGCGGCGAGCTGTTACTGTTGCAAGGACATGAAATCTTCAGGCTGACCAATGGGATTGTGTCGTTGACTACTGAGTTTTGTGTAGTAGTACAGTGCATGTGTAGTTTGTGGACGTGTTCGGCTAGCACCAGTAGATAGGAATTGTTCTAGTCAGTAGGAAAGATGGAAAAGCCTAATTTAAATAAGCAGTTGGGAGTCATTCAAGCTCAGACACGGCTACATCTCAATAGTCCAGAGTGGGTTCCTTTCCTCTCCTAAACATTCTCATAATTTAATCTACGCTCCATTAAATTAACATCATGGGAAGGAGAAACGTGTTCACTTTCGTGTATCCAGGTTGGTTTAGTTGTTTTCCCTGGGGGGGGGAGGAAGTGAATTTTATTGCGGACTATTGGGACTCACCCTTCCACCGAGGCGGGGTTCTAAAAAGAAAAGAAAAAAAAAAAACTCAGCCTTTAGAGCTTTCTGCAGTCCTCATGCCCTTCAAAGTGGCACCTGATTCCACATATCGTCGCACAACACCAAACCGTACAATTAAAAACCACTCACATTCTCAACAGTGCTTCACACACAGCTGAAGTCGTGTGTCGGGGGGGGGGCAACATGTTCTTCATTTTGACTGAAATCTGTCACACTGCCTCATTCAGCTGGCGTTTTGCACCAACATTTTAGCTAGGATATGTAGAATCATCTTTGGCAATCAAACGATGCAGTCCCCCCCCTCCCCCCTCCCCATCCCATCCCATCCTATTCCCCTCCCTCCCCTTCCTTGTCTCTTTGGTGGCGAGCCGTTCCGCCTGTGGGAGCGGGTGGAAGTTGCCTCTAACCGCTGATCCAGAGTCAGGGATGTTTGGCGTTTGGCGTATCGTGAGCCTGTCGCTGGATCAGCCGCCGCCGACAACATCCGCCGGGTCTCAGTCCCGTGGCGGTTAATGGAGGACGATCTGCACCCTCATCTTCAGTACGTCTCCCAGCTGTCCAGTGAGGTAGTCTTTATCGTGTCGGTCCTCCAGCGCCGCCAGCTCCTCCTCCCTGTAGAGGGGCACGCTGCTGATCTGCAGGGAGTACGCCCCCGGGGGGAGGGCCTTCTTCTTGCTCAGGTGCAGGTAGCTGACGCCCTCGCGCTGGTTGATCTTGAAGTAGCCCCCTTCGTTTCCGTAGTCGATGCTGTAGCGCACGTGGTCGCTGAGGGCGGAGAGGGCCGGGGTGAACTGCAGGATGTGGGCGCGGCTCCCGAGGTCGCTGACGTTCAAGTGGAGGCGCAGAGTGTCCTCGACGTCCACGCTGGCCAGGCTGACCATCTCCTTCTCGGCCGGCTGAGGGGAAGAAGAACGCGGTCCAACCGTTAAGTGGATGTAGGACGTGTGTTCTACTGCACAGAACGTTTTCTGTCGTTAATCCAGCAAGGGAAAGGAACAAGTTGTAACTGGAACAAGTTGTTGTTTGTATCCATGACAAGTCCAAAATCTAATTGCTTCCTCATTTGAACCTTTTAGATCCTGCTAGGACACTGTCAATTTGAAGGGTTCTCAATGAGTCAGATTTCGTGGACATCATGTGTCGTCCCGTGTTGTGTGCTCATGGTGAGCAACAATGTCAAATAGATTGATACCAGCCCAAATACGCAATACAAAGCTAAGCTCGTCTATCACACTAAGGGCGTGGTGATCTGTTAAGATATTGTTTTCATAAAAAGCGCTCTGTGAATCGCCGGAATGAAACGGAAATTTTCAGAATTAGCGTTTGAATTCTTGAGTTATTGTCAAAAACATGTTTTGTGAGGTTGCAGTAACCTTGTGCTACCAAATTTTAATCAGTTCATCCTGGAGTTGCCAAATTTGAATACGTTCTGTCAAGGCTTTCCTGGGAGGATGGGACGCACGAAAACCAGAAAACTTTCTCTGGCTCACTCGGGGAATAAAAGATTTTAGTGACGCATTGAGTCATTGAGCTGATACCACCCACAGAAAGATCTGAGCGGAAACTAAAAGGAATGTTTCAAAACACGTTTCTATGATCAATACATTTCATGATTCAGATGTTTGTGGCCACATTTTATTTCCCAACATAAATATCAAAAGGCTTTTCCCACACTACCAGGGACAAAATCTTCAGGGTCAATTCGAAATCTTTTCCCTCCATTTGTTTATTTCATCGTTGGCCCGAAAGTAGGACAATCCACGCACATTGTGAGAGCACTGGACTAAATTGAACTAATCTTCATCGGTTGAATATGAATGCGTCCTCGTTGCTCACAGATTACCTGCACGTCCTGCTGCGGCTCCTCCTGCGTGGAGTTGCTGCTGCGCCGTTTGCGTCCCTTCTTGGGGTAGCCGTTGATCTTGCATTCGTAGCAGGCCTCGGGGGACAGCGAGTTATCGTCCACCTCGCCTCCCTCCCCGGCCCCGGAGTCTCCCCCGGTGAAGCCCAGACCCGTGACGCAGTGCCTGAAACGAAGACAAAGGCCGACTGTCAACCGGAGACGTCTTCAAGGTTAAGGGGTGGGGGGGTTTCTGCTGCTCCGCTCACGTACCCTTGTCCCGCACGGAAGTACCCCGCGGGACACCCGCACAGGTAGCCCCCGTCCGTGTTGGAGCAGCCGAACTTGCAGGGGTTGTGGCTGGTGGAGCACTCGTTGACGTCGGAGCACCCGCCGCCCGTCTGCTCGTAGTTGAAGCCGGTGGGGCAGAGGCAGCGGAAGCTCCCCAGGGTGTTGTGGCACGACGCCCCCCCGCAGATCTGGCTGTTCTGGCACTCGTTCTCATCTGGGTCACAGGAAGTCGCACGGGAAGCGAAAACAAAACGAGAGGTCATTTTCCGGTTAAAGGACACAAACAATACTGGGAGAGTCTTCTGTGAACGTCGTAAATATGGAATATGTGGGGAGATTCAAACTAAAAATAAATGTTTGGCTAACAAAAGCGCTTTATTTCGGAGGCATCACACAGACGCGCACACACGGTACCACACAATCACTTTGTGTATGCTGGAACTATATCAAGCTGCACCAACAGTTTGGTCTCGCTTTTCATTACTCCCACAACATCTCTAACCACCACCACCAGAGCATTTTGTTTAAACATAACATGTCCTTTTCTCATGACCTTACCACAGAAGGAGAAGGGTCAAACCTCCACAGGAAAATAAAAACATATTTGTATTCCAAGAGTGGCAGGAAAAAAAAAAAGAAGGCTCCCGGCCTCCAATCCCAAACGCCGAGGCTGCGCAGTTCATACTGCGACCGCGTCATCGGGCTTCCCCAAACGGAAACCCTTTTTCTATTTACTCACCCACACACTGGTTCCACTGGTAGTGCTGTAGGTATCCCTGTGGACAGCTGCACCTGTATCCACCCACCAGGTTCTGACAGCCATGCTGACACCGGTGGTTGCCGTCGCACTCGTCCATATCTGTCAGCGGCACAATGACACAGTAAAATGAAACAGTCAGAGCCTGCTCTTTTTTTTCCTCCCCTGCAATCAGCTGATCCCGGTGGTTGGTAATCAAACGGTCGTCAGACCTTCACATGCTTGTCCGTTGGGATCCAATGAGAATCCCCGCTGGCAGTCGCAATTGAAGCTTCCCGGAGTGTTCTGGCAGGCGCCGTTGGAGCCGCACAGATTGGGGTCGGACGCACATTCATTGTTGTCTGCACGCAGAGGAGGGAAGGTTCAGACGAGGGTGAAATGGGGACACTTGACGTAAAGGGTGATTAAAACACTGATTTGGGTGTGCAGTCATTAGACATTGTCCTTCTAATAGGACAGGTCCACTATGGGCCGGTGGCACAAATGATCTCACAGCCTGCAGGGGTTTAAGAATACAGTCTCTCCCCTACTGTGAGGGGGAAAGCTCATTCTTTCATTTATTTTGTCCAACACCATGATATATGACTGTGTAAACTGTTCAGCGACGGCGATAAAAGAGAAGATTGTCAACTGCTGATCCTGCGTCTTTTTACAGTCACCACATGTGTTCCCAGATTTAGATATTTGCTTGTTGATGCATTAAAAAAAAGCGTAGATGGAAGGTCTAATTTTCCAAGTATTGCTTTAGAGGAAGCAGCACTATTCTAATGGAAAGAGACACATCGTTCTTAACAGCAGCAGATGTAACCGAGAGAACACAAGGATCTCACAATCAGTATTTACCAAAAAGTATTCAGATCAACAACAGCCTGTTTGGACGATGGGAGTTTTAGTGTCCTCCACTAAAACACGTCAGCAATAGTTACTGATATATGTGGATATTATGTCACACCCACGTTTCTCAAACCTCCTGACTCCTAAATTAACACACGCCCACACCTAATGTGTGTCATTTGCCCCGTGTTATTCCGATGGTCAAACTGAGGGTTCCCTGTGCCTAATTTAATGTGAGGTCATGGGAGCCGTTTTATGGTCTGGAAAAAAAAAAAAAAAAAAAAAAAAAAAAAGATTATAGTTGTCATGGCGATCCACTGCAAAGTTCCATAACAAAACATTGCTAAGCTGCCATGACTCCAAACCAGTCCAGCCTAATACGATCAGTGTGGTATCAGCCAGAGTCCATTAACTCTGAAGAAGAGTTTGTAAAGATTAAGGTCGTTCAGGGGACTTTATGAACTTGGCAGGAAGACACTATATGAAAGGATACCATTCTTTGTGCATATCACATTATATTGGAGCGGAGGCTGAATTAGTTCAAATGTATAATGCATAATGAGCATTTCTGATTAGTATAAGTATTTGTGCGTGCAGAGTGATATGTATATTGTGCATTTGTTGATTTACCGATGCAGGCCGTGTGATGCTGGGTGAAGCCGGCGGGACATTTGCAGGTGAACCCGCCGATGGTGTTCACACACAAGAACTGACAGTTGTGCTGTTTGGTCGAACACTCATCCAGATCTGAAAAGAAAGAAGGGTTTTACCACATTAAGCTGACTAAACGTTCTACAGAAGAGTTCAAACTGCTCAGCAGTTTATGTAGTTCACCTAGGATACTGTTCTGGATCACTAGTAATGTTTGGACGCTGCTCGTTTCTTGTGAGTTTAATTTCCAGTCCTTCTACAGTCACTGACCTACAAGTGAACTGCAAACGAACCACACACCGGAAACACGGAGGGGACCGTGGAGTGGGAAACTAAAGCCACGGTAAATAAAGATGAAAGAGGACCTGAAAAAGCTGAACACCACGAGCGAGCTTGTTTAGACTCGCAAACAAGCCGAATAAACGGAGACAGGCTGCGGTTGCAAGGCTACACGCTCACGAAACAAACACGTGCGCATAGACACGGCGGGCCGAGGGGAGCCGATCCCTGGCAGGGGGCCCGACCCACTCGGCAACGCCGTGGCTGTGGCCGGGGAACAGAGTCGAGCATGACATACACTGTTGTTGTCCTCGATGGGAAAGAGAGCATGGGGCCCTCATTGCATGCACACGTCACTAAATTCGATCTGAGTCGCACTGGGCCCAACGTGGGCTCCTCTCCACTATGCAGATGTCCTGTGTGTGTGCGTGTGTGTGTGTGTGTCACCTCGGCAGCTCTTTCCATCTTCCTGTAGGATGTATCCGCGGGGGCAGGAACAGAGGTAGCCTCCCTCTGTGTTCTTACAGATAAAGTTGCAAGGCTTCGGTGCCTGTATGCACTCATCCACATCTAGACAGAAAGGGAAGGAGTAATGGTGAGACGGCGAGGGAGAGAAAGGAAAGGAGAGTTTGATCCCGCGGCCAGAAATTCCAGCGGTGGAGATGATGAGACGGACAGAGCCGGGCTGCATTTTTCTGAAGAGTGTGTGTGGGCGGTCTGCCCACGTGGTCTCAGCTCTTTACTAGACAGCAGGACTGAGAACGGGAGGGAGAGAGCCCATGCAGTGTTGAGTGCTGGAGGTGAACGTAAGCCTCACCCACACACTGGGTGCTGCTGATGTCAGTGCTGTAGCCGGGCTTGCAGTTGCAGGTGTAGGAGCCCAAAGTGTTGAGACACTGGCCGTTTTTGCACAAGTTGCCCATCACGCGACACTCGTCAATATCTGGACGGAAACAAGAAATGTTTGCTCCGGATATAATAAAATAATAAATAATAAAATATTCAAAGTGAAAATCAATGTTTTGAATAAATTGAGTTTTGGGCTAATTTAAAGAAATGTGTACAACACGTCTTTTTTGATTTTTATTTAAACTAAAGTCTCTTCAGCAGTAATATACCTCTGCCATCAGTGGTGAACCCCGGTCCCAGGGGACACATCTTCTTGTACTGAGTAGTCCCGGGCAGAGGACACAGCTCACAGTTGGTTCCCCAGCCTCGGCCTCCATCACAGCAGCACTCTGACTTGGTCACCAAGTTCCTGTTACTAGAAGTCATCTGACACAGAGTGGTCAGAACCTCCGTGAAACAGAAGCCCTCGCGGTTATCTGGACCGGGAGGAGGAGGGGATGGAGGGAGGGTGGGTGGGTAGATAAACGAACATAAGAGCAAGACAATCAGTCAGTCAAACAAAGAAATGGGCCGGAGGGAAGCAGACCAAACCACCCAGACAGGAGCTGGTCCGAGAGAGCCAGACGTAAAATAGATAAGCCACACGGCCCTATCGCCGCTGTCTGTGAGGAGTAAGATATCGATAGATAAGCCAGAGCACCACAGAGAACCTGGTGGTTTTCTCACCGCGCTCGGCACATCTATCCAGGAGTGTATATTTAGATAGGAGGGAGGCTTTGAAAGGATTTCCTCTCTCAGATCTTGACAGTAACAGGCATGTTTTTTACAAGGCCGTGAAATGGCTCAATTAACTTTGCGATTTATTTGTACTTCACCTCGTTAGCCAGGATGCAATACCATTAAATATATATTAAAAGCAGACAATGGCGGAGTCAAACTCATATATGTATTAATTCTTGTGAAAGATTGAGTGATATATCTTTTTTATATTCATAAAACCCATCGCTGTGACTGTAACTTTGTCAGCGGACTCTGAATTCAGATGAGGGTTGAGCCCAGTGAACACAGCACAACACACTAGCAAGCTGTGTAAATGGTGAACAACGTACGTACCGATACATTCGGTCTGCGTGGGGTTGGCGACGAATCCTTGGTCACATCTGCAGCGGAAGCTTCCCACCGTGTTCTCACAACGGCCATTCTTACATACAGCCGGTTTGGCTAAACACTCATTCAGATCTAACACAGAGAAACACATGAACACATTTAAGTCAAATGAAGATAAAGTAGTAGTTCAACCAGGAAGTCCACAGATCCACACACTTTTTACACACAAACAGGGACAAAGCCGATAATAAAAATCCATCATCTAAAACCTTGATATCAGTAATTTAAACATTTAAACTGTGAAATACAGAATACACAAATATGTCTGTATATTGTTCCAAAAAAGTGCATGAGTGAGAAGAGATTTATATCACTCAAAGTAAAGCCGAGATCGAAGTCCATCAACCAGAATGATGGTTCATGCCTTCTTCGGTCGGAGACTCTGATAATCTTACCCATGCAACCGTCTCCGCCGGGCTGCCGTGTGTAACCAGGGGAACAGATGCACATATAGGTGCCGATCAGGTTTTTGCAGGTCATGCCTCTGCTGGCGCAGTCATCTATACCGTCCTCACACTCATTCTGATCTGGAAAACAGACACATTTCTCAGAGTTAAAACAATGCAGGAGTTAGAAAATGTGTGTGCATGCACGTGTATTCATGCACAAGACACAGGAACAAATTCTTTCTACAGGCCGTCTCCCCTTAATCAGACATCCTGCACCTCCATTTGCACTTTCCCTTAATTTCACTGTTGTTGTATACATGTTTGTTATGTTCCTATGTGTACAGTATATAGCTGATTCTGATTCTGATGCGAAGCACACAAGTGGTGTAACGCGGCAATCATAGAAACCGCAGCACTTAGGAGTTAAATGTGACCACCCGATGCACCACGGAGCTCTGCAGCGCTGACAGGCGTGCAGAGGGGAGGGCCGGTGGTCTGTTTGAATCTCCAATGTAAACAGTGACGCTACAGACACTGACAAGTTCCTCCTGTCTCAGCGCTTCCCTCCAAATACAATCGTTGCTATGGCGCCCGAGCTATCTGAGAGAGTGGAGGTGTAAACAGTGACTCGGTTTTAAGTTTGTTCCGAGACAGAGGACTCTCCAGCCGGAGATAGTGTGTTACGTGACTTTATGGACGGGGCCACCATGTCTCTATGAGGTACTTTGTTTATTTTCTACCAACACTTTCCAGTAAATGGACCATGACTAACGAAGCAGGCAGCACGAGTGAGTCATTTTGCTGTAGTACCTTTACACATCCTCTTGTCCTCGCGCAGCACGTAGCCGGTGGGACACTTGCACTCGTACGAGCCCACCACGTTAACGCATCGGAAGGCGCACAGTAAAGGATTCTGGGAGCACTCATTGATGTCTGGACGAGGAATAGAAGGTGGAAGTTGTTGCACGGTGCTAAAAAGACATGATGAAAGAGAGAGCGCGGGCGTGTGTTCACGTACCTTCACAGGTCATCATTGGCCCAGGCTCAAAGCCGTCCTCGCACGCGCACTCAAAGCCACCAATGACGTTGTTGCATGTGCCGTTTCCGCAGGGATTGCCAGCGGCACACTCATTAGTGTCTGCAAGGAAGTTACAAACAGCACTTTAGTGAACATCTAAAAGGCGAGCGAATCAACGAGAGTTCAACAGAGACAGAGAGAAGAGGAAGACGAGGATGGGAAGACATCAAGTGAACTGGCCTTCGCACTGGACTTTGCTGGTGTCCAGATGGTATCCCATGGGACATTCACAGCGGAAGGAGCCGTCTATGTTGATGCACTGGCCGTTGATGCAAGGGTCATTGAGGCATTCGTCAATGTCTGCGATTAAAAAAAACATCAACACCAGATGAATTACGTTCCACATCTTTAACATGTAGATGTAGGACGGTGAAGGTCCAGTGGTAATGACGCACATACCTTTTGGGCGGTCGTCTGGCCCCTGTTGATACCCCTCATTGGGACAAAGGAGAGGATAACCGTCTAGAACCACGAGATGGGAAAAGTCATGAATAATCGCAGAATTCCCATGTGTTTCCCTACATGCGTGTCAACATGGTCGTGGTTGTCTTTTCAATGCAATTTTTGTCATCTGATTGGACCTGGGCTTGCGTGGTAGGCCACAGCTAGCGTAACCTAGCGTAGCCAGAGGTATGGTCATCGTCTTTCGCCCACAGAGTTCCTCTCGTGAGTGAGAGGAAGGAGCAGGAGACCCGGGGCTGGATCACAAGTGAGTGTTAAGTAACTGCTGATGAAATACAAACATTTCCTGATTTTGCTGAATTAAACCACAGGGATCTTTGTGAGGAGAGGAAAAGTGTCACCAAATCAGTGGGCCTGTGTTAGCATCTTTCCTACTGCAGTGCACAGAGGAAGAAACAGCAAAGATAAAGTGGGACCTTTATAGAATTGATGGAAAATGAAATGCCATTTTGCATAAAATCCATCTGATCACCAAACTGTGGACACAGCGCATCTGTTGACAAAAGTCGCGCTGACAAGAGAAACGTTAACCCGCGCCATTGTACATATGAGGGAATACGTACCCTCTCCCTTGGTGGGGCAGATTTCACAGGGATCTCCCCACCCTTGACCTGGCATCCCAGTACAGCAGCATTCTTCCTTAGACGTGAGCTGAGGCTTTGGAGCCAGGCAGCGGCCGTTTTCGAACTTGGTATAGCAGGAGTTCACACGGATATCTGGGGGTTGATACACAGATGACAAAAATAGGGAAAAATTAGAAGGGGAGAGACTGAAAGAGGAGCGAATTGTGAGTTCAGTGTTACGCTCACCTGTGGGTGTTGTAAATTGACCCGAACTACAGCTTTTCTTTTAAAGTATTTATATTTAAAAACCACATTTTCACATTTTTTGGTGAAGTATTTGCACCGAGGAGGGCGCATGGCTAATTATCCTGAATGATCTGTATGCCAATATTTCTCCCTACTTCTGAGGGCTCTTGTTCCTCCTGGACCAGGCGAGCACTTACTTGTAATAAGAAGCATGTGTTCGTGCTCTCCTGCTAGCGCCGGCCTTCACTGAACTCAAAACACAAAAAAAGCTCTCCGACCACTGTAGATCACATACACATGCACACACACCTGGCTCAGAGGCAAGGATCTCTCACACACACACCCACACACACACACACACACACACACAAAAACACCTGGTACTTTGAGGAGAATGTCAAAGAGAGTCATGTTACTTTCCTCCATGAAACTGATTTGTCAGCCTTTCCGCAAAAAGGGATTTATGGTGCTGTGTGCACAGATGAAAGTGTGTGTGAGCACATGTACATGTGCATCTGCACGCGGATATGTCATTCTTATTTTGTAGGTTGGACGGTGAAATATGGTACAAATGATAAAAGGTTCCGGTCTGATAAAATGTCAAAGCTATGCCCTTTTTTCAAAATAAAGGTAGAAAAAAACTTTTAAAATTCTTTTTAACACCTCTTATCCAGCAGTAGTGACCAGAATCTGATGGCGGTGTTGGGTGGTGACAGATTTTATGTCTTGTTTCCAGACTCTCCGCAGCAATGCTACTACCAAATGTGTAAAAAGAAAAAAATATGCGACTCAAGGTGAGAACCGTAGACGTAAAACGAGCACCGGTTCAGCCAAACTGCATCTGAATACATACAAGTACACAAATATTGATATTCTCTCCCTTCATTACTAATCATTTTACCAATAATTCACAAGTTTGTCCCTGTATGTTTTCAAGAGCCCCACAAAAGGATTTCCATCACCGATTGTCTTCATGTCTATAACCCTTTTTAATAAAACCAAAGCTTTTCTCAGCGGGACGGGCTTTGTCCTCGATGACTTTTTCTGCCCATGTTGCTCGCCCTCCACCCTTCTCCTCCCGTTTATCCCCGCCCAACTCCCAGCGGAACACTTATAACACTGGAGAGAAAAGTGAAATACAAACTGCCTCGCTGAACTGATGATGTCATCACTTTAGTGTTTGGAGGGGGAACTCCCTAACAGAGGACTCGGCGCGCCCCCACCCAAGCCGAAAACATACGATGTACACAAAGACCCACAGACACACGCATTCTGGTGAGGAAATGGAAAAGTGATCTGTTCAGAGCCACCCTTGGCCCCGCTGAAGAGGCCGCAGCAGAACCAGCTGGAACGCAGGAAAAGTCTAACGCCACTGCCTGCTGCTTTGTCTCCAGCAGCACTCAGAGACCGACTATACAGACACATAATATTTACACTTTGCACGTTAAACTTGATGCAAGGGAGAATCTCACAGCCTGGTTTACCATCTTTCTCTCACACGCACACACACACACACAATTACCTAAACATCTGCGTCCGGAGGCAGAGACCTGGAAGCCTTCGGGGCACAAGCAGGTGAAGCTTCCCTCAGTGTTGGAGCAGGTTCCGAATGTGCAGATCTCGGGCGCCTGGGAGCACTCGTCAATGTCTGACACACACACACACACACACAGACAGACAGAGAACGGCACCGGCGTCATCAAACTCACAGATCAAAAGCCGAAGTTTCATCCGAACAAGTGCTACATTCACTGGAAACATGAATATGAAATATGGTCATAGCTGCGCCACAACGGTTGTGGAAAAGCGTCTTTTAGCCTCCGTGTCACATCCTCGCTCATCTCAACGAGCAGCTGCTGCTGTTACTGATGCTGAGAATTCAGTGCTGTTCCTCCCTGCTTGCAGGAAGGGAGCACATGTGTTGAAATGTCTGCCGAATATCTCTGCATCAGCCGCACTGTATAAACAACCCAAGGGTTCTGGCTTGGGCCCACTCCCACGTGTGAAAGGGAGAAGGGGGCATTCTGCAGCCGCGAGGCGACTGAAGAGAGCCCGTTTGTTCCTGTTCACCTCTCCAGAGCCGTGATCTGTGCACGTGTGAGTGTGTGAGCCGTGTGCAGAAGTGCATGAGGTGAGATTCACCCCTGCAGATATTTTATTACTTAATTGTTTTATTTTCCGTATCTGGCTTATACATAACGGAGGAAGCACTCGAGGCCCCTGTACCTTCACAGGTTTCCTCGTGGAGGTAGTATCCAGGTGGGCAGATACACCTGTAAGAGCCGTCCAGATTCAGACACGTCCCCGCGCCGCACGTGCCCGGATTCACTGCACATTCGTTGATATCTGGAAGAAGAAAAAAATATATATATATATAGCAATAAAGTGTCAAAACATTCCTGTTGCATTCAGGTAAACGTTCAAAATGAACCTGCTTACCTGTACACGTTCTGCCGTCCAAAGTGAGCTCGTAGCCGTCGTTGCACACGCAGAGGAAGCTGCCCACGGCGTTGACGCACTGGCCGTTTCGACACATGCCTCTCTGCGTCGAACACTCGTCGACATCTGACCGACACAACAGCGTTTTTTTCAACCTGAACACCGCGAATCTCGAAATGTTGGTGACGTTTGTTCCCTTCCCACAAACTGGTGTGCGCGTACGTACCTATGCAGTCGCCGTTGTGCGAGTTCTGAAAGCCGGGGTAGCAGAGGCAGTTGTAGGAGCCCACCGTGTTCTTGCAGGTCCCGTTGCCACAGGGCTGCCTCTCGCACTCGTCCACGTCTGAAACCACAGAGAGAGCGTTGGTCACCCGGCTGGAGGCCTCAGACGACCCGCTTTTCCCGCCCGAGGGGGCGAGGTGGGTTGTCAGGACGGGGCGCCGACGCGGCTTACCGACACACATCGACTGGTCCCGCGTGGTTTTGAAGCCGTTGGGGCAGATGCAGCGGTAGCCCCCCACAAAGTCGATGCACTGACCCGGGTTGCACACACCAGGATTCTCCAGGCATTCGTTGCGGTCTGAAAGAGGAGCAGAACAACTGTCACCCTGCGTGGGACTCCTCTCTGCAATATAGTGAAATATAGCACCAAACCTGTTCAATTATAACTGATTTAGTTATTTGAGCAAATTGCGGTAGTTTTTATTTAATGAAGATCCACTTTGGATATTATTATTTTTGTCATCATACAAACAATCCAATCTCTAGGCAGCCATTACTCTTTGGGTCAATTTTTAAACATGAACATAAATCACTTAAAATTTAGATTTATATACAGTAAATTTACAATAAACAGGTATCTTGTCAAGCTTCATTTACTCAAAGCTGGTGTGTTGCACCAAGCTCTTTACGCTGTAAAGAGTCCTGATAAGCAAAGCCAACATTTGAAAATAATTCATTTCAAATATGTATAAAAATTAAAGTAACAATTTCAATATTAGTTCCAAGCCACAAACAATCACTAACATGGTCATTTAGGGTGATTTAATTCAAGTCACAAATGTAAATATATATCACGCTTATTTTTTTCTTAAAATCCCTAAAAATCCCTGTATTATTACTCCCTGTCTTTAATTCGCACTTCAGCTTCTCTCTTACTCCCTATGTTTTGTTTCTAGGACTTAGGCATGAAAAGCAGGAAACAAAACAGGATGTTGATTTAACATTTGCTTATCGGTGAGGACTGACAGTGACATGTTTCAGATATACAGCAGCAAACGTCCAAAAGCTTTACACACATGCTCCACATCCTCTTTCCTTCAATAACAAGCCCACCCTGCAGAACTCCACCTCAGCCCGACCGCCAACGTGCCGCCTCTTTATCTTTGACGACTGAACGTGAAGGTCAAAGAGTTTCACATGACTGAGTTTGATACGAGGGTTTTGAGGAGGCGAGCATCCATAGCGTCATCCTCCTGGAAGACAGCGGCGTCCTAGTCTCCTCTCTAATCCTGCTCCGTGTTTTCTGTATCACCTCTGAGCTGTCGGGTCACCATGTACTGTACGAGCTGAGTGCTCCTCATGGCTCCTTGTCGATCATCACCGCGGCCTTACCGAGACACTGTCCCGTGGGGCTGGAGCGATATCCTGGTTTACACTCGCAGCGGTAGCTTCCCGGCAGGTTGAGGCAGGCGGCGTTCTGCTGGCACACCGGTCCGTTCTGACACTCGTCAATATCTACCAACGAGAGGGACGGACGGGGTTTGGAGACGGAGATCTGGGGACGCGTTCACAGTGATGGTGTCTGTATTTTACATTTCGGTGCTTTACTGTACCTTCGCAAATCAACAGCTTGTCGTTGTACACGAAGCCGATGGGGCACTCGCACCTGAAGCTGCCGACCATGTTGATGCACACTCCGTTCTCACACACTCCCGGGATCTCCCTGCACTCATCAATGTCTATCACAAAGGACGGAGGCAAGAGGGAAACCTTAGAACAGGACTGACTCTTCTTCTTCTTCGTCGTTGTCGTGGAAAAACCCCTTTTGAAATCTTACCCACGATCCGTCCCGTGATGATGTCGATGCCAAATCCCCATTTGTCACTGCCGCATAGGATCGGAAACTCATCTGCGAGAAGGTGAGACAAAACGTTTGACACGAGCTCACCTGTTTTTATTTTTTTGTTACCTTCTAGACATGTGTGCTGATGTGACCTCACCGGTCCCGGTCAGAGGGCACCGGTCACAGGGTTTATTCCATGCACGGCCCATGTTGTAGGAGCAACAGCAAGCCTTTTTGGTTATGTTGAAGGTCAGCTCTCCATCGCACGTCCCGTTGTCAGAGTAGAAGTTCCTGTAGCAGAAGCTCTTCCTCATGTCTGCGTGCAGTCGCAAGAAAAAGGTCACCGAATGTTGTCGTATCAACCATTTTGACGAATGAGAAACCTCCCGAGCGAGCGGTGTGGAGACGCACCCATGCAGTTGTTTCCGCCGTTGACCTGCATGTAGTCCGCGGGGCAGATACACGTGTAGTTTCCAATGGTGTTGTAGCACTGGCCCGGGCCACAGATCCCCTTCTGTTCACACTCGTTGACATCTGTGCACAAAAAGGGATATTTTTTATTTTTCTTAGAGTTGAAAACCCATTCTGTGACTTAAAGGAAGGTAGAATGAGTGCAATAAAAAAAAGAACTACCATTCTGCTAAACATTCTGATCATATTCCTTGTGTTTTTCGGTGAGTGTACGACAACTCTCCCATTTCATCATCGTCTTTAGTGAACACTGTAAATCCAGAACAACCACTAACACAACAACAGCAGGACAGGAGTTGGGACAACATCTTCAATACTACTTCATTGCTTTCATCGCTCTATACTTCTCTATCCACATACTGCCAGATTGTCAGTCCTGGACCTTACATAGCAGACACACACACGTTTGTTCTCCAGGCCAACAAACACACGCTAATTAAAATGCCGCCAGCCACATGTCATTGTCTATCCCGTACCCCCCCCCCTTCCTCTTTGTTCCTGTTCCTCTCCCTTCCAAACACTTTTGTCACCCCCCCCCCCCCCCCCTCCCACCTCAGCCTCTCCCTCCTTCTGTCATCTCTGGCCCCTCTTCAGGGAACTCGGTGTACTTCCCCGAGGAGAGGGCTGACCACATCTGAGCCCGGCTCCTCTGGACTCAGTTAGGCGATCAGCTGTCTCATCATCCCGGGTTGAGCATTGCAGGGTTAGCAACGGACCGGTAACTCTCACAGAGGCGTGTTAAGCTGCGGCGAGGTTTATGCGACTAAAAGGGTCCACAAGGCCCCTCGTCTATTTGCTCGTCTCTTTGCTCTCTACGCCTTTTCCCCTCTTCCCCTGTGTCCTCGCTGCATGAAGGCCTTTGCGGGTGGACTCAATTTCCACCCAACTGAAAAGTTCCAGGACAAGACTAAGGCGGCCGATAGTGTGGAAAATACATTTTGTGTGTGTGTGTGTGTGTGTGTGTGTGATACCTTCACAGATTCTGGTTTCGGCGTTGAGGGCGTAGCCTCTTGGACATTCACACTGGAAACTGCCAAAGGTGTTGATGCACTGTCCTCCCTGGCACAAGCCCGGCAGCTCCCGGCACTCATTGATGTCTGCCAGAGAAAGGAAATATCATCTGTGTGTCTGTGTGTGTGTGTGTGTGTGTGTGTGTGTGTGTGTGTTATCCGTGTATCTAAGTGAGCACACGAGCAAACTGACGCAAACAAACGCATGCATGTTGCTGTCTGACCTTCCAAGATGACAGTGATGGGGTTCGGACTGAAGCCTTCTCCTCCAGGACACAGCGTCTTGTACTCCGCTGTAACACAGCACCACAACGCATGAACCAGCGACAACGACGCGGCACGCAAAGCCACGATTTGGCCAGCTCGGATCTCAGGAGTGTTCTTGTCAGCGAGTATTTCCTCGAGCTAAGAGGATGAGTCAATTCCCAGCAATGCTCCCAGCATCTGTTGGCAATTTCGAATAAGTTGCACAACAATGTCTCATCTTTACCAGCAACCACAATTACAGCAGATACAAACTGTGAAGGACAGTACAAAACAACTAATAAAATGATTTGACAGGATTGCTGTTGAAAGGCAGATAGTGACATTGAAAAATCGATTGTTTGGCCAATTCCGCCCAACCATTCAGTAGTCAAAAGTCTGCCCACAGCTTTACTTATTAAGGGAAGGAAAGAGAGCAGTTATTGTGAAAATAAAGACACAATTGTTAATTTTAATTATGTACCCATGTATCATGTGTGGTTGAGCTGGATTGGTGGAAATGACTTCATAAATGCTGCTGCACCGTTAACAAAAGATGCATGTTATCGTTGATTCCCTCAGTGACAGTAATAACAACATTAAAATCAAACTCGCAAATCTCGCAAATTGAACTGAAACATCAAATTGAATAAATCACTGTGCGTTGACTCACTTGAGTTTGTGAAGGGACACGCTTCACAGGGATTCCCCCAGCCTGCGCCGTGGGAACAGCAGCACGACGCTTTGGAAACACCGACTCCAATCTCCCTGGAGCATTCCAAGCTCTCCGACGCGTCTCCTCGGGCACGGACATCTAGGTAGCAGCTCCCGGAGCGAGTGTCTGTACACACACACACACACACACACACACACAACGGCATTGAGGCACACAGGTGTGTGTCTTGTCGTGGTTTCGAAAATGAGTTCAGTGATTAGTCGACTACATGAGTTGTTGAGTCTCACCTACACAGCCCACCCGAGTGGGGTTGAGTTCGAAGTCTGGAGGGCAGTTGCAGTGGTAGCTTCCAGGGATGTTGACGCATATTCCATTAATACAGATTGTCGGGTCTGCACACTCGTTAATGTCTGAGGGAGAAGGACAAAGCAACGGTTCTTTATCTCCACAAATATATGTTCACAACACCCATTCGAGAGGAGCGGTGCCTTTCCCTCTGAATTTGCCGTTGCTCCCTTTCTTTTATATTCATAAAAACTAGTCGTCTAGTCCTACCTGTGCAGTTGCCTCCACTCCTGTCCAGTTCATAACCAACGTTACAATCACATCTGAAAAGTCCAGGGATGTTCTGGCAACGTCCGTGGACACAGATGTCAGCAAAGGTGCATTCGTCTATGTCTGTAAAAGAGAGAGAGAGGACCAGCTGTGAGGGATTAGTGGATGATGGGATCATCGCGGAAGTGAAGGCCGCTGACCTCTGCTACAGAATGACGATTCTGGGGCAAAAAGAAACATGCCCAGACAGACGCACACATACACTATCAGAGCCAGGGTTATGAAATTGTGCTCTTCCACATCATTAGACGCTGCATAAAATCATTAATGTCCTGTCCCGACTGAGTTGAGACCGCGAAGACTGGACAGGTTATTGCCGGATGTTTGACACATCAACACAATGAGGTCAGTCTGCAGCTCATTCAATTGGATCCAGCCATGTCTTATCACTGGAAGCATGAGTCACACTCCAAAAAAAATGTGCTCATTTGTGCCGACTGCCGTAACTCCGCAGACAGATCTACTGTCGATGAGAGCGCTAAGTAAGGCAAACCTTGACCCACGTGTGAGCATATTCCGATCCAGAGATGTGTCTTAAAGATGAAGCATTATTTCAAACACTTGAAAAGACCACCGTAAACAACGCTGCAGCCAGTAGGATGTCATGAAAGATTCAGAATACTGTAGCCTGGGTTACTCTCTGCAAGGTTTATACAGACATTTTGCTTAATAAATATTAAATGCAATGACAATTTGCACTTCAGTCAAGCAAAAATCGTTGGGCGTGAATTTCTATTTATCACTTATAACATGGACATGCGCCAATGAAGTGCATGTTTAATAAACTCAAGATATAATAATAAACTAGAGTCAGTGCTTACTCAACCTCTTCTCTTTTATGGTTAGCCAACAATTGCATGCAAAACGTTGGGTAACTAGAGTTCTCCCCCGAAGCTATTTTTTTTCATGCTGCTAAACCAAACACAGACTAACATGAGTGGAAAATTGTGAGAAAAAATGGAAAAATAGACAATGAAAAAAGATGAATACAAAACTTTACTTAGAGTTTATGGTTTGGACTACATCCACATTTCAGAGCTTGTTGTGTGCTTCCCAAAAAATCTCATGAGTTCTATCTGAAGGCAACATCTGGGTCATTTGTATCTCACAACAGGGAAACAAACAACCATTCAATGGAGGAGCTGAACATCCGGCCTGTTGGAATCACTCAACCTAATTCAGAATGTGGGCACCAATTCAGAGGTCTGGACACAAGGTAGTCAGGAATAGCTTTGATGTATTTTTGTTTTTTTTTACCCTTGCAGGCCTTTCCTTCGGGAGTCGGCACGAAGCCCATGTCACATTCACAGCGGAAGCCTCCTTGCAGGTTCAGACAGTGGCCATTCTCACACAAGTTGCCGTTCTCCGCACACTCGTCGCTGTCTGTAGGGGTCAAACGTACATTATCACAGTCCATAAACACGCAGTGTGTAAGTGTATTTTTTTTGTACAGAAGCAAAACGCGTGGTTTAAGGACAGTGACCTGAGCAGTAGAATCCATCTCCAGAGAATCCGTCCTTGCACGCGCAGCGGTAGGAGCCCATGGTGTTGAGACAGTCGGCGTTGTTGCTGCACATGTGGGTCCCATTTGAGCACTCATCCAGGTCTGAAACAACAAAATCCGATAACACGTACGCATGTGGGAACTATTTCACCCAAATATTTAAGCTATTTTTTCACTTCAAAGACCAAAAGCTAATATTCTATTATTCTATCTCCTTAAACTTTATGGTGGATCTCCCAAGTAGCACTTCGCAAGCACATTCATTCCAAATCAAGACAGAAAAAAAAATAAATAAAACCAAATAAAGCTCAGAAATATAGATTTATAATTTACAAAAATAGCTTGGCACTGCCATGTCTAATCAAAGCTAGGAAAAACACAAAGATCTGTGAGAAAAATAGAGCTGCAACACTTCACTACCTCATTGTGGGTGCCTTACCTGTGCATTTGAGGCCGTCGCCGATCCATCCTGGAGAACAGTTGCATTTGAAGCCTCCGGCCGTGTTGGTGCAGGTGGCCTGTCTGTCACAGTTATGGGCTCCTATCTCACACTCATTGACATCTGAAATAAAAGATAAAGATAAATAGCAGCGGGCTCGGTTGGTCTGGTGATTTTCATCTGCTTTCTCAGTCCAGTGGGGTTCTTGGCATTGCGGGACGAGTTGATGCTTGGTTTGAATTGCATACAGAGAGCAACGGGAGACAACAGGACAAAGTCTTTCTGGGTTACTGTCTTCATCCATGTATTTCAGAGCAGAAGAGACATTCCCATGATCCCCGATACTAATAGCCTTCCTGCAGAGGTTTAATGAGCAGAGACGGTCCATTTTCATTGTGCAAGTGTGTCAGGGGAGTTATAAAGAAGGCCAAGAGGGACAACGATATCCTAATGCTAAGGCCTTGTTTTGTCGGCTCAGTCTAAACGAGTATTTCTGAGGTTATTTCAGGCAAAGATTTGCCTTCACCTCTCACATGAGGCTTTTAAAACAGCTCTCTTTTAAGGGACATGTTTGGTTTTCTCACCGACCCAGATGTCAAGTTTGGAAATGTAATCTTTCCCAAATATAATTTCTACAAAAACGCCACGTGGTAATGTGCCAACCCTACAAATAAACATTTCTCCATGGCGAAACCATTATAATTATATCTGAACTCTGCGGATGGATGAAATATTGAGGTACTTAGATATGCGGTTATAAAAGTGCCTCGCCATATGGGCCAACCTATTCTATCGGGCCATGGAGTCTAATAAATGAACAAAAGCAATTAATGGGAACAATTAAATTGGCTACAATTAAAATCTTTCCTGCCCATAAAGCTGTTTACATCCTGTAGGGCGTAACCAATAAGATCCCCATCAAGCAGCTGGCAGTGACGAGATACTGTGAATGTGGCCGTGCAGCTCTAGTTCTTCAAGCGGTTTGGACACCATCGACTACATGGGACAATGGAAAAAGCCTGTTTGGTGTTACCACAATGACGACTGCTAATAGGAGTCAAAACAACCCGGTGTAAACTGTCCAACGCGCCGCTTCGCCCTGTGTGCCACTTTCGATAGAGCTTGTGTGTTAAGACTCATCAGCCGATGAGACGCGCCCCTCTCTGTGTGGAAGTCTTTGTGAGGGTAGTAATTCAAAACACTGTCAATTAGAGATTAGTGGTGCTGGTTTACAGTATTCCTCAGGAGAGGGAACGGTATATTTACCCTACCTTTGTTGATGGGGTTAATATAAGGGCTGGCAGCAAACAAATCTCTGGATTACAGACAGAATTAAAGATAATTTCCCACAAAACCTTTGATGACAGAGAGCACAAAAACACACAAACAGACTCGCATTCTCGTGTGGAGATGTAAAATGCAAACAGGGGTGGTTGCAAGTAAGAAGCGTGTCAGCGGTCACAGCTGGTGTCAAAGGGCTTGATTTGACTATGGCTCATGTTTGACAGATGAAAGGCAAACAAGGATCAAAAGGGACATCAGAGGATTACACATCTTCCCACCTGTCGAGCTGTCTCGTTATTTGTATGCCTACCTGATTACCTGTCAATCTGTTTTCTGTCTTTATGTCTGCCTGCCGGTTTCACTAGACGTCTTGAGGCCTGCTGGTAGCCTACAGCTGCCCTCATGGCAGCACGGAAATAAGCATAACACGTGCTAACCTCATCCATATTAAGCATATTATATAATCCCATAATCCCAAAAGAGCATAACGAGATTACAAAAGCAAGTAATGAAATGCATCGTAACATTTATAGTCGCTAAACCGCCCACTTGCAAGTGTTCCTCCCCAAAAAAGCAACTATTGTGCTAGCCTAGAAGGCTAACGTTAGCTATCTATAGCCACGCGAAGCCGGCCTAAACACAACAGGCACATTTATAGCGAGACTAATGGTTACAAGTAGAGAAGATTTATTAAGTTAACAAACTGAATCAGTAATGTCAGCTAAACGCCCGCATTTTTAACATTAGCTGCCTTTAGCCAACATAAGCTAATGGTTATCCTAAACCAAATGAGACTTTAAAAGCTAAACTCCTGAGTGTACAATTAATGTTTGGTTTTGTTACCAGTGAGATTAACTTTAAATTGGAAAATTGTGTTGCGTGAACACACGAGTTGCCCAAATCTTTCGACAGTTTTGACATTTAGCTTCAAGAGGAAAAAGTTAACACGATTAAGCTTTCGCCCTGGACCTCTCTTTAAAGTTAAGACACTCCCAGCCTTGTAAACTCCCCCAGCGCATCTCCACCCAGTCCAATAGAGGACAAAAAGGACAAAGAACATACATGCAAATACTCCGTTCCGAGTTCTCAGTGTGGAATAAATGAAAAAAGAAATAACTCTTGTGGGAGTTTCATCAACAGCTGGATCCGATCTGAACTCGAGAGTAGCTCTTACTCATCAGCACTCACACACGCACAGAGATTTCGTCCACGCATACCAACGTGGTCACATGAGGCCTTTCGACAATGACAACCCATTTCTAGTCTGGATGTATTGAAAGCGGATCTGATCCGAATAGATTAGCTGGTTTGGTCCACTCGCCTATAACGAGACATCCTGCCTGCCTGAGAGGAATTAGAGTCTTGATTCCTTGGTATTCTGGGGCTGAAATTCCAAAACGGTGAATCAGCACCGGCTGCTTTACTGCAAACCCGGCTTTCTCAAAACAAGTGAAATACTGTGTGGACATTTTAATGGGATTAGAATGAGCAAGAGGGGGTGTGTGTGTGCGTTCGAGTCATACTTCAGACCTGTTTATTTACGTCTGAAGGAAGACACACTGCTGCATACTGTGTCTGACTCATTTCCACGGCCCGAGATGAGGTCAGATAAGATTGCTGGACAAATACTCTCAACGAGCCTTCAATTCCAAACCATTAAGTGGCCATTTAAATCAAACTCAACTCTGGCTGTACGAGAAGTGAGCGGAAAGTAGGGGCTCCACTGGCCCGGATGGACTTCGTATTTATGTTTTCTGGAGCCCTTATCGGCGATCGCGAGCTGCGGAACTCTTCCAACCGTCACGTAATGTTTAAAGGACCTTAATGCAAGAGCAACAAAGGGATAAACAAAGGTGCGATGTGATGCGCGCATCGGACAGAAGACGGTGACCTCACCGCAGTTTGCCGATAGCGCACAGGAGCGCACGCGCGTTAACGACGTGTGTTTGGGAGCGTGTTTCTCGTCAAGTCGGTGCAGGAGCTCTTGAATGAGGGTGAGTAATGTCAGAGCGGCTTCTGGTTAGCCAGACATTCTCTGCACCGACTCAACCGTCCGTTCGCTCCCACCGGCGCTCTTCCACCGACAGGGATGTTTCAACGTGGTGCGCGCGTTCGTTTCGCTCACCTGTGCAGCCGGTGGTTCCCTTGCGGACGGAGAAGCCCAGGTCACAGTGGCAGATGAAGGATCCCTTCGTGTTCTCACAGTTCCCGCTCAGACAGATGTTTGAGTTCAGATCACACTCATCCACATCTAGACAGGGAGGGAAGAGTGGAACAGAGAAAGAATTTTAATTTCTAAACACTGCAATAAAGGAAAAGGTCACGACAAATTGAATTAGTTTTTGCCGGTGCGGCCTGCTAAACACGTTTTGAAAAGATGTGATGTATGTATGAGTGATTCACAAAAGAACTATGTTTTGAACTATTAAAGGCTTTTATAAATGCAGCAATAACAGAGTAAGTGTTAGTGCAGACCGGTCTAAAATTCCTTGCTTCATTGACGGCAGTGTTTTTTCCCCCCGGCTCAGTGGATCCAGACTTCTGAATGTCATGCATTCCTCCGAGCTCAACCCAAACTAACGTTTGTTAATGTTCGCTGTCTTGTAAACGTTCTCGCTATCACACACACACGCAGTCTCCTAGATCTGAGTCATCAGGTCTTATTCTCATGACTCATATCTTGGATAACCTTTAAAATGATCACTGAGGTGGTTCAGCGGTCCCACTAAAAGCTGAGGAGCAGAAGGGCGAGGTGCATTCTTTCAGGCATTAGATGTGCATCCGTTACCCAGGCAGGTCTTCACGTCGTCGGACGACATGAAACCGTCAAAGCACAGGCACTGGTACGTCCCCGGGGTGTTGCTGCACTGGCCTCCGTCACATATTTCGGCGCTCTCCTCACACTCATCAATATCTGGAGGTTGAAGACGGAGAGGAAAAATCAAAAATGAAATGTGAGCAGACAAAGTGCAGAGGACAGGAGAACTGTGATGATTACTAGTAATAACGGATTGAATGTTGACGTATTCTTTACCCCAAAGTTTGTAAAAGAGCACATCAAGACATACAACATAAAATAATGTGACTTCTGGGGCTTATTCCTCTTTCCTATCCAGGGAAGACAAGCGCATTTAGTTTGTCACTGATAAATCAGCACGGTCCATTCAGTTCACAGCTTTTGCATTAATGTTTCAAGTTATTTCTTTTCTGAAACTACAGTGGAATTACCGTTGTAATGCCTTTGATCTCCATCTGTTTATCTGTCTCTGGTAATTAAAGGCATCGCAATAACAGGAGTCAGTCTATGTGCAACACGTGAGGCCTACAGTCATGGAAATGAAATGAAATCCCAGGAATTAATCAACTGGCACCATCTAATTATCTATTCTGTTTAGTAACATTTACTTAGGCTTTCTTTGAACGTGCCCCAGTCAGATCAGAACAGGAATTCTCCGGCTGTTTCTTCCTGCTCTTAAATCTTTTCCCTCTGGAAAACAACATTCTTAATTCCTTCCGTACAACTACACGTGCAATCTTCCCTCCATCTCAAACACCTCATTTGAAATAATTTAAAGGTAGTTTTCCTTAGATAACACATCTCGACAAATTGCAGATGAACAGATGAATAAGGACACAAAGCTGCTTACCGGTGCAGCTTCTCAGGTCGGGCATCAGGGCGTATCCGCTGTGGCAGCTGCACTCGTAGCTTCCCTCCGAGTTGGTGCAGAAAGTCTCACAGCCGCCATTCTCGATGGTGCACTCGTCGATGTCTGAGGTCGGAAAAACACAGCGTCGTATTTGAGCTTCAGATTGCAACAGTGGACTCAAGAGACAAGACGTCTTCGGGAGGAGGCGATCGGTAACGGGCTCGATGCTCACCGACGCACTCCAGTCTGTTCTCTGTGGATTTGTATCCCGTATCGCAGGAACACTGGTAGCGGCCGACCATGTTGACACACTGGCCGTTCCTGCACAGCCTGTCACTCAGGTCACATTCGTTGATATCTGCGAAAGAGGAAAACGCAAATTCAAAACCATTTCACAATAAGTAATAAGGATAAGGATTATTATGCCCCGTTTTTTTGGGTGTCTGTCTTTTAAATTTCTGTCGACAAATTGATAATGCTTTTGGGTCTAGACGTCCAGTGAACTGCACCGTTAGAGACACTAATCATAGTTCAAGTGCAACTTGTGACAGATGTTTGATGATAGATTCCGTACTCAATGGTGATAAATAGATTCCTTGTTTGAAATGCCCTGACATCACACCAATCTCCGAAATATGCTAAACAACCAAGTTTTATTAACATTATGATAATTTCAGCACTTCAACTTGATACTTCCCCAGAGATAATGAAGACCATTGTCTCCAAAGGGATGAGGTGGGAGGTTTTCAGCAATGATTTCATTGTTTTTATTACTTATGGAGGTAATGAAGGAAATAAATGAGCGTGGAGGGCAGTGGTTGAGCATTAGGTCATGGGCCGAACCTTAACACACTGCATTAGATCATCCGAACGACACCCAGTGAATAATGCATGATCAGCGCGACACAAAAGCCTGGGAAACGTCAGGATCTCCTTGTGGAAAGTGCGCTGTTGCTACTTCTCCAGTCAACCAGTTGCTAGAGTAACCAAAATGTGAAAAAAATAATTTGACCGAGAATGACATAATGGAATAAACTGGTCATTATTAAGCCAACTAATTTCATCAAGGAGTGTTTTTTTACGACAGATTTTTCAAGCAAAAGGAGAAAAGAAAGAGGGAAGAAAAAAATTTGGGGACGCTGAGTTTGCTGGAACGTCCTCTCTGATGACCTCATCACTCACCTAGACACGCCGAGCCATCGGGCGCGATCTCGTGCCCCTCGGGGCACATACACTGGAAGCTGCCCTCTGTGTTTACACATTCACCTCCGCGGCACAGCAGAGGGTTCCTCTCACACTCATCGATGTCTTGACACACACAAAGACACAAGCAGAGATATTTATGTCACGTTCAAACTGCAGACAAATCTGATATGGTTTCATGAATCAGGTTTAAGACATTTCCTCCGGACATCATCAAGCTGTTTGCATGGGTTGTCGCGGTAACGCACAGGCGTCGGTAATTCCTCGGCCTCAATCACACAAGTTAAGTTTAAGCATAGATTCTGGACAAAACGTGATTTGAGATGTAATTTTGTACTGACGATCATGAAGTACCTGTCTCCATACCGGCACGGTGAAAGAACACAAGAAGCAACGTCACGGCTGGAAGCGATGTTAATCAAAGAGATTCACTGACGGTAACAAAAATTAAGTGTTTGGTAAAAGGTTCTGTCATTATTTTACATGTTTGTTTGGCTGCTGGCCCAGCAACTGTTCCTGCCTTAGTTCCAGTCCCTCACACTTATTTGCCAAACGTGCGAGTCAATTTAGTCGTGCCAGTTGTGGTCTAACGACGGCTTTATGCCAAAAGAAAGTATTGCAACTCCATTTTTATGTGTACAATTTCTCCCAAGAATTTAATCAAATGGCGACAAAGAAGGACCAGAACAAAAATAGAGCGTTAAGTATTTCCTCAGATGGTAGAACGTTGAAAGTAAAGTATGTAATAGGGAACAATTATTTTTTAAGACTTTACAGAGCACTTTTTCAACGTGATTGTGACGAGACTTTGACTGCGCAGGCTGGACTCCTTTCAACACCCGACAAGAGTCTGTTTAATTCTCCGTCTCTCTCCCACATCGGCCGTCCAAACAGTGAGTTTAGCTTTTGTCTGGGACGCCTAAGCTCCTCATCCAGAGCTCACGGGGCCGAGAGGGAGCGAGAGTTGTGATCAGGACCGGCGATGTGAGGAAGGTCCTCCCTGTGCTGCAAAGCAATCTGCGCCTCAGAAGTTGCCCACTTAACTGTGAGAGCGAGTTGTTAAAGGAGATCAAGTTCCTCTCTCACGTTCTCACAGACTAAACAATTTCCCACGAAAGAGGTCCGTCTCCTCGCGTGCAGCTGTAAGGAAGCACCGCACGCCGAAGATTTTTTTAGCGTGTGCGAGGACTTGCCACTCACCCATGCAGTTCTTCATCATCATGAAGCCGCTCTCGTAACCTTCGAAGCACTCGCATTTAAAGTCTCCGAACGTGTTGACGCATCTGCCCTGTCCGCACAGGTCCGGAGAGATGTGGCACTCGTCGATGTCTGGAGGACGGGAAACGCAAAACAAAACTGAGCGAGGTAGAACTTTCAAACACCGTCAACCAGCTTTGCGTGCAGAGAAAAACACCTGGCGAGCTCCCTGGATACGGTGTTAATATAGAGAAATATTATATAGAGAGGTTTGCAGCTTAGTAACAAAGTAATTTAACAAAAGACATTTAAAAGAAAGGATATGCAACGAGATAAAAGGGTGAAATGATGCTTACTTTGGCATTCTTAGCTCTTCAAGTGGATTTTTCCACATTCTAAAGCTAAAGGCCTCTCTTGAATTGAATCCACGTATAGAAACCCTATACACAAAGACGTTCTGCTGGGATCTCAATCATACGGGGTGTAAAAGGTCTCGGGACATATTTTAGTTATTGAGACCATATATATGATATCAGGATAAAGCCATGACACTGGAATCTCCACCCATAAAATGATTTGTGCACATTTCAACAGAGCGTTCCTGCAGACTACAGGGACTCGCATCGGATCAAATGAGTGTAGGCGATGGATTTACACCACTTTATTGTGATTAGTCTGGGCAGAGGGATTCAGAGCGAGAGAGACAGATGAAGAAGGACTCAATTGGTAAATGTACAATGGAGCTGAGTTATTGAGCAAACCTTCCAGCCAAAAAACAACAGCTGCATGAATATCAGCGTTTATGTTGTTGGCAATGTGCACAAGTGATCAAAAAACAAGTGTGAAATGTTTTTCAATTCCTCAATTCATCAACGTTGAGCCTATAAAATGTCAGAAAAAAGGCCATCATGATCTTTTCATAGGTCACACCTTCAGATTTCCCCCAAAATTCAAAACCATAAAATTACCAATGATATGAAACGGGGATCCTTACAGTTCCCAAGCTGGTAATAAATGATAAATGACTCAAATGATGACTCAATTATCGATACTACTCACCGGTGCAGTTCCTCTCATCCGAGTCCAGAGCGTAGCCGTTATCACACCGACACCGGAAGCTCCCGACGGTGTTTCTACACCTTCCATTTGAGCACAAGCTGTTTATCATTCTGCATTCATTTATATCTGTGTCAAGGAGAAGAAGAAGAAGAAGACGGGTTGAAGGCGAGTCGAGGGACCGTCAATGAGAAACAACGCTCGCCGTCTGTCCGCAGAGGCGGCACCTTTGAGGAAGGGTCTGCCGTTGAGGAAGTCCCCCCTGTGCGAGAAGCCCGGGCCGCGGGGGCAGAGCCGGGCGTACTCCGGGGTGCCCCTCTCGGGACACTCGTCGCACTCGGGGCCCCAGGCCACGCCCACTGAGCAGCAGCAGGCATCCACGCGCTGCCTCCCCGGGATGGCGGCCCCGCAGCGCTCGTCGTCATGGGTGAGGTAGCAGTGCTCCATGCGCAGGTCTGGAAGTCACATGACACGCATTGTTTTTTTAGTCAGGTACGGATAACATTTGGACCGTCGGAGATGGTCGGAGGTCGTCGGCACCCACCGATGCAGGTCCTGCCGCTCACGTCCACAGTCATCCCCGGAGGGCACTGGCAGAAGAAGGAGCCCGGTGTGTTGATGCATTTCCCGTTGATGCACACGCCGGGGAACACCTGGCACTCGTCCACATCTGGCGGTCGGGAGAGGAAACAAGAGCGACATCATCATCGGCGAGTCCATAAAAACAAAAAAAACAAACGGGTTTTACTGTAACGAGCGCCGAGGCCGACCTCACCTTCACAGGCGTTTCCTTTGACTCTGGCGAAGCCTTTGCCGCAGATCGGATCTGAAGAAGAGGGCGCATGATAAAATGTCTGCGGGTTTGTGGTTTACTTAAATGTACATAAAATGGTCTGTGTCGACCATCTCACCCTTTTCACATTTGGCACACGGGCTGTTCCAGGCTTCTCCCAGTGTGGCACAACAGTGGGACTTCAGTGTGGCCCCGTTGATGTTGACCTCACAGCGGTTATTGACTATCTTCAGCCAGCAGGTGCTCTTAGTAGTCTCTGTTTTAATGAAACAACCCTTTCACTTACTTGGCGTTCGGTTATGTTGAATGAAAGAACATGTGCGTCCACAGTGCACGCTGCTTGATGCCAACGATCTGTGTTTAATTAGTTAGATCAATTAATCTCCACAGCTGTTCTTAAATTAAAAAAAAAAAAGTGAATGGTTGACTAGTAGTCAACTTCCCCTCGATAGGACAACCAGTCTCTCCCGGCTTCACTATGAGCTCATTTCATTCAAGTGTGACACGGCTGGTGCAGCATTTGACCCAACTGCTCAATTGTTTATTGTATTTAATCACTGAGCAGCTTCTCAGAACGGTCTGGAAAGAAGGGAAAATGCTTATTTTTTTAACAATTTGAACTGGTATTAATTTGTTATACTATTATTAGTTGATGGGCTTGTTTTGTGTTTTTTGGGGGGGTATTTCTATATTGAATACATTGTGAAATCAAATTAAACAACACAATGCTCGCTCACCGATACACTCCATCCCGGTGCTGTCCAGCGAACTGCCGAGTGAACACAAACACACAAAGGACCCTTGGCTGTTCCTACAGTCTCCATTGACACAGGGGCTGGACAGACACTCATCCACATCTGTTGGAGACACATAAAAAAATAAAAAACCACCACATCTGTTTTTCAATCAATCTGATACCTGCGGTGAGAAAGCAACACTGAACGACAGAAAGAACGATTCTCTGACCCGTGCAGACGTCTGCCTCGGGGTCGAAGAGGTATCCTTTGGGACACTGGCAGGTGAAACTGCCCGGCGTGTTTCTGCACAGACCGTTTTCACACAGCAGCCTGTTCATCAGGCACTCATCGATATCTGAAGAAAAGACACAAACAGAGAGACAGAGAGAGAGGGATGGGATGACCTTTCTCAAACTGGCTTTTTTTTCCATATAAGGGCTGTACGCTTTCATTTCCCAAGAGGACGAGGACATAACGGAGCGGTTGACCTACCGACGCAGTTTTTGCCCGTCAGGTCCACCTCGAAGCCTTCGTTGCAGTCGCATTTGAAGGTCCTCACCATGTTCTCACACACCCCGTTCTGGCAGAGGTCCGGGTCCAGGGCGCACTCGTTAATGTCTGAGGAGGCAAAGAATAACCTGTTGAACGTCACAGTAGGAAAAGAAAAAAACGTACCCCAAGTCGTGATCACATTTAATTTGAATGTTTCTGTGGATGTTTTAGTATCAATGGAAGTTACCTCTTCCATCGACGCTTGTGCCGATGCCACTGGGGCACAGAGCCAGGAATTCAGCTGCAACAAAACACGCAAACAGCAGAGTTTGGTTGACAAAAAAGATCTGAGAAAATATCACATTTGCCGAAATCCAAGAAAATCCAAAGAGCACTATAGAGAATACTATGTCATTACCCATTTCATGCTTTCTCATTTAGACCAAGACGTATATATATAAAACCGCTTCCTTAATGTGGTGCAGCTCTGGCGTCTTTTGACACTGAAACTTTAATTGGCTGGACTAATGACAAGTGACTGTATGACGTGTGTTCATTTGTGTGTGTGTGTGAGTGAGTGTTTGGGGGACTGTCAATGTCTCCTGACTGTGGGCTTCTCTGTCAAAAGACTTAGTGGTGACTTCATTGCCGCTTTTCTGTCATTTGTGAAAGCAACGATGCAGTTGATCCGGCCTTTCACAGGTGTGTTTTGAATTAGCGTGTGTGTAGGCTTGTAGGTGTTGGTGTGCGTGTGTGTGTGTGTGTGCTGATTCCAGTATGCGTACCAGAGCTTTGTGGTGGGCAGGGTTGGCAGGGCTCTCCGTAGGCGAACTCTATTCCCGTCGCCGTGCTGGCACAGCAGCACTGCGACTTGGTCACGGCGCCAAACAAAGGCCGAACGCACTGCCCGCGCTTGTAGCCACCGTAGCACGAACTGCGCATGTGCGTATCTGTTTTAGACGCACACAAAAAGAGACAACAGTGTGAGAGAAAGGGGAGCGCTGACAAAACAAATGCTTGTTCTTTCCATGATATCCGGGGATTTGAGGCATTCTGCAGCGCTGATATCATCCAGACGAAGGGCTCACCCGGAACGAACAACAGCATTTCAACGCTTTCCACCCAAATACACAACGAACTGTCATTTGGGGGAAATGTAGTGTAGGAATGTTGAAAATAAAGGCATAAACAGATCTGCTCTCGCAGGGCCAGTCCAGGAGATTAGAGACAGGAAAACATTCATCAACACACGCTTGTTAGTGTTTATAAGAGGGATGAGCTGGTGGTCAAGTCTGCCACTTCATTATTCGGTTTTGTTTGTTTAATCCCTCGACTGGAGAATGTTGTTGTGGTTAATCTGGTCAAAATGTGAAGACAGCAATGGGATAAATCATGGGAAGATGTTTGCACACGGAGCTTACAGTTTCTTGGAATAAATGATTACTGACTTAATTACTCAGTATTTCCCAATGAAGTCAATTAACTTAACGTCTTAATTTTCATCTTCACTGTGAAGCAACAGAGAAATCTTTCAGCCAGACACGTGCCGAGGATAAAAACGTTTTTTTGTTTTTGTTTTGCCTGTGTGGTCGCTGTTTGCCATTGTATCCAAACTGAACACATGAACATTAACAAAACAAAACATTTACTCACCGACGCAGACTCGCCCATCCAGGCCCACTGCCATCCCGGCCGCACACTCGCAGCGGAAGGATCCTTCTGTGTTGACGCAGCGGCCGTTCATGCACATGCCCGGAGTCTCGCACTCATCGATGTCTAAAAACACATACGGCAAAAATGAGCCCGTTTGCCTTTCTTCACAGGACGGATGGCGAGAAGCTGCAATATCCTGCTCAGGCATCATAAAAGTCCTCAGGTGCTTCATTCACTAAAAGCAATTGAGCCAAAGCTGCTGCGCAATTTAAATTGTACGACCTCAGCTAAGAAAACATTCCTTTCCCCTCGATCCCCTCAGCCTTTTACAATAATTATCATAATGAGCATAAACAGTGATATGGTCTGCAGGCTGTGTGTGTTCTGTCTGGGGGGGGGGCAGATAGAGATGATGAGGCCCCAGGGCCCCGTTAGACCACACATTTCATTAAGGATCGCACACATCAGGACACCCTGCTCTCCTATTTAGTTATTCTGCCGTGACTCGACCGGGTCAGTGTCTCTGACATCAGACGTCTGTATTTGAAGCCGTCACCAGCAAAGGTTGCTGCATACCGGTGGGCTACTTGGAGATGTATTTTAAACGGTCCATTTGTTTAAACTCTGTTTTGATGTGGGAAATAAGCCCCCAATCAGCATTTAATACAAATACCACAAGAAGACGTTTGCTCCTCTTTTAATCAAACCCGCGCTTCATGTGGCATGTTTTTAAAATCCCACTTCTCTCTGCATTAATCAGGTTTCGGTGTTAGAAGGCTGCAGGAATCTCAAAACAGGCGGGACCAAAAAAGTCCAGCTGGCCTGCCAGGATGCTGAGGGGGTTTTCCAGGCTTTTAGGGGGATTTTTTTGGCTTGTTCACTGCATGCCTGAGAGAAAGTGACCTTACAAGCGAGCTGAAAATGCTCGTCAAAAGAGCGAATCGACTCAAAGTATTTACTGGTTCAAGTAGCCGGCTACATTAAACTGTAACGATCCGTGGCTCCTCATGATGAACTCACCTACACACATGCGTCCACTGGTGTCCAGCAGGAACCCAGGTTTACAGATGCATTTGAAGCTGCCATCGTCATTGATACACAGTCCATTCAGACACATGTTCCTGATCAGACATTCGTCCTGGTCTGTGAATGAACAGAAACAATTTGATAGCTTGATAGCTGTGCTTTTGGTAAAGATAAAGAGGACAAACAATAAGCTAGCAAAGCAATCAGGACATTTTAGGCAACAAATGTTGCTTTTTCGCAGCCAAAGACTTCAAATTTGTATCTTGGCACATTCATTAACAAAACAACAGGCCCCACTGTTTAAACTGGTTCAGAAAAAAAGGTTCTGCTGTAGTTCTAATAAAAACTATAGATATACAGTATATTGGCCCTTTATAAAAGGGCCAATATACTAAAATAAATGAAAACCAATTGATGCCTGCAAGGTGAGAGAAGAAAATATAGATAATATGGAGTCTTTTAGAAGAAGGTTGGTAGACAGAACAACCAGCTCGATTACTTAAAAAGATGTCTATTACGGCACCGGCCCTTAAACCGGCAGTAAATCATCACCTCCCACAGAGCCACGGTCCATTAAACTTAAACATTACACATACTGTGGCTATTACAGAAAACTGCCCCTTTAAAATGTCCCAACTCCATGAATGCAGATGTCAGCCCTTGACGGACCTTGACAGTTTTTTCCATCTCCTGAAATCTCGAATCCAGCGTTGCAGACGCAGTGGAAGCTTCCCACGGTGTTCACACAGCGGCCGTTGTTGCAGATGCGGCCGTTGGCCACACACTCGTCCAGGTCTGGCCGACACAAACAAACGCATCTTGTTAAAGGTGTGTGCACATGCGCGCGCGTGTGTATGTGTGTGTGTGTGTGTGTATTTGTAACCTCGGCACTCCGTCCTGGTGGCGGTAGTCTGGAATCCAGCTGGACACTGACAGATGTAAGACCCGGGCGTGTTCACACAGTCTCCGTGAGCACACGGGCTTCTCTCACACTCATCGGCATCTGGGGAACAAACGTGAAGCTCATAAACCACCGTCCACCTTTTTCGGCCGCCTCTTGGTGCGACACTGGAGCAACCGACTTACCGAAGCACTCTCCTCTGTCATTCAACTTGAAGCCCATGTTGCACTCACAGCGGTACCCGATGCTCGGCATGGGGATACACCTGCCGTTCTGGCAGAGGGTGCGGTAGGCCTGGCACATGTTGGTGATGTTCTGGGTTTGGATAATACCGGGACCTGACAGAAAAAACATTCACACGCACAAAATGCTGTAAGGAAAAACACATTCTTTTATATTCAGGAAAATCCGTCAGTAATTAACCAAACATTACGTTTAGAAGAAATTGGTAAAATAAACTTAATAGCTCAACTGCTTGTAGTCTTGAATTGCCAGATGTACTAAAGTCACTATGATTCTCATTAAAACAGAAAAGCGCAACGTTGTTGGAATTTCTGAAGAGAAACCTAAACTTTTCCAGGCTCCCTTGTAAAACGTCGTTGCTTAGAACTTTGCCTAAATAAGCTCTTGACATGGCCTGGTGTGCAAAACTGTCACATATACTTTTTCTCTCATACTTATACTTTTCTGTTGATTCGCCAAAACCCAAATGAAACGAGCAGCCTTACGTCAGTGCGAGGTTAGTCTGAGCGAAAGGAACCGTCGTTAACATGTAGTTCGTTAGCTTGTTGGGGTTTGTGTTGTGATTTCTCAAAACAGGGATTTTGAAAATGGCAACAGGAGACCAATGGGTGTAGAGCGTTACCCATCCAATGAGTCGCACCAGAACATGAGTCATGAGACCCGATGGCACGCGTCAGCTACAAAGACATGCCAAGGTGAACCAAACAAAAGCAGAGAGTAAGAGGGTACCTGGTTGAGGTTGTAACGGCAGTTGTCCTGGATATGGGAATTGTCCTGGGATCTGGCCTGGGATCTGGCCTGGGATCTGGCCTGGGATCTGGCCTGGAATTTGTCCAGGAAACGGACCCGGCCCTTGACCAGGCACCTGGATGGGAATTTGACCGGGAAACACTGGTACCTGTCCAGGGACTTGACCAGGAGTTTGCCCGGGATATAGGATCGGGTAGATGCCGGGCACGTCGGGGCTTCCTGGGACACGACCATCAGGCATCTGGAAGCACAGCTTCTGGTACTCCTCTAAAATGAGCACACGTGGGAAAACAACAGGAGGGTTATCTTTGTGTGGTGGAGGCTTTGACACAGGTACGCCAACCAGAAACGGGGGACCACACCTGTTCCACGAATGGGGCACATTTCAGGGGTGGATCTATCGGACCAGCAGCGTCCACTGTCACAGCAGCACTGCATTTTGGTCACCAGCTGCGAGTTTTGGTTGGCGCAGCGCCCGTTCAGCAGGCTAGCAAAGCAGTATCCACCTCGTGAATCTGTGGGAAAGATCACAGCAGGAAGTTAGCATCGGCGTGCTGTATGGTGTTTCCTTCTTGTCGAGCGCACTGGCACAAGCAATCAAAACGTAGTGGTTGTTGCTTCACATTTTCCATCATTTGGAAGCCAATAGTCACCACTTGGTATTTATGAGAACCTTTTTCTACAGCCTGCAGTTTCTGGCCCTGTGCACCAGCATGACGCGCACTTAGCTTCTCTATTAACATAAATATATCAAGTCTTGTTTCACACGGAGCCCATCCATCATATTCACGTGGAGAAACCGACAGGCCGCGGTTGCTGGTTGCTTGCTCAGGTTGGACAAAATGTCAGGCGAGCGGAGAAGATTTGAGGGAAAAACATTCGGGCCCTTCGGGGGGTCGGAGTAGTTGTTGCTCTATGGGAAACAAACTAGAATGTTTGGAGCAAAAGTTTTCTGGAGCAACAGACTCAAACATTCCTCCGCTGCAAACATCCTCTGCCGGGGGGGGCGCGGAGGGGGGGGGCAATGTGAGCGTGGTTTTGCATAATGTTTGTGTGCTGATGGATGTGCGCGTGTGTGTGTACGTGCATGTAAGAGTAACTGCGTGCACATCTAATGGTCTGTGCTGACCCAAATTCCTTCCTGGTCTGTTTCGGGTCAAACTAAGCTGAACCCGCAAGCTTAACAGGCTTTTCGGGTGATTGCGTGCGTGTATATGTGTGCGTGTGAGACTGTTATCAACCCCCCCCCCCGGCATGCACACGCCGATAGAAAGACGCACACACAGTGTAACGTACGGGAGGAGGCTTACAGGAGTTCACTTGGTTCTCCCAGCATTTCTGCTCCTCAGATTAAGAAACAAAGTGAGTCCGGAGCTAAATTCTACCAGTTGGAACGTTGGACAGATTTTTGAGGAGCGCCGGACGGCTCACCTATACACCTGGATCCATCCGAGGAGGTGTAATATCCCTGGGGACACTTGCAGAAGTAGCTGCCGGCAGTGTTGGAGCATTCGCCTACACCACAGAGACCTGGAATGTTTGAACACTCGTCCAGATCTGCAAAAAGGAGAGGAGAGGAAAGGAGATGACGGAGGAGAGGAGAGAAGGAAATGAACAAAAACATTTCAGATCCCTTCCTGTTTGTAAAAAAAAAAAAAAAAAAAGAAAACGGCACAGTGATCTTAACTTTCGATGAAAGAGATTCACATTAAATGTGAATGCTTTCAAAAGGGACTCGAGCACATGTTGGCAGGAACAATGGAAATAAGGCATTGTCGCAGGATATTAAACCCAGGGGCCTCTGTAGCTGCTCATCTGTTAGCACCGTTGCACAAAGCCTGTGTAGAAATACGCTGTAACTTTGAACAGTTGAGAATATTTTTTAGACCATCCAGAAGTTTTCCGGTAATTATTTCTGGGCATGAAATAGCACATATTTTACTCTGCAAATGAGCCTGCTCAGCCTGTTCAACTAAAGTCAAACTCGGTCTGGAAAGTGTCATACTCGGGTCTTAATTAGCCAACCATTTTACACAAGCAAACGGTGGGTCTTAACGTGCTAGATGTGGTGCAGAGTGAGGCCCCCCTTTAAAACTAAGAACAGATCTGTGATCTAATAATTATTTAAGCCAGTGTGAAGTTGTTCATTAGGTCTCTTGAATCATATCATACATTGACACACCTGCTGAGTAGATTTACTAAAATGCCAAATAGTATGGAGACAAGTCAGGGAAGCGACTCTGAAATGTGTATTTCACAGCACTATTTACATTTACTAACATAAACTACTGATCGGACCAGACCAAATAAGGTTAGAACAGTAAAACCCTTGAGCGTTTCTACTGCTTATCATCACTCTATTCTTATGAGGAAAGAAAGTATCGTTTCAAAAGTTACAGTCTTGTATAGCGGAGGATAAGCCTCTTTCAAGCCTCACAATTAAGCGTTAAACAGGATTACCAAGAAAAATCTGGGTGCTGCCTTGGTTTAATTAAACGTGTTTCAAGGGAAGGGCGAAGTGGCTTATGTGTGGTCTTTCCCCACAGAGTAATAATCAGAATACCGCAGCTGAGGTGAAGCTAACCACATCTAGACGGATGTGGCTTTTAACTCTACTTTCACACTGTTAACAAGGAGCTTTTAAAATAATTCATCTTAGCCTGCCCTGTCATTCAAGCACACTCTGAGAGTCAGACGTTTCACAGTTTTATATGTATGGCTGCCCGCTTGATTCCTACCATCACATTTCTGTGAGACCTCGTTGAACTTGTGCCCAGCGGGGCATTTACACTCAAAGGACCCCACTGTGTTGATACAGTTTCCTCCTTCACAGATGCCAGGGATGGCCTGGCACTCGTCCACATCTGTACATACAAAGCATACAGTTAATTCACACTGCAGCACGTGGGCACACGTCGCTTGGATGTACAAAAGGAGGAAAATGATAGAGATGATACAAAATGAGCACACACAAGGACTAACATTAACACAAACATCTGTACACGTCTGGAGGTGCCTGGAGTGAAACTGGGTGGGTTTTAAGAGTCCGGCTCTGACATTACTGTGACGAGGGAAAAGAGAACGAGAGGGAGCGAGAGGAATGTCTCCTGCGGGAGGAACATAATTCAAAAAGTAGTATTGGAAAGAGATTTGACACTATGCCGTTATTAAAAAGTTGAATTTAAACCACCGGATCAGTCAATCAACCTGTCCATCCAATAACTTGTGTGAGTTGCATTGATTGGATGAATACGACGGAATTAAATGTAGGTCTCTGTAGGCTGTGACCTGATGCAGTCTCTCCACGCTGCCCCGCCCCCCCTGCAGAGGTTCTGCTATGTTGGTTCTGTGGCAGACAGGCAGAGGGCCGTCTTACCATAAATGAGCTCTCCCACGTGGCACCGCCACTGACCCGTGTTACTGACTCTGACAGCCGCGCACACAGCGGGTGTCTGCGGGCATTCCATGCACATGTGGGAGGCACTGCCACCCACCCCAATTTAACCCAATTAGAACTAATCCTCTGCAGGGGGAGGGAGGGGGGCAAACGCCGGACGGTGAGGGAGAAGGAGTTAAAACGGCTGGGGATGGAAGCGGCACTTTACCTGGAGGAAAGGAGCGGGGGAGGGCGAGAGAGACAGAAAAGGAGAGGGGGATGATGAGGAACAGACTCTTACCTTGGCACGCCCCGGTGCGGTGGTTTGGTATGAACCCTCTGCGGCAGGGCTGAGGCTGGGCCGGGCACATCTCGCAGGGGTGACCCCAAGCCCGTCCCACTGTGGCGCAGCACAAAGTCTTTGTGCACACGATGCCTGTGAGCTGGCCCTGACACATCTGGTTGTGCACCGAGGCGAAGCACGGCCCGGTGCGGTAGTCTGCAGAGGGCGAAGCAAGAGCTTGTTTTTGTGGAAACTTGGATTTGTTTTCGTTTTTTGTTTCTAGTATAAATGCGACGCAAAACAGCAACGTTTTGTGTCCTGTTTTGCACATACAGAAAAAAAAAAAAGCTTCCATTGGTTAAAGTCTGTTGGATTAAAAAAAAAGTACAACTTTGAGTTGTGACGAAGACGTTTATATTCCGGAAAAACCTGGAAGCTGAAGTTGAATCTGTGAGTGAATAACTTATATCTGGCGTACATGAAAAAGAAACGTTCAAACTGAATGCAATTTTGTGTGACATCTACAACTCCCTTACAGCGCAAGTGATGAAAGGTCTGCAGAGCGGACAGTAACACACTCCATAAAGAATGCATTGTCTGCTCCTGGCATTTTAATCGGTCTGGCTCTCAGGTGCATTGAATGTGCATGTGTGTGTGTGTGTGTGTGTGTGTATGTGTATGTGATAGAGAAAAGCACAGATAGGGACGGAGTCTGGAAAAGCTTTTAAAGTTATGAGGGGGGATGTGGAGAGTAAAAGACACAGGCTAGAAGAAACAATAAAAAAAACAGTGTGGTGCACACAACATATGATCATCGGTTCTGTAGTCGCTTGTAATGTGTGTGATAAAATATCACGTAGCAACAGTTGAGTGTGCTGCTTTTTCTCATTTTTCTACACACACACAATCCAGGGAATTGATCGTCCCTGATCAGCCAGCAGTGGCTGATTGACGGAGCTCGGCTCATAATAAACGTGCAGCTCAAGTGTGTAAAGAAAGCCCCTTCGTCAAGATTCTTAACCTCATCTCCCCTCCAAACGGGTTTATTCCTCATTCCTTTGATCCCTCCCTGGCACGCATTCACCTTCTCACCACCCCGTCCTGCAAATTCCCCACGGATTTACCGAAATCGCCCAACCTTATCAGGTGAGCGTTTGGGGAGACCGGCGAAACAGAGATAGAGGGGCGGAGAAGAAAGAGAGGGTGAAAAAATCCGTCCCTCCTTTCGCGGACGAACCTGGCCGAAATCCAGAAGCGAAAATCATTTCCACATTTCACGGGCAGACAACAGACGGCGAGAGGAAAGAGGGAGAGACCAGTTCCAACGGCGCAGTCGTTTAAAACAAACGAGACATTGTGCGTTTCCCGTGCGGACGGGGGCCCGGCCCAGATCCGTCACGTGCACCACGGCCTCCGCGCTCTCTCTCTCCGCCTCTGGCACCGGAGCTGTGTGGAACAGAACTGGGTCATCTCTGCTTCTCTTTCCCCACTCCCTCCTGCTCCGGCTCTACAGGGGACCGAGTGCTTGTAATCATTAGTCTACTTCTCTGTTCACCCAGCGGAGGAATGCAACGGAGCACATTTACCAGAAAGTGGGTACATCAAGCTAAACTGAACTCAGATCGTAATGCATCATAACAGAATTAACGGAACCAATCTAAAAAATATAAATCAGTCGGCCGGAACAGCTAGAACATTTGAGAATTATATATTATATATATTTGAGAGTTATATAAGAAGATTGATAGCTAGGCACAAAGTCCCTTTAAACCTGCAACATGTTGTTTTAAACAGATTAAACAAACAAAGTAAAGTTCATTTCTGCTAATAAGTTTGCTGGTAATCAGACTTACAGTCAGTTACTTTCAAGTCATTAGCCAGTCGTTGCTAAACTAAGCTGCATATCTAACAGACAAGTATGAGAGTGGCGTCATTCTTCATTGCATTTCCCCAAATGTACTATTTCATCAGTCATTAGGAACAGAATTGGTATCCACTTTAGTCCGCTTGTAGTAACTAATGCTAAAGCTTTTCTAAAGAAAACAAACCCAACCAGCTGCACGGGCATCTTCCGTATTCACACAAAGCCCAAACGATGCGCCTCACCTCCAACCACAAAGCAAAGCACCGCAGAGGAAAAAAGAGATAACAGGAGCTATGGAAAGTTTTTACATGGCGCCTGCATAAGTACAGCAGACTGTGTAAAGAACTCAAGTTTCTCTTTTCATCAGATTACAGTTTATGTGTTATTACGGTCGGGCCGCCACACATAATTCATCTGACATAAAACCTAAAAAAAACACAAAGATCTGAGCATGAAATAAAGCAAACACAAGTGCAGCACTTAAACAGTCAGCTGAGGTAAACAGGGAGAGGCGGACAGCTGTGGGGTGAAAGTGTTGTCATTTCATCTGTCGTCTCACTGTCTCTCTGTGAACTGCATACGTTTGGCGGATCCACCCACGTCCTGTACATCTGGGAGCAATCGCACATGTTCACACACAAACGCACACAGAACGTAAGCCAATGTCCCAGCCCCTCATCCGCAGTCTAGCCAGAGATGATCTCAACAGACCAAAACTTACAAAAATGCCGCTGCTTGTTTTTTTTTGCGTTGTTGCTCTACTTTTGAAAAAAAACGTGTTTTGCAAAATGACGGTAGTCGCCTCAGTAAAAGTGCACCTCGTTAGGCAGGCGGATAGTTTGCTTTGACGCTCATTAGCGCGCAATTTCACGTCAGTGCAGGAGTTCAAGTTAATTTTGGGCCATGATATAAATGCTGGCTTCCACAATGACCGTGGAGTTTATGCACAGCAACGGCCGTGGTGTGGACAGGAGGGAAGCCTGCAGGGAAGTGGGTCAAAAGAGCTTCCTGGATGAACTCCAAAAGGGTTGTACACACACGCAAACACACACTAAAGTCCATCCATCCTTTCCACGTCCACCCTCCTCCATTCTACCTCCTCTAAGACGGTGGGCAGACTTTATGCATATGCTTTCGTGTGTGCATGTTTGCCTGCGTTTTCCACACACTATTGGCCCGTCAGCAGACTCCTCCATCCTCCCGGGACTAACAAGTTTGAGCGCGCGCTCAAAGACACGCGCACAGACACACACACACACACACACACACACTCGGTTATCTATCTACTGAGATTTTCATTCAGCTAAAGCGCTGCCTGATGGGGGAAAGTCAGGGAGGCATTAAGAGACAAGAGAGCCCCTCAGCTGACTGCCCGGCCTCCCTGTTGTGCTCACTGACTGCTGACTTATCGACTGAGTGACTCACCTGTTATCGCTTTTCACCACCGTCCCAAAAGAACTGGCCGGCGTCACGGCGAACAGCTCAAATTTATTGCTCCGGCAGCTAAACGACCCTGAAGGCGGGAGCAGGGAGCCCTGCGTGCGATCGGCAGCAGTGCGGCTGGAACTCACCAGTCCCACATTCCGACCTAAATCACATTTGTGACCAACAGAGAAACGCGTTGATGTGCCAGGCGGCCTTTTCACTGCAGTCAGGCTGCGCCTGGCGGCGGCACCAAGTCGCTTTGACGCACAGCTCAAAGTCGCACAGCTCCGGAGTGGTGATGTGTTCACGCTGAGCCCTGATTGCACCAAGATTGCTTCCACATTCTAGAGAAACCTCCTGATTGCAGCGACTTCTCCCCTGGTCACATCACGTGGTTGCAGAAAAGCTTTTGCTTTTGTAAGTGTGATAAGATCAGGCCGTAATGTCGGGCACGGTTCTGTAAATTGCATCAAAAACAGCGTGGCGTTGTGCATGTGTGAACACATGTACGTCATGCATGCGCTTCTGGGAGAGAATGATTTCCCCTTTGGAGGTGATACTAGCCAAGGAAATTCCAAAGAAAGTAACCAAACCCAAAACGCCACTGTATCCGATGGCGTTCTTTCACCACCTCTCTTAGAGCAACAAAATGCAAGATGAAGGACCAAAAAACTGACCAATTTAGGCTCAGTGAAGTTAACTGTTGCCCATCAAAAGTCCCCAAATCCAAATCCATGAAATCTTCAAATAGCATCAAAACTCATAAATATTGATCGTATAAATTGAATGATAACATGAAACAGAATAAAACAGCAGATCCTCACTTTTGAAAAGCTCTCTAGATATATTCAGCACATCGAACTGTCAAGATGAAGTTGGTTGCCAAGCCGTTGTTTCCAGATAATCACACACACACACACACTCAACAAAACGTCTGCCTGTTCCAATCAACAGAACAGAACAACACCATCACTGTAGCAAACAGGGAACAACTATTCAAAAAGCAGCAGACGGTGACTGGCCAGTTTGCATGCTTGTCACCTTACAAGACAAACTATGCGGCCGTATCTTTTGCACGTGCACCAGAAAACACATCGCACAACACAACGGCGTTTCTTGTGTTCCCCCCGAAAAGCATACTGCCGAACTGGAATTCCTCAGCAGTCTCAGAAGCACTTTGGCCAATCTTCCACAGGAAAGAGTGGAAACCAAAGTCCCAACATGTAATGGTGTGCTTCAGCAGATAAGACCTGGCTCCAACCCACCAGGCAACCGAACGCAGCCTTATTAGCTGCACGCGAAAGTAAACTGAAGCACCGATTCCGATCCAGATTCTGAAGCACGGCCTCGTCGGAGAGGGACGTTGCTAACTAGGAGCTTTGCCGGCAATCTAAATATTAGCTTTACAAGGTCCCATCTTTGACCTCCACAGGTCATCGCCGCCACAGACCCCGGGCGCAGACACAGCGGAGGCCGCCCTCGGGTTTGCGTGCGCTTGTATACTTTGGGAGCTTTTGCTTTCGTGTGCAAGAGAGCGACCGCAGGAGGTTGGGAGGTCTTCAGTTAACAAACAGCGCGTATTTAGAAAGACGTTACATTCCCCAGAGCGTTGTTTAGGAACAGATGTGGAAAATCGTTTTCATTTCCGAGCTCAAGCTTTGACATGCAAATAAACCATCAACCGTCCACATTATTGGTGCTGGTGGCACAAGTTCAATTGCCGTCCATTCCCGGCGAGAATGTAAAGCATAGAGACAGTGTGGGCAATGCAGAGCACCGCGAGCGTGGCGCTCGTTACCTCGTTCACACTGGGCGCCGGTGAAGCCGTAGGTACACACACATCTGTTGGGGCCCACGCAGCGTCCTCCGTTGAGACAACCGTTTTCACAGACCGCTGGAGAAGAAAAGAGAAGAAAACAAGCAATGACACGACGACTAGGACGAGGAGGGATTCTCGGGATATTTTTGGTTTCCAGACTTTGGGTCTCATAGGCCGTCGTTTTTATTGGTTGTGCTAACAGTGCCGTCCCGAAATGACTTCCAGGACGACGCGGCTAAAAGGGAGTCAGATGGCAGAAACAAAACGGAGCAGCCGTTGATTGGACCAGCCACAGACAAGCAGAGAATGCCGGCAATTATCCGTCATTACAAAGGACAACAGCACACACGACCACAGAACGCATGCAAGTTGAATCACGAACATGATCTGCACACAGCACCAGATGTTTGACAGAGTTTTGATTGATCATTTTACAGTTTGACTTTGTTTTCTCTTCCAAAAAGGTCTGACTTTGGGTCTGAATGCGCTCTCTTCTCTGCCCGTTTGTTCCAGAGATGTGGCCAGTCTGCGAAAGGCGTGGGAGGAATTGAGTGCGATTCAACTCCTCTTTGTTTCAATCTAACGTGTCGATTTTAAAACATGCTGCCAATGTTAAAGTGTGTCACAGTGGGTTTTGTCGTGTTTTCTGGATGATCCTTACGTTGACCGCAGTGGTTTCCCACGTAGCCTTTCTGACACTGGCAGTTGTCCTCGGCACACGAGCCCCCGTTCATACACCGAACGTTACAGTGCTGGACTGTGGGCACAACGGCACATACACACACAAACAGACATTTGCAAAAGTCAACAAACTAAACAGAATACCCTCTGAACTGCAAAATCATGCTCAGATATTTCCTAGAAAGTCACGGCGTGCAAAGAGATAAGTACATCGAGAGCTGCAAGAAGAGCAACATGGAGGAGATGTTGACTGTGGACGTCTTCCAAAGCACACACGCACACGCCCGAAGGACTCACACACGCACACACCCCGCGAGATTGGCCGCTATTTGCAAGAACGTGATTGCAACATAGATATATATATATATATATTTAATTGCTTGACACATTTTCATGGCATGCTTTTTTGGCTTAGTATCTCATATTTCTGTACCAAAAGTTAGTGCTCTTTTAGTTTAAGGATCCTGAAGAGATCTGAGCCAATTGCAACCTCTTTCATTTCATGCCACGGAGGATAAGATATGACAAGACATCACTGCCAGACATTGTTCTTACTGCACGGTAAAATGGTTGTTCTTTCGACGGCAGATCATTACATTAATCTAAGCCAAATATCAGTGAACATCTCTGTGTATGCCAACTATATTATAAAAACCCATGAAGCATATGATAGCAAGCTTCAAAGGAGTCCACTCCGTGGGAAAGGGAAGGAACTGTTTAACAACCTGACTTGGATCCACAGGATGGGGCGATCTGGCCGTTGGGGCAGGTGCACATGTTGGGTCTGGAGCAGAAACCATCTCCACATGTACTCCGGCAGATCGCTGCAAAGGAGAACATGACACTCGGTCAAACATAACAAACTTCCTTTGTCAGGTACAAGGTAAAATAACACTGCAATGCTCACTTTATGGTGCAAAATCTATTTGCCTGTCAGTCTGTCCCCTGCTGGTTTTCTGCATGGTTTGAGTTATCAAGCACATTTTGCAACAACGTTAAGTTATTTTCCTCTTTGATTTTTGTCGGGATAAATGTCTACCAGCGTGTGTTTGCGGTTGGCGCGGCTGTTTTTTTTCGCTCATTTGTTCTCTTTCCCACAGATTGTTGTTGGCATTGTCCCCCGAACCGAGCTCCCATCAGGTAGAGTCGGGCCACTGACCCCTAAGTCCCTGAACCCCACTGCTAAACAATGTCGTTAGAGAGAGCCGCGACAGGCATCCGGCATGCCGACCCGCCAGACTGCAATCAAACAACTCTACAGCCTCTCAGGGCTTCCTGTCTACTGAGAGGGGGAGAGAGAGAGGTAGAGAGGGGGAGAGAGAGAGGTAGAGAGAGGTAGAGAGAGAGAGAGAGAGAGAGAGAGAGAGAGAGAGAGAGAGAGAGAGAGAGAGAGAGAGAGAGAGAGAGTGGGTGGGAGGAAATACAAGGAGAACAGAAACCACTGCCAAAATTCCAGAGGACATTGACCAATTCCCACTTGGTTACATCATGTTACCGGCTTCTTGTGTTCATTAACCCAACCAAAAAGGTAATCAACACCTTCAAGTGTTTGGCTTGTACGCAAGTTAAGTCCAGTTAAAGGGCCTCATTAATTAGGCAACTGACACTGAAATGATTTAACATCATTGTTATTATGACTTATTGATAATCGATCCAATCTAATGATGATCTAAACTAAAGGAGACAAAACTGAACCTGAAAGCAACAACACTTGGTAAAATCGTCAACGTTCGTTACTTATGGTGTAACAAAATAAAAACACTAAAATGTTTTTTAACAAGAACTTTTCAAGTAATGTTCCACTTTGCATCCCAGATGTGTAACATTCTATGACCTCATAGCTCTGCATACAATGAGGCAGGGCGCTGCAATACAAAAATGTCACCGAGAGCTCAAAATTCCAACCTGACCGGAATTTACGACAAAACAGGAATAATGGAAGCGATACTCACGAACAATGCACTGGTTTCCTCCGGTCAGAGTCTTCCAGCCGGGGCAGCAGTAGGCGTTGTTCCGTGAGCCACACACATTTGGTCTGGGAAAGACGCGGCATCAGAATTAATGACCCAATATACTGTTCAGATCGCTCCAAAGTCAAGTCCATCCGATTCATGAAGGCCTAAACTTCCCCCATTGCGTGCTCAGCGCCGCATACCTCAAAATTCCATTGACGTTTCAGAGGATTGGACGAGGCCCCTTCCATGATACTGAAATATGTTCATGCACATACTTCCCACAGAGCCTACTTATGACTCTCATTGCAGGTGTCATGAGTAGTGAGTATTTTACAAGAAAAAAAGTTATAAAACAATGAATACAGTATTATTTACTGCTGCTAGTGACACCGTGGATCCGTCTTGTGACCCGCTGTTGCGGTCCTGAGCCTTACGTTGGGAACCACCCGACTGGTGTTAAGGTGGGGGCTCCTTGCGGTGCTGTTGATACTTGAGGGCGCGACTGGGCACTTTTCCAATAAATAAATAATGTTGGTGAGAAGAATATTATGCTGCCCAAGATAACTGACGCACCTGTATAAAAAAAGGGGGGGGGGGGGGGAACGTCTAAGTCATCCCGCCACAGTTCTGCAATATGTCAAATGTGAATTGGTAAGCTTCCACTGGGCATGTTCTGACCCGGGGGGGTCAGTGTATACACTGTACAGAGTAACTGCAAACAGATTGAGGGGCAACACGAAGCCTGATGGATGTCTGGTTAAGTCAGCGTGACACAGAATGCCGCCCGTATGCACTTCCTTCCTCTGAAACCAGATGTTTTGATGAATTCTTTTCAAGCATGTCAAATAGGAATGCCTGCGGAGGATGCTCATTGAGCTGTCCACAGTTCGACCTTCATCAGCTGTTTGCTGTCATCGCTGGACACACACAAGTTCTTTCTTTTCTTCTCTTTTCCTCGCTCTCTCTCTCTGCGCATGCACACACATGCACACAACCTCTCCAGCGGTGACCCACTGTGTACAGCTGCAGATGTGATTTATCCACAACTGGGGTGTGGTGTTTTTGGCTGAAGGGATTAGACTGTTAGTCTCTCCCTCGCTCTCTCTCTCTCTCTCTCTCTCTCTCTCTCTCTCTCTCTGCCACAGCCACACACGACAAATGGCCTTCTTTGTCTGCAAGTAAATTATTTAATAAATTATAATTGCGGTCAGCAGGAATGTGATATTCTTGCCAGTATTTAATTGCGCGGAACTTCCCATCGCGGACAATGTCTCCCATGGGTCTCTGCGTGCCTGATTAAAAACCTTCAATGGTCATAAAAGAGTTTTACGCGAGCAGAACTGACACCTGCTGCAAAAGACACGTTAAGATACTCATTTAAATGAAAAGCTGCGTGTAACACATATAACTGGCGCACAGTGTTGGAATAGAAAAACGTTGAGAATTGGATTCACTCCGCATCGCATTTACCCTCTGAGGACGTCCGACCCTCCCCTCCTCTTGGCCCTGGTGGCTCGGGAGTCGGTCTGCTTGCTCATCGTCCCGCTGTCCTCGGTCTCCAACACCTCTGCGGCGTCTCCAAGCTCGGCGCAGAGCGACAGCAAGGCCACCAGAGCCACGGACAACTGCAGCAGCCGTCCTCCACGCTTACAATCCGGCATGTCCACTCCCAAACGCGCACAGCTCCAGTGCTCGGGAGAATAAAAGTATCCGACAAAAGGTCTGGAGTCAAAGCTGCAACAAAAAAAAAAAAAAAAAAAAAGAATAAAGAAAGTTACAAAGAAAAAAGAAGAGAAAAAAAAGTTTGGAAAAGACGCACAGGAGAGCGCAGAAGATGCTGCGCATAAAAATAAAAAAACAACTCTGCTGCACTGATGGCTGCTGTGATATGGATTATAACATAATTAAGTTTTTAAAAAAGCATTCAGGTGATAGGCGCAAAAGCAAAGGCATGCAGTGTAGATCATGTGCAGAATTGCGCACGACTGAGTCGTTACTTTACCTCGTCTCCCGAACAGGAGATTCGCCTCCGACCCGACAGAGGACTACTTGACTCTTAACTTACAGGTACTGCGGAACACAAGTTAGAGGAAAAGTGCGGAGAAGGTGCTATAAATAGATGCGCATCGTAACTTCTGCAGTCTGCTGGTGTGCATCCAGTTGTGTGTTGACTTTGCATTCCAGAGGATGAGAATGGCAAAAACTCACTGTGTGTGTGTGTGTGTGTGTCTCTCTCTCTCTCTGCCTCTCTCTCTCTCTCAGCAGAGCTCTTTCCTCATCCCCTCAACTTTACCCAAACCTTTCTCTCTCTCTCTTTATTCCGCTGCTCTCGCGATACGAAAGCTTGAGTGGAAAAAAAAAGAAAAAAGTTAAACTCAGGACCCTTCGCTCCAACTTCCAAACTTAAATCGATTTAACACAGAGCTGCTTATACAATCTATTGTGTCAAATATAGATTAGGAATAATCCGTTTTTTTAACAATACACTTGGCATAATTTTTTTAAGGACTTGCAGTATAAAACCCTGCACTGTAAATTTTAATCTAGATTTACTGTCGACAGCTGAACTCAGTCTGAAAACAATGACAGATAATCTGTCAGTGGCTTCTACATAGACTTTAGTTCACAAAATCCCCATTTACAATCCTCCTCATCTAGTAGTGAATTATGTCCTGTGCATACACACACTGTGCATGCTGTGTGTTTTGAGGAATTTTGTCCACAGCAGTGATAGTTTTCACACACTGATTCATGTCTGCAGCCGCGCCCAGCAAACACAGACTGGGCCCGGCTCCACTCTCCAGTATACTATATCACCCCAAAGCTACATTGGTTTCCACTATCAGCTTTTTCCCCTTTTCCTTCTCCTCTTTATCATCCACATTCTCCTCTCACACGTGTTAGAATACGCCTCAACCTGCCTTTATTCACAGATTGTGTTGATTTAGCACAATTTCTTCTTTTTTTTTTTTTTTAAATAGTTTCGATCACAACAGAAGTAACACGAAACTTTGCTGCTGAAAGGCTGAGACAAAACATTGAATTTTCTCTTTCTGCTGAAGCACTCAGCTGTCACTCGGAACCGCAACACTAAGCTCTTCTGTCAAGAAAAAGGGTTGTGACCAACCGAAGCTGCTCCAACAGGCGTCACGACGTATCTAGTAATTCATCTGATGCAGAGGGAACCTTATATTCTATTAACTTCCACAACTTTTCTTCTCTTTTCCATCCTGTGACACCCAGGTCGAGGCACACGTCTCCACTGGCCCTCGCAGACATCTCCGGTTGGATGTCGGCCCACCACCTCAAACTTAGTCTCAACAATACTGCACTGCTTTTTGCCCGCCCTGGAAAGTCCGGCAGCCCTCTGCAAGGCCTCTCCATCCCTGCTGACGGGGCCACGTTTGCTCCTGAACGGAGCGCCGGGAGTCTTTGTCTGCCTCAAGACGGCTCGGGCAGCAACCACAGCCTGCGCTCATTTGTCTTCTTCTAATCACTGTCCTTGAAAAGCTTCACTTTCTCTAGAGCCACTGCAGCTCTGTCAGAAAACCTCCACCAAGATATTGGAGGCCGAACATCTTCAGTTTCACAAGTTTCCCTTTTCCTGGTGACCGCAGGCCCAGACCAGCACTAAAACAAGATACAGCTTTATGTGTAACCTCCACACCAGGTCTACTAAAACACATAAAGTGAATGTAAGGTTAACGACACGCGGCCCCTCGCCTGCCGCTCACCACTCCTGCATGGTTATGGAGCACGTGCACAAGAGCACCTGCGCTTCACGAGCCTCTTAAGGGTCGAGGTTCATGGTGTTCCCTCCAGCAACTGCATTGTTTCAATATTGACAAAAGTTTATGAACCATCAACCCAGTGTTGGAAGAAGTACTCTGACCTTCTACGTACGGTAAGTAAAACGTTACCACAGTGTGGAGTGGAAGTGCCTTCGAATCTGCAACACCCCCGTCCTCACATCTGGCAATTGTAAAAAGCACTCATGCAGAAAGGACGCGCTGCGAGATAAGAACGTCATTTGCAGTATTTAATGCTTTTTACAGTGGAGACAAAGATCCAGAGGAAAGGAGAAAAGGTCTCGAGTCAAGGAATGAGAGGCTTTGGGGGAGAGGCAGAGGGCAGAAGTGTCCACTTTTGATTGGTTTGTTTTGACAGTAAGACAGCCTCTCCCCGGTGTTTTGGAGCCTCCTCTCTCCCTCCCTCTCTGCATATAGCTGAGATCAACCTCTGGAACATAAGCGTGGCCTTGGTGTGAGACGAGGCTGAATAGCTGTGTGCTCGAGCGTGAAGCGGTCTGCGGCATGTTGGTGGGAGTCAGAGGCCGCTCACTGGCTTTGCTTTGACATCCTCGGTGTCGGCCGTTTGACGTGCTTCTATTACGGATGTTTCCTGCCTCAGTACATTCACCTATGTGCCGTATACTTAAAGCGACAGTTTTACATTCCGCCAAATATGCTTATTTGCATTTCTGCCGGGAGTTAAAAGTTAGCATGTTTATCTGGTGAACACGAAGCTACTGGATGTGTGCAAAAGCAGATAATGGAAAGAATAATTCAAACACCTTTAAATGTAAACCCAAAATTAAGTGCAATTAGCATTGATGCATAAGTTCAATATTATAAAATAAGTATTAATTGAATGGCAATTACATATATGTAACCAGTGCATTACCTAATCAATACGTTTGATTAAAGTAAGAACATTTGGGGAAATAAGCAGAGCTGTCAATCTTTTCTTACTTATTATTAAATCATACTACTTATTTTCCTAATGAATTTCATTCCAAGGGGGAATATTTGTACAACAATCAACAATCATGATAATTGAATAATCACAAAAAAGTCAAACTATATAAAACTTTCTGTCCCCAGAATGATTGGAACATAGGAAACAAACTTTACAATAAATTATAGATAATAATAATGTTATCACAGTAACCCGAGTAGCAATCTTAAGAAAAAGTGAACTGATCAATAATGCGAGGTGTTTATGGATCCTTTGGATGACAATGCAGAGACTCCACCACTAAAGACGGCTGTAAATCCTGAGACACACACACACACACACACACTGCAGTGTCAGCGTGACGTCAGCGCGCATCGTTTCTCCTGAATCTTCAAGTCATTGAAAGTCAGTCAGGTGTGGGAGCAGACAGCACTGATGGGCACCGCTCCTCCTCGACACAGAGGAGGTGTCACTTACAGTAAGACGCCACCTCCTTCTCCGTCCCACCCACCCCTGCTTTCTTCAGTTGATCCCCTTTGCTGGGTAGCCGAGCGTGGGTTTGTATTTACTCCACTGGGCTGAGAGTGAAGAGGTTGGATGAACACGAGGCGTCTGACTCGTCGTCCTCTGATAACACAACTCGTGCACTTAAATGTCTCTTGCTTTAATGTTTCCACAGAGGCGCTTTTCTTTTTTTTTCTGGCTGCGCCACAAATATTCCTCCACCAACTCTGTCTCTTAGTTCATGAGCTTCAAATACGGCAGGGCAGATTTTATTAGCTCAGATTGAGCAGCGAGACTTTCTCACACTGCGTGTTGCCTTTGGCTGCAGCAGCTACGGTTCATTTCCTTTTGTCTTCTGCAGCACAAATGCTGCCAATATTCATGTGAAATATTTCAAGAAAATGAGCTGCAGCAGAAATGAGTCTCCACCTCCTCCCCTCCCCGCCCGTTTCCTCTCTGCCACACACACACACGGAGAGAGTGCATGTAGGTGTGTGTGTGTGTGTGTGTGTGTGTGTGTGTGTGTGTGTGTGTGTGTGCAATCGGGGGACTTCTACTTATTCTGGAGTTGGCTTACTTGCTTTGAGGATAGTGTAATGAGTTCTATCAACAGTTTGGGCTTGGTCATCTATTATAACACACACACACACACGATTTTGTACTGCAGTGCACTGCTGCAGTACAAAATCACCTCCAAATAACTAAGAGATCCCTGTTGGCCTCCAAATGGATCACTTTCGTGCACTCATTTCCCTTAAAGAATGATTTCATCACACCAACAGAACAGAATTATCTGGGTTATAAAAAACTGTAATTGGTCCTTTTCAAGGTGAGGTTTCCTCTTTTAAGTACAATGGTCATGATGAGGAGGCGACGGGGACGGTGTGAGTCATCTCCATGTGTCCTAGGAGCAGAGTTTAGTCACCCTGGATGTGTTCTGTCCGTGTTCTGCATCTGGCGTCACCGCTGATTGAGAAAGCCGGTTCTCAATGAGGCGTTAGGGACACACCCGACGCTTGGAGAAAAGTAGTGAGAAAGCCCCTCGTATCCCAGATCCTCAATCTGAGCAATAAACACTTCTGAATCTGTTGGTATAAACACCCGGGAGGGTATGAATGTTCCTCTTGTGTGTTCAGGGAGCTGCATACGAATCCAATGCACAAATAGAAGGGACTTTTAAACAGGATGACATCAGCGAGGACACGAGTTCTTGAGACTGCGCAGGAAGCTACGGCTGCTGGAAGGACCGGACACATCCTTCTTAGTTTCTGGTGATTATACACTATTTGAATGTTAGTTATCAATATAATGATCAATTTCTGCCAAGACATCCACCTGAGTCCCTCACACTGGACCTTTAATGCACAGCTATGAACTTTGGCGTTGAGGCGGCAGCTATAACAGATGTTTTTAACGCAGCTTTGTCCTCATTTAACAGACTAGCAGGAGTGGTATCGACTCTCAGCAAGAAAGAAAAGTGTGTTTCAAAAAATGCCAAAACGCTGCCTCGAAGGCAGTTTATACGTGTGAGGCAATGCGCTGTTAAAATCCACTTGCTGTGCAATAAAAACGACGAGTTTGCCGTTAATAATATAGTTTGATACACAAACTGGGAATTCTACTTTAAGGTGATTTCGGAGGTTGTAGCTGAGGCATTGCAGTGTAATACGTTTTAAGGTGTTCACGTTATTTTGTCCACATGCTCTGTTTGAGTATACGTAACCTGCAGGCCACAGTGGATAGTATTTTTGGCTCGAGTCATCCATCCAGGCTGGTGTAGCCGCCTACTTATCTCCCCTTCACATGTGATTTATGCAGAGTCAGTGTTCCCCCACACGAATCTGACCATCTTAGGGATGGAAAACATTCCCTGTTGAGTTTTCCTGCCCTCGCCATCTGTAACAGACACTCAGCACAGACGTAGGGACTCATAAACACACTCTATGCAAATAGACACATTGAGAAATACACTAATATACACACTACTCCGGTATTAATGGGATTCCTTTATGCTAGGTGAGAGGGATGACAGAGGAAGGGGGCTTTCAACAGAGATGAAGCAGATAATTGATGGCAGTGATGGAAAAGAGAACTTAACTGCTGAGTTCTGTGGACAAAAGCTTCGCTTCCACGTTGTTTGGGACGGACTTTTGTATAAAATGACAAAAAAAAAGGAAAAGGGCCAAGAATTTCTGTGAGATTGCACTTCAGTGTTTGTTTCAAAGCACTGACTTCAGCATGCTAACCTTGCTAATGTGTCATCATGTTTACCATCATTCGCTAATCAGTCCTAAACAGAAAGTAGAGCTGAGGATCACGTGGGTTCCTTAGTTTTACAGGGAAGTGAGGAGGGAAGTGACAAGACTTTAACTTTTAAAATGTGGCTACAATGAATCTAAAAGATGTTCTGCTATTTCACTGAAGAGCCGGGAAAACGATGACCTGCTGATTTCACTTCATAAAAACCAGAGACATGGTGAAAGGCTTTACGATTAATCCTCTGGGAAGACAATCCATCTAATAAATGAGATATTAAGTGTGGACTAAGTATATATTTCATGTGTCTGGAAGAAAAATAAACTGTGTTACAGTATGTCAACATCGATCGGAGACGGAGAACAAATTACATCCATTGCGTTTAACTATGTTTCACACCCACGGTCTGTGAGAGCCCAAACAGAAGCAATGCGAGAATCATTTTTACAAGCAAAGTCTCATAAAATTAAGAAGAGTCATGGCGGTGTCATTGTGATAAACACAATATTTAGCTGCAGATCCTTCAGGTTCTCCATAAAAAGCAGATTCACTGCATCATCCCTATTCAAAGTCTTGATCCCGGCCTCGGCTTGGATTCCAAAAGGAGGATTGTGCGCTGAGGGCCAAAGCGTGAGGAAACTGCAGAGGAATGGAGAGCGGAAAGAGACACTGTAGGAAAAGTTGCCTTTTGTAGTTGGATTAAAAAAAGGTTTTGAGTCTCCAACATCTGCTTGCTGCCTCATGCAAGAATCCTGGAATCCCCCTGATCATCACCATGTCACACACACACACACACACACACACACACGGCTATGTTTTCCTGACTTTTGTGGGGCATTGCGTTAACTTACCTTCATTTTCTGGAAACTCACCGTAACCAACACATAAACGCAACCTCAAACCGAGCCTCGACCCTAAAATCTACTGGGAGGGAACACGCATTTTGTCCCCATAAGAAACACACACACACACCAATGCAGACTTAATTTCAATCCACCACCGCAGCATGAAAACAAACATTTTCAATGGAGTTTTTAAACCAAATGGCAGATAAGCATTGCTGCTATCTGAACACACACAGACACGCACACACAACACAGTCCCCCCTCGGAGCACGAGCTAATGGCACCATGTGACACTGACCTATAGTTTCCAACAGGGGAATGATAGAAAGAGAGCAGAAAGATGAAGATTTGGAAAAGGTAAAGAAAGCTCAGGACACATTATTTTAAGTTTAAGGACAGGAATTTGTGATTTTGAGTGTGTGTGTGTGAGTCTTTGTGTCTGAGGGCTGGGACTTGAGGGTAGAAGGAGGTAAAAGCTTGACTAGAGCGCTGCTGAGGACTGAGGTGATCACTGTGGGGGTTTTACACACACACACACACACACACACACACACACACACACACACACGTCCACTCTGCAGCGACTCTGGCCAACAGCAACTCACTGTGTACTCATTTAACGGAGACTTTTGGCTCACTCCCCTGCACAGCATGGCCCGACTGGTTCCTGACCCGTGGAAACAGGAAAGAAGGACCAGGGAACAAAAAAAAACTAGTGCGCGTCTTTAATTTGTGTGCATTTGTTTGCGCTCCTCGCGTGACCTACTTGTCTCCAGAGGAACATACGTGTAGATGTTGGCCTGCCAGTAAGCGCTGCAACACGGACCCGTCAGTGGCCAAGTCTCGTTTCGCTTCGTCCCGGGTTTGAACTGTGCGTGACTCCGATAACATTGTGGTGAGGAACAATGTCATGCTCTCGTCCTTTGGATGCTTTTTATGACTTTAATTGTTCCATTAAGGCGCTTCGGGGTCCTGGAATGCTTTGTCATATATGTGTGTGTCTGTGTGTGTAAAGCTAATGCCCTCAGGCCCATCGGCACTCAAGTTTATTCTATAAAGGAATTCATAGAGTTCAGGCTTTTTAAAGGTCCATTGCTGGTGCTGATGGCGTAATTTTTCTACTCCTTGGTTTATATTATTAAGAGTCATAGATATTATTAGTGAGACTGATCATCGCACTGACATTCAAAAAGCTAAACACAACAGAGCAATTCTTTCAGCTCCAATTGTAATTGTTTGATGCATTATGGTTAATAGTTTAAATATTTTTATTATTTTGCAGTTGCTATAGCACATAGTGAAAATCAAACCATTTCAATATGGAGGTCTGTAGAAATCTCTATCATTTATAGTATTCAATAACAATATAGAAACAGTGGTAATGAAGTAGAGCATAATTAAATAGCAAAATGTAAGCACAACGTATTAAAGCAAAATCAAGAGTATAATGAATACATTCAAAAACATCCTTCTGCGTCATGCATGTTAATAACTAACGTTTATATTATGTTTACATGACAACACAACACAGGTTACCAGCTGCTGCTATGACATAAACGAGGGGTCAGAGGTCAAACAGTGACCTCACCGTTTTGACAACATGTGGCCATCAGCAGGCCTCGCACATCTGGAGGGTAAGGCCTCACTCACTGGGTCACTGCTGCTCTCGCTGAGTTGTTTTGGGCGAGGTCCGTGTGACTCAGAGAAAGTCCAGAGAGACGTAATAGACTCGGTCAAAAAAAAAAAATCACCTGATTTTACGCTTTTGAATGCTTTCATGTTATTAGATGATAGTTGTATACGACTCTTGGTTTGCAGGGAGACACTTTCGTTTTGGCTACTGACTGAATCGGATACGAGGCAGATGTCATTTATCATCTTAACTTGAAGTGCATTCATTTCCTGCTATTGTAACACGCCAGATAAGCCCTCTTTTTGTCGCCCTGAGAGCTGAGGATTGTGGGAAGTTATGTGAGATCTGTGATTACATTTGACAGCGTAATCGGAACAGAAAGGCTTTTAGTGATGTTGTTCTGGAGATACCCCCTCGGTGTTTGCATCAGCCGCTGGTTCCCTGATCTGAGACCAACAAGCCGCTCTGAGGGTGATTAATGTGGGCGAGACCCTTCCGAGCCTCACGAGAGGACGACGAGGGCCACAGCCCGAAAAACCAGTTGCATACTTTTAGCACGCGGTCATCTTTCACTTCACCAAAAGTGACAGGCTGCTGAAAGCTGGGAAAAGTGGAGCAGCCAGTATTAAAGGTTTACACGTTAGTCAAAAGAACACTGGAAAGGTGAAAGAAAATGCAGGTCACTGCTGTTTAAATCACAGAGGAATGAAATCAGCACACAATCTTATTTTTAAAAGTATTTTAGAAATTTATCCCAAACCGTATTTAACTGATCAATAAAACATAAGATGCTAAAGGAAAATTAGCTTCTTTTTTTAAGGCCGATAGTGCCATCTTGTGGTTTAATAAATCCAGGCAGTTAAAAAAGTGGAAAAACTGATATTTACAAAGGAACATTTTAATCAACATGTGAAAAGTTACGTGACAAATACATTTAAAAATCACAATTAGATGCAACTGCATTTGATATGAATAAAAATAAAAAAAATCACCAGAAAATTCAAAAGACAAATATATTCAGCCTACTATAATAGAATAATATTTTTTTTAATCTTTTTACCCTTTGCTGTCATCTAAATCGTTATTTTAGGAATCTTTTCAGTATTTGTTTGATGATTATTTTATCATGTTAGTTATTGCAGTACACACTGAATGTAAATTAAAAGGGTTATCGACGATGCCAATGAACTATTAATTAATATATTGTCTGTCACTCATGATTACACGCCCCTCCCAGTTGATGCATCGCCCCTTACAGCACATCAGGGTCAAAAGTCTGAATGTGAGAAAAAAAGATCCGAACGCGAAAAAAAGTTTTGAATTCGAAAATATAAGATTTGAATCTGAAATTAGAAAATATAATACAGTGAATATCAAAAATAAATACAAGGGGAGAATGAAAAATAATATTTTATTCAAAAAAATTATAAAACAGTCCAAACTATATTCAACCCGAAAATACTTTTTGGGCACTTATTTTTATTTTGAATATATTGTTGTATTTTTCAATGTTCAAGAACAAAACTTTCAGGTTCACATTTGTTTCTCAAATGAACAAAACTTTTGACCTGGATTTGGCTCCATATGTATCCTCCATGTCAATCATGTTTCCGCCTGTTCTTCCCCGGAAAAGGTCATTTTTATCCACTAAAGATTGCAGAAAAAACGGCCGGTGACCAAAACTTGTCATTCAAAATAGACTTTTGATCATGAGTTTCCATAGCAACTCTAGACGCGTTGGAATTAGCGGGGCGAGATCGCTAATGTTACGCGAGACGAGGGTACTTTATTAAGGTTAACTAAATTGTGTGACGTCATCTTCCTCCATAAATTAGCAGTGGTGGAAATAACTACCCTACCTGTTGAGTTAATTCTTGAACTGTTTGAGGTACGTTATGCTTTTTGCTTATAGGTCTTCCCCACGCAACTCGTCCTACATTCATTTTACTTTTTACAGATCATCTTTTTTCAATTATGAGTAACGTTACTTTTACTTTGTTTTTGTGTCTGCAAAACACTTATCCAAGTCACCTGACTGTTAAATCAATCCACTTTTCCTCTCTTGCAATCACATAGTAGTGAACACTGTTGGACACAGGAAATAGACTCCTACAAAATAAGACAGCAGATTTCACATTCGCGTCTACGCCACACGTGTAAGGTTAAATAAAACTGAAACACAATCTATAAATCATGTGACTAATGTGCAGTTTGCTGGCTGAAATAGATCTGGAAAATCAATACACTTCTTCCCAGGCTGCTCTTTCAAATATTGTTTTGTCCTTTTTGTACTACAAAATAAAAGAGGCATCCAGCACAAAAGTGAACGTAGGAAATGTCTTCTGACCAATGGGAGTGTGTTCACTGGCTACTTGTAACCTCAAAAGACATATTGGCTGCAGTAGGAAATATATAACTGCATCAATGTTTTTGCTTTTATTTCATTGGTAGGAATTAAATCTAGATATTGAATCGCTACATACAACTATGCAATGTTTGAAACGTTTACAGATGGAAAAAAAGGATGAAAATAAACATTTCAACGGGTTTTCTCGATGAAACATACCATGTCAGACGTGTGTCTCTGTTAACGTATAGTTGTATATTTAATTTTGTAACAAGTAGTAAAGTAGTAAATGTGTGCTGTAAGTTTTCCCTCAACTTGATGATAATTAGCTTATAATGAAGGATACGGATAAATAAAGTTGTGTTTCTGTGGTTGGAGAACTAACAAGACATAAATTACAAAGAGAGCTGACTATTTGATAAACTTACTGGAAAAAAAACATTACTGTTTGCATATTTCCCATTTTTTCTGTTGTTGTGGACTGTTTACAAAAAGCATTTTAATTGGGATTCGAAAGTCAAGCAGGGAAAATGGGAACACGAAGCAACCGCAAAAAAAAACAAATGAACACGACGAATTCAGCAAGTCAAAAAGAATGATTGTGGAAGTCTTCCAACATTCTGGTAATTTTCTTGTCCCTGGGCTTGGATTTTGAGTAAGCACCAGCTAATTAATGATTGATTGATATATTCAGCCTGAGAGCGTTGGTATGTTCTGCAAAAGGTGTCCAAAGGTTTAAAGTTTTTTTTGCTTGTGGACAGCTCCAAAAGCAGAGAACTGCTGCTGCAGCTCAAACGTATGCATGCTATGAGTGTATGTGCGTGTGTGTGTGTTAGTGTCTTTGTAGTATCGGCTGTCTCAGACACAGCTCAATGCTTCCAGAGATGATGGGCATCTTGTTCTCCATGTGGAAACGCACCAGGTGACCAACACTCAAAAACACCTGATCGCGGGTCCGTACCTGCTTACGCAAAAACACACACACACACACACACACACACACACACACACACACACACACACACACACACACACACACACACACACACACACACACACAGTTTAACGTCAGAACCGGCTGCCACTTGCATCTGTACGTGCTTTGTGTATCTGATATCCAGCACCGAAGCCCTGTACCTGTCCAAGTGGATCCACCAGCAGCAGGTGACGCACGGTGGCTCCCTCCATCCCGCTGAGAACATACTGACCAGACGCAGAGCTGCTCTCTCTGACCAGAAAATCCCCGCTGCAGGTGAGAAGTGACTCCGCCTGATCCCTTCCCAATCTGGGATGGAGAACGTACACACATTTTTAAGTTGAGTGATTCAGAAGTGGAAAAGGAAAGCGATGTTGATTACCTGCCGTGGAACCAGACTTCCTCCTGGATCAGGTCCTGGATCAGTGTCTCAGAACGTTCAGCACTGGTCTCACACGCCACTGACTCTGAAACAATAGAAGAAGAACAGAGCGGTCTTCAGCGGTGGGCCGCTACATTCAGTAGTCACTATAAACCAAGATGTCAACTTATTTTCAACTGGGCCGTTGTATAAAATCTATAAACTTATTGTCAGTAGGGTTCGTTTGAGACTTTTCTTAAAATCGAATCTTCCAAATCAGCTCCAGTTCGAAAAACTCAAATTTCAACTGAGAGTTGAGATGTTTTAAAATGACTGCATTAAGTAGAGAAAATGGCAGATTCAATCCTGTTGAGTTTGATAACAATTCTGAATGTTTTGGTCATTGTCGCATCAGCAACGAGTCCAACAATCTAACAAAAACAAAGAGATCATTATGTGGAAAACTAATAATGCTGTTTTCGCCTTCACAAGGAGACGTGTAGGCTACTGATTGGTTTAATTTATTCAGGACTATAATACTTTTACATGTGATTTAAAGCAATATAGCTTTTTGGTTGAAACCATATAACTTGTTCTACCTGATGAGGTTTTTCACTAAAATCACGCTGTACAGATGGGATCGATTTTTTTTACCCTAATTGTCAAAGAAACACAAAGTGGTTACATTCAGACACACACACTGCCGTGTATGGATGAGTTTTACCTGCAGGTGGAGCTGAAGTTTCTTCTGTGATGGAGCAGTTCTCATAGAGGGAAAGAGGCTCAAAGGAACAAACCTGCAACAGCACTAGATGAGTCATTCAGACAAGATGTGTGTGTCTGTGTGCGAGTGTGCATATGTGCGCGTGCGTGCGTGCGTGCATGTGCAGGAGCACTGATGGCTTACCGGTTGGAGACATTTGCTCATAACCAGAAAATCCCCGTACTCAATTTCCGCAGTAGCACAATCGTTTAGGAAAGTTATTACCAACAACTAAAAGAGGGTTTAAATACATTACAGGCACACGCCTAAGAACTATTAGCATTAACCCAAGGGGCTCATAATGAGCGCTAACTGTCTAGTTCTTTGACCAGAAAATGATGCACATTTTCATGACAACAGAATACCTCGATATACTGAGCAGGAGATGCATTTGAAAGCTTTGGAGAAAAGTTGAACTTCTTGTTCTGGTTTTTTTCTGGTCTCCCGGATGCTAAATAAATATCTAATGTTAATGTCACTCTTACCCCAAATATGTCAGGATCCTGTTTGTTTTCCACGCTGGTGATAACCAGGTCCTTTATTCCACCAGCGGACGGCGTCTTTCTAGGGACCACGTTGTAGTAGTCACGCTGCTCGCTGGCTTCCACTTCCTGGTTGGCCTTTGGGTCGGATACTCTCTCCTCTGGGCTCGATTTGGGACAGATCCTCACCACTGACCTGCAGGCAGAGAGATACTTGCCTTCACCTCACTCCCTCCACTGTTGTATGACCTCCGTTACTACGACGCACACGCAATTACGTACTCACACAAACATGTACAAACACAGAAAAAGATATCTATTGTATTGATTTCTTTGAGTTTGCTTTAAAAATGTCTGCGTGTGTGGATGCAACATTTGAACCCACAAAAACTATGACTGCAACTAACATTTTTATTACCAATTTATCTGCCAGTATTATTTTGAATTGATTAACTATTTTGTCTAAATGAATTTCAAACATTTTCAAATCACTTGTTTTGGTTAAACCAAGAGCAGAACCAAAATACATTCTATCTTCTGTATTTACAGATTATCCGTCTAAAAGACCAAGAAAAGCATCACATGTCGGAGTAGCTAAAGAAAAGCAAATGTTTTAACAAAAAGAAAATATCTCTGTCCGTATCTTAATGTTATTTTGCAGTACGGCACAAACATACAATTACAAAAAACAGTTCTCGGCAGAATAAAGGCCCCTCGATCAAAAAAACAACACTAAACTAAGATAATTTAAAAGCCAGTGAAAATGACTGTGGGTCAACGCGGACCCGCTAAGTGGCCCGTCTGATCAGTTTGCCTGAAATACACGTGAAACCCCCCCAGCCGACAGAAGGACAACCTGTTGGAGAGGAGCGACGGCGTGTGGTTGAGAAGTTGTCGGAAACGATTCTCGAAGGCCTGACCGATGCTGTTGATTACCTCGCTGGCACGACCCCTCGGACACTCCAGGATGTGACATGCTGTCAGAGAGAGAGAATGAGACATATTATTTTTCAATTCCATATAATGGATAGTTAAAGGATAAAGGCACTAAGTCCAGTGGAAGCTCATTATGATGATGATGATGATCTTAAACTATGCATCACCTCTCTGATTGACGAGGTCCTTGGCAACATAAGCGATGTAATTGGCCATGTCCTGCAAACAGATAGAAAGAACATGTTTGGTAAAACAATGTCAAATTTGTTGACCACTGTGGCAGCAAATTGCAATTTCAATATGCTAAAGAGTACAAATAGAAAAGATCACACTAAGGATAACAGCAATCCGGCTAAGTACGACTGTAGCAGTGAGTGTATTGAAGTGAATAGTTTCCCTTTTATTACCCCAAAACTCTACTTTTCATTTGTAAAAGAAAGATAATGCTATTTTGACTTTCATAAATCACTTCTTACTGTTTTTCTGCATTTGTACGAGCACAAGGCCGCTACAAAACCCCGCACATGTGTTGTTGCGTTTATAACCTGTGCATCTGGTGGGTTTAGGCTCAATAGTTCATGATTTAATCATGGAAAACACAGCAGACGTTTTCAGTTAATTGGTCGTCCACGTGTATTCTGTTTAATTAATTTACTTCCTATCAGTGGCTCCCTGATACAAGAGCACAGTCAGCGGGATACGCTCCACCATAAAGCCTCTGGCAGATTGATTTGAATTCACTGCGCTATCTTCAATGTGTCCAAGCAAACTGAGCCGAGGCTCAGAGCACACTGCAAGATTATTTTAGCTAATTAATCAAACAACGAGCTATAATCCCATCCAAAGCTTCGATGGTGTTTCCCCGGAGAGAAATTGCCTCAATGTCCTCCCTGATCTTTGGCCAGAGCAACGTTGCTGTGTCGCAATGAAAATTAAATATTAAATAAATACGCTTCATAGTTTGTTGGAGCGAGAAAAATGGAGTTCATGAACGCCAGCTAAATCCTCAGTAAGCGCTTTCATTAGTCAAGCTATTTGCAAGCAGGATATGACCTAGACTAGCTAATAACTGACATGTCCTGCTGGCTGTCAGACATTAAGTGCATTGATTGATTTATTTTTCACTCAGGATGCATAACCCACATTTTTTCATCTGGAAATAATGCGTGAATGGAGGGAAAGAGAATCAAACAATGATTGGTAAGATTAAAGATCAACTCTGGTTAGTTAAGACAGAAGAAAGAAATCCACGATTTGTTGCTTATTGTTCTGCATTACCTTACACACTGATTTTTTGACCTAATTTCTTTTTTCTTTTATTCCATAGTAAAATAACAATTAAATAACATTAAATAAATAACAATTTAAATAACAATTATTTTGTGTTTTTTTTCAATGACATTGTTAGGACTTTTTGTTTTACTTTTTCCATAACATTTTACAAATTAATATTTTTTGACATTTTTTCCAAGACATTTTTGGACCCAATATTTTTCTACTTTCTTTCAAACATTTTTGACCTAATATTTTTGGACATTCTTTCAAACATTTTCAACCCAATATTTTTTTTACCAAAATATTTTTTGGTCTAATATTGTTGGGCTTTTTCCCCCATTATATTTTTTCTAAACATATTTTGACTTTACTTTCCATGACATCTTTTTAATCCAACATATTTTAACTGTTTTTTGAAAATATTTTCTGACCTGTTATTATTTTTTTCAAAACATTTTTGGCTTAATATTTTCAGATGTAGTTTGACTCTATTTCCAAATATTTTTCGACCTAATATTTTTGGATTTTCTTATCAATAACATTTTTCAACAAAACATGTTTTGACTTTTTTTTCCATGACATTTTTGAACCTATTTCTTTAAACCTTTTTTCAGGAATCAGGAACATTTATTATCAAAATATGTTAGGAATTTGACTTGGCGGTTGGTGCATAACATCGGACAGTAAGACAATGGACCACAAGACAGATAAGACAAAATAGTGCAAGAAAATGGCGTGTAAAATTTACAAATTTACAATTGGACTCTACGGTATGAAATAAAACATAAGGCTATGGGCTAGAGGGATATAGAATAAACCATTTCAAAGTAAAAGATAAGAAGGAATATAAATTACAAATAAAAGTTAAAAATAAAGTGCACCAGCGAAACGATAGCCATACTCTACACAACTATGTTGTGAGTGTATGTAAAAGTGACAAGTAAAAGGTGCATGTGGAGTGTGAAAGAGTGACCGGTGGAGAAAGGGGTCTCAGCGTCAGTCAGTGGGGGATCCGGCCTCCGTTGAGCCCGACTACCAACGGGAAGAAACTGTTTGTGTTACAGGAGGTCTGGTCCTGATGGACCTCAGCCTCCTGCCAGATGGAACAGATCTTGTCTCTTGTTTTGGTGAGAGGAGTCGGCTACAATCTTTTTTGCCTATTTTTGACCGAACATATTTTGACTTTTTTCTCAAAACATTTTTTGACCTAATTTCTTTGCACTTTTTTTCCCGTGACATTTTTCAACAAACCTTTGTTGGTTAACTTTGAGAGTATTTTCTAAGCTGCTTGGATTTTTTAGTATAGCCACATGGTATAAGTTTCTGTCCAAAGTGCAGCTCTTATCGGCCTGATAAATACGGACCTCACACCACCAATTAACAGTGAAAAAGATTCAAGCATTTTGGTTGGAAATAATTCAATCCTCCACACATGGCAGCAAACCAAGCAGTAATCAAGCTAAATCAAATCAGTTCCTCTACGTACGTATGTGTAAGTGTTTGTTAACATGAAACATTTGAGAACATACTGGATCTCCTCCTGAGGCAAATGAAACAGCCTGCATGGGGTGGTGGGCAATCTTCTATGGAGGAGAAGAGAGAGGACAGAAGCAAGCACAAATGGGTTTGTTTTTACTCTGCAGGCCTCAAGAACGAAGACAGTTATAACTTGGTTAAGCGTGTTGAATCGGTCACCTGAAAGGAAGAGGCAGTGATCATTGTCACGCTGTCTGTGGAGACAGTGAGGACGATTCTACTGCCTGAAAACTGAAGGTTGATTTGACCCAGAAGGGCAGGCAGTCCCTTGCACACAGGCTGATGATGACAAAAAATCTGTTATTCTAGCTGGGTCTGTGTTGATTGCATGGGTGTGTGTGTGTCTGTGTGTGTGTTCTTTACCTTTTTAGTTTTCGCTGCTGATGTCCTCTCACACAGTCTACTGATTGCCTCTCTGCGCACACAAACAGATTACAAACATGTGCACATGCAGACGCACAACGGACACAGAGATACCTTTGTGAGTATGTGTCCGGTGTCCCTGCTAACATGTGACTTGCACATGAGAACGTGAGAGGAAGTAAACTAAATTACAAGAAGCTCATCTGCAGCGGGTTTTCTTTGGCTTTATACACTACAGAGGGAAAAAGTATCCCTTTTAAATACAATACTTTTACGCTTAACTTTGTATTTCTCGTATGTACTTTTTACTTTATGCATGAGGAATCGTTGCAGATCAACATTTAAAGAAAACCACATGTACATAGTCACAGACTGCCAATCAATCTTAGAAGTAGTTCAATGTTGGAATAATATAAAATGACCAATAAATCGATACGAACACAAATCCACCACTCAAAATCCGACAAAAACGAAAGCATTATGAGCCAGATGCACTTTTCCTATTGAATGTCAGTGAGCCTTTGCCTCCCTAGAGAACTATGCATTCATGTGTACGCAAGCAACATCCCGCTTTCTAGAAAGAAAGACTTTTTTCCAGGAAGTTCTTTTCTGCTCCTTGAAAACAAATAGAACGTAATGGATTGAGGTCTCTCTCCCTCTCTCGCTCCTCTTAATAAGACGATGAGAGATCATTAGGAGGAAATTCATCTAATTGGATTTTCTGCCCCATCACTCAGCGGGGCTGTTGTGAACAGCGGTAGCTGTGTCCTTTGGCGTTTTGGCATCCAGCACAAGGATGTCACTATCAAATGATGAGGAGAAAGCCCCGGTTTATGAAACGTTATACATTTAATTTGATTTCCCCCTTTAAAGATTTCTTTCAAATGAACACACATGTCTTGTTTGGCAAATATATGGATGTTTCTTCTTCCATGCGCACTGTCAGTAGTTCGATGCTCTTCTTTTATGTAGTTTGCAGTATCTATGTGCGTGCGTGCGTGTGTGCGCGTGTGTGCGTGTGTGCGTGTGGTGGGAGACTTCCTACCGTGTGACTTTCATTCTCATATCAAAGTCGAGGGTCCTCATGGACTGGGTCACCTCCACACTACCCATGTACTAGGAAAATACAACAAAACACCAGTTACTCACTGATTGGAGACGATTCACACGAAAGGATAGTGAAAAAAGAAAACCATGCAAACTGTTCTGTTTCTCTCTCTTTGTTGGATTATCATAATTTCTGGATACATTTAGAACTCTTAAGCACAATGTTCGGTTTGAAACCGCCGCAATGCAGATGACAGCCAACTGTATATATGATGACCTGAACAATGTAACTCGATTATCAATGTCCATTATAAAGGTGTTTGAAGATTCAAAGAGTTTCAGGTAGACTAAAAACAGGGTTACATCTTTTCGAAACGTTTAGGGATCACTCAGAATGCGTTATTTCATCCAAGAAAAAGCAAAAATCCGCCCATATTTTTTCTGACATTACACATTCGCATGATGCTTTTCTCTCTTCTTGACTGTTACAAAAAATCTTCAGCAGGACTACTTAGGAAATGGGTTTAAACAACGATTTAACTAAAACAAGTCTTAGAGTACAGCCTAGTTAGGGGCTCTGTGGCAATGCTAATGTGGCGATGCTAACATCAGGAATCATGTATTGCCAAAATATGTCAAACATACAAGGAATTTGTCTTGGCGGTTGGTGATGATGTTTAGCAGTTATTATTCTTAGCTTAGCATTTTAGCATGCTAATCAGAACAACATACAAACTACGGATCACCAAACTAGTTTCATCATAAACAACAAATACTATTTATAAGTTGGAAAAACTTTTCAGACAAGATTTCAAAATGACGTCAGTTAAAATTCATCTGAAAAAATCGTGAATGGCGTTTGATATTGAAGTGGCGCAGGGGTTAGAGAAGGTGTGCTGGGAAGCACAAGGTTGGTGGTTCGAGTCCAGGCTGCAAGACTCCTAACCCCTAATTGCTCCCCAGGCAAAAATGTGAAAAAGCCATGGGTTTAAAGTGTAATGTAAGTCGCTTTGGATAAAAGCGTCTGCTAAATGACCTGTAATGTAATGTAATGTAATGTATTTTAATGGTCGTCCAGCATGGTAGAAAAGAGCACATGCTGACTGTATTTTCTGCCTAAGATTTTGATCATTAATTAAAAATAAATAAATACAAAAAATTGCTCAAAGACCAAAACTGTATCCAGGTATCCAACACGCACTAAAGGAACACTTTTGAACGTGTTGTAAATGCAACCGGACGACATTTAGGCCATGTGCTTGGACACACTTTTTTGGTCCCATTGGCCGTGAGCTTCAGCAGAGCAAACTCTATGGGCCGGAGGCAGGGTGAGTAAGACCACTGATGGAGACCGGACTTAAATCAATATGCGTGCGTGCGTGTGTGTGTGTGTGGTGAGTGTGCGGCGGTGCGTAATGTTTGCGTGTGCTTGTTTATAAAGGACAATCAAACCGTCCGTTCTCATTCACATCAGTGGGCAGCTCACAGGCCCGGCTCTTAATCACCCATGCGGACACACCTCCGGTTCTAAGACAGCATGGGCTCTGCTGACACCGGATACACACACACACACACACACACGCAGATCTAGTGAGGAGCAGAGAGCCAGGATGAGTCACTACTGCCTACACAGGAAGCTCTATCTGGGAGGGAGGGGAGTGAGTGTGATGGTGTGGATGAAACTCTGTCTCTGTGCCTTTGCATCCTTCGTTCACGTGAAAATGTTTTTCTGGTAATAAAACCTCAACCCGCTGACGGGATCCTGGACATGAGGTGCGCTGCACTTTCTTGTAAAGTTTGAATGAAAGAAGCAACATTTTTGGAATAAAACACAAACATTTTTTAGGCAAATTGGGAGAAAAGTGAAAACGACAAAGATACGGTCGGGAACTCTTGGCGGCGGTCGGATTCCTGGTTGCCGGGTGATAGGTACCTTGATGTGATGGTGAACCATTCTGCTTGCCGTTCCCACCGCTGTGCAGTCCTCTGCAGCCGAGGAGGTCTTCAAAGGACCGTCTCTGCGCTGTGAGCAGGGAGGACAGTCGGCGGTCCTGGGGAGGCCGGCTACCCGATGCAGGGTGATGGGTCTTTTTGTGCAGCGCAGAGCGGCGTGAGACAGGGCCCCATTGTGGGGAGGATGGCTACAAAATCTCTGTTCGGGACCCGAGCCCCGTCCTGCTCTGGATAAAGGTCCCTCAGTGTGTCCATTAATGGTTCTGTCCCGCTCTGTGCTGGTCTGTCCCCTCGGTCCCCGAAGGGAAATTGGATTTTGCAATCGGATGTTGGCCACGCGGGGGATGAAGTCCCTCAGGGTGGACGTCCCGTGGTGTGGGGTCGCGCCCCGGGCCTCCACCTGGGCAAAATCAGAGTCGAGGCAAAGGTCCCGCTTGGAGGGCAGCATCCTCTGGGGCCGATCCTCCAGGGGCGTCAGCGAATCGTTGCGCAGACGACTGTATTTGGTGCGCTTCAACATGTCTGTGGGAAGACAAAACAGGGGCGAGACAGTGACACAATGAATGATGTCCGGCAAAGGGATTTCTTCATTGTCCTGATAAAGTCTTCAAAGGCGAGAGGAGACGAGCTACCTGGTAAGACTCCCGTGTGTGATTTGAACCTGGGTGAGGTTTGCACTCTCATAATCAAGAAACTGGACTGGGGGGGGGGAGAGCACTAGGACACAGCAGGAGAGAAATAGGAACGTGGCTCAGAATTATTACGTCCAGAGGTTTTGACTCGATTACGAAGATGTGAAGTACAGAAAGCTGAAAAAGAGGCAAGAAACGCAGTAAGTTAAGCACAGCATCCTTCGGCACAGTCAACTCACCAGCGTGGGACAGGAGACGTCCGCCGTAGCCTAAAGTTCCTGGTCACGATGAGTGACCCGTGCACTCAGTCGGCTCACAGCTCTACATCAACTTTCCTCCCCTCGGTCTCTTCTCTCTGAGGCGCACAGCAAGTGTGCAGCTTTTATGAATGAACTTTTCTTTTTTTTTTTTTATGAATGAGAGGCTCTCTCGCTCACTTCGACGGTGCATGCGGATGAATATGTGAATGGAGCGGAGGAGAGATTGACACACGGCCCCCGAGGCTCTCACCCCCTCCCTCACCCATAAACTACCATCCAATCACAGGCGGGTAGGGTGACTCATGCTGTACTTAGACACACACACACACACACACACACACACACACGCAGAGCTAATACAGTACATGAGTGCTGAGTCCAACATCAGTTGCGTCTGTGAGATGCTGTTAAAGAGGAAGGGCATTTAACTGAAACCTTTGAATTTCCCTTAGATTCCAATCAGAGCGATATGTCGGGGCGGTTTTACATATAACACTTATTACGGATTTAAAAGATGAATATATAATAGCAAAGCGTAGACAGAGCCTGGAAAATAAGGGTAAAGAACTATGACATTTAGATTTTTTTTAAACAAGTATTTTCTTTAAAGACACCTCGTCCACTGCATACGATGTGTAGATACGCTGGATGTGACGAAATAAGGCGGCGGCGAGTCTGAACGCATGAACAGTGTGCAGCAGAGCGTTGTCTCCTCCTGGTGGCTGTTTGGTCAATGTACAATACGGGCTGAGAACTAACAACTCTTCTGATAATCAATCATCTGCGTACAAACTTCTTAATTAATTAAAGCAGAATTCTTTCTATGAAATATTGAGAGAAAAATTCATCCCAAACCCAGAATACATTTACCATCATATGTGACAAAGAAAAGCAGTGAATCTTCACATTTCAAGACAAGGAAACAAAGACAATTTGGAACGTTTGTTTCAGCAATCGAATTGTGCGAGTGCTGATGAGACAGTGGATGGAAGACAAAAGTACCAGTGAAACGGTTTTACTTAAACAACATTTTAATGATGTTAATCATCAGTTCATATATATTAAGAGCAATAACAGGATTATGAGAAACAGCCTAGAACAATGTTGCTAGTGATGTACAGTCTGAAGGAGACGGTCTTAAATACCCATATAAAGACAAGGAACACGCTGAAAAAAGTACTTCATTGAACCGTTCTGTTTTTGTTTTTTTGTTCACATTAGTTACAAGACCTTTACCAGTACTGTATTTACATAGTGCAAAGAAACACACTTGCCGTCAATTAACTTAAACTTTAAACACTTTGATGGAAGTCAGAGCAACCAAAAACCTACACACAGCGTACTTGTTACCAAACTAGAAATACTTTTATAATCCCGCGGATAATATTCAGGACGCCGTCATGTCCCGTGTCGAGGCTTCACACTGCATTCCAACACGCCGCGCCGCCGTCGATTGGCTGAAATCTCACTGTGGTTCACTATCAAACACCGTTGTCCAATAGGATTCACGCCGTTAAAACGTATCGAATGGCTTTAAGGAACAGGATGATTGTATTCGTTTTAATACAATGAAAAATCAAAATCTCTTTTGTACACATGTATTTACAAAGGTCTGTGCACGACTGTGTGACTACCTCCAGGGCTGCTACGCCCGATGAGGGGGCGCCTCAGCTCGGGTGAAACCTGTGCGTATAATCTAGAAGAGCCCTAGAAGGATTGAGCCATATGCAACGCTATTGGTCAACTTGGGTATTGATGAACGTCTGAATACCAGTAAACACCGGCTTGTCCTATTGGTTAACTTGGCTTTTTTTTTTAAAAGCAAAAGGTGTTGTTAGGTCATTACCAAGGAGACCGCCCTACCGTATCAGAGAACAAACTCCACTTTTTCCTTTTCTGAAGCACAGACATCTGGGAACTCAAGACAATTCCAGTTTAAAACAATCAAAAGTTTCACACAGAGCCAAAATCAATATGACAAACCAATATATACTGTAATAGAACCACATAGAGATGGTTATATATACACAAAGCTCATTTTGCTTCTTAGAAGTTAAAAGTCATCTGAACACAAAATGCGAGACTTATTAATTGAACATTATAATAACACTCTGAAGACTGAGGAGTGGTTTTGGTAGAAAGAAATAACCCCCTGACACTGTAATGCTCTGTGACAAAAGCTACATATTAACCAAAAGGTTGTGAGGAAATGTTTTTCATTTTCTCATGGAACAAGGAGGACAAAAACAAATAACATGTACAATAAAGCTAAAGAACACAGCAAAAATGAAATGAAAACTATGTGCCTGTAAACAAACAAACACACACACACACACATGCACACGCACACGCGCGCGCGCACGCACGCACGCACGCACGCACGCACACACACGCACGCAGAGCTGTACTCCTCCTGAGCTCTGCATGAAACAAGATGGGAGCTTAAAAAAAAAAAAAAAAAAAAGGTTCCAACCTTCCTCCTCTGCGAGCCACGGGCTGCAGTTCCCCATCTCAAGCACTTGCTCCCAGAAACGTTGCAGACGGAACGAGTTCAGCCTCGGAGGAGGAGGAGAGTCACAGAGGAGAGAACCCTCTGGATTCAAGTGTAGCAGGTTATGGGCCGAAGAGGGGACCGCGTTAGTTGCCGTTTGGTGTGCGACGCTGTGTGTCGGTTTCTCTGTAATGTGTGTGAGTGTTGGTCAGTTGGTTGGATACCTGAGATTATTTCTGGTGTCAAGGGGCTGGAGACAAAGGAGAGAAGCTGCTGGTTGATGTGAAGGAGGATGTGAGAGCAACACAGGGAATGAGTATGTGGCAACAGAGGAGGGGGACGAGGAGGAGACATCAACCTTGGACCTTCTTAACCTCCACTTGGTCTTTGTCCTCGCTCCTCGTCTCTGCAATATCCGCTGAATCAAGGTCTTCCTCCTCTTCGCTGTGCCCTCTTTCCTCCTCCTCTTCCTCCTCCTCGTCTTCGTCCTCCTCTTCTGTGCTCTCCTGGCTCTTTCCCAGCTGCAGGTTTTCCAGGGTCTTTGACACCCAGTATTCAATGCGGCTGCTGAGGGTCGGCACCTCCACAGCGATTGGCTCGGGAGTGTAGTCCTCCTCTTCCTCCTCCTCCGCCAACATCCCGGGGACCAGGGTGGAAGTGGTGGAGGTGATGGAGGAGTTCAGCGGGCCCCTGCAGCTCCCGTCCAGAGAGCCCGTCTCTGTGCTCTGCTGAGACGCCAGCTCCAGCCGGTCGTCCACCCGGACCTCGTCCCTCTCCCCGTTACCCTGCGTCAGTGTCGGAGGCGCCGTCCTGGCTGTCTGGGGAGCAGTGGATGAAGGCGTGGCGGTGGAGGCTGACGTGGCGGGAGGCGTGGCGGCCGCGGCCTCGCCCACTTTGGGGGTTGATGTGGGGGGTGCAGGACGCCTCGGCTCAGACTCTACAGGCTCCAGGGCATCTGAATTCTCCACCATGCTCCTCCAGTTGGTCTCTGAAGGGATTAATAAACTTGTTATGCGCCGTAACTGGATCTAAGTACGTCCTCCACCACTGATTATGGTACTGAACCTAAATAACAGACAGAAAATGAGGGTGCTCACCGTACTCCTTTTCATTGACCTCTGAGATTGGCTCAGAGAAGATGGAGCAGAAGGAGATGGCAGAAGCAGCCGAGTGGTTGCGGGAGTGCCCCATGTGGTGCGGGAGTTTCTTGTCATTCTTTTGAGCCTCCTCGGCCTGCTCCTGCTCCAGAGCCGACACCATATCCTTGTAGGCCTTCCGGGCCTCTTCGGTCAGAGACACCAGACGGTTGAAGAGACCCTGAAGGAGGTTTAACCGAGGTAGTGAGAGGTTGTACAACTATTACACGGATTATTATTTGATTTATTCCTCTGTTAAGATAGATCGATGGGTGGATTATTCGCTGCCAAAAGGGTTTTAGTGAAAAGGGACTTACCTCAGCTCCAGAGTAGTTAAAAATGCCGACAACACTAACAGGCACTAGTTTGTTGACGCAGCGGCCGAGAGCTTTCCGGCCCAAAGCAAACACAAACGGAATCTCCTGATCCCGCGCCATGGCGATTACATTGTAAAGAGCCTCATCCAAACCACCTGCAACGTAGTAAAAAAAACAAAACAGTGACTCAACTGTACACAATTTAAGAAAACAAAGTCAAACAACAGAAAATACCAGCTATTCACTTGAGCACAACGTGCAAAGAAAGGTGTCGGTTTGGGTTTGTTGTAAAGGGGACGTGGAGGCTGCCCGGGTACAGAAGGCCTCGCAACACTGAAATATGGCCCAATGTAATGGTGGTACTACAACATTTGTTTACCTTTGGCTTGGATCTTCTCACAGTTGGGAGATATGAGGACACACTTAATCTTATTCAACTTCATGTGCTTGGTGACCTCTCGGAGACCCATGACCAGGCGACGTTTGGTTTTGGCCTTGGTGGGATCCTTCTGGTAGATCCGCTCCTGGAAGCGAACCAGTTCCTGTAACAGCATAGTGACGCTCTCGTCGATCTCCTTACTCAGCACCTGGTTACAATACCTGCGGAACGAAAAAATGATCGAGAGTATAGAAGTTACTGATCAAAACTGAGTTTTTATCTTTTGGGTGGCCACCAAGCGAACAGTGATGATCACCATTAATGGTAACTAGCACATATATCACTGCAACATGTTCATTTGAAGTTCTATGAATAGCTGATTGCTCAAATATTATTCATTGAATTACCCAAAGTCAAAAGAACATCTTATATTTCAGACTCAAAATTGTAAAAAAAAGATATGCCTGTTCTCTCATGTAAAACAACAGTTCGCTTAGTAGATAGTTTAAAAGTGTTATTCCAACTAAACAAGCATTTTTATGGCATCAACTTGGGATTTAAGGAATTGTGATGGCATCTCCCACCATTCTCTTACAGTTCATTAAAAAAAGAACCATAAGCAGTCTGACTGAAATGTGTGGCTTTCATCTTTGTTGCTCTTTGTGGAATGACTCAAAGGGTTTACTGCGGTCATGATGTCATGTTTGCAGGTCGGTTAAGTTTTAAAACTGTATGCATACTCCCAGGAGCTTTATGCTTTGGTGAAATAGTTATCGGAAGATCGACGTAGTGTGGCCTGAGGAGCGAGCGTCCTGGCGGTCACAGCCGAGGGGAGGACCTTTTGGAGGCTTTAAATGCTAAATCTGTTCAAGAAGGGTGGGCTGGGACAAAAGGCCCACAAAGAGGACACAGAGGGACAAAGCTGGGTTTGTGACCACTGGCATACAACTCTGCTAAGAAGGGGCAATGTGCTCGGCATCCGTGCCACACTCTACAATCCATTATTGTACAGTTTCGCCCTTAAGAGCCCCGGATAAACGTCCATAGCGCGCTTCTCCGTGCCACGGCTCTGGTCTCAGAGTGGGAGAAGTATTTGCTCTGCTCAACGCTTTCACTGCATTTCGGAGCCACTTCCATTGCAAAGGATTCCTACTCCGTCCTGTTGACTATTCCGTTCCTCGCTTTCTACTTACTCTCTGAAACGCCGGCTGTGGATCTTGGTGATGGCGTTGGAGGCCATGGGACTCCCGATGCCGGAGCTGGCGGGAGAACCCTGGGACACCGGGGTGATGCTGTATGGAGAGTTCTGACTGGCTGGGGAAAGGGACGCGTCGCTGGGCATGCTCAGACCGGTTTCTGTGGTGCACAGCAGAGCACAAATAACAATTAGGAAATGTGTGATGGATAAAAAGCAAGTGAATATTGGGTACACGTCGGAGTGGTGGTCACTTATGGTTTACGCCTCACCTTCTTGGGAGGCGGGCTCTCGTGCAAGATCATCAGTAAAATGTAAACTCTCATCCGCGTGCTCCTCCTGGCCTGAAGACTCCTGTTCCACACTAGTCTTCCCTTTCTTCCCTTCACGCTCCTTCAAGATGATCTACCAAAACACAGAGCGAAAATGGTTTTAAAAAAAAAAAATCATTCAAAAGATTTGCAGGTTGGTAAGACACTAAATATTTAGATCAACTCAAACTCCTTCACCTTCTTCAGGGCGGTGGGCCGTTTTACTTTGGGGATCTCTCTCTCCTTCCCCCTCTTGATACGAGGCGCGGTAGAATCCAGAGAATTGTGTGGGACGGAGTACGGCTGCTGGTGACCCTTCAACGCGGACGGCAGGCTGACCAAGCCTGAACCGTGGAACGGAGCGGTGGTTCCAACTGGGGAGAAGGACAACAAAGTTAGCATACAAGCGGAATGTGAATGCAGCACGAGCCAAAAACCCAGAAAAACCCCCAACTATAAACACTGAATGAAAGATGCTCAACAACACTGCACAACATACTTGATCCCAAGATGATACAGGCATGATTGTTCGGCTTAAACTACTTGTTGAGGTCTGACTGAGCTAATGAATACCTGTAAATGACAGTGGCTTCGTATTGTTGAGCTGTCTGGCCTTCATAGCCTGCTGGTGTTTCTCCAAAGCGGCCAGCATATCTCCCAGGTCCAACTCGACAGAGGTTTTGCTTTTCTTCCCTGCTGCTTTGGTGAATGCTTCCTGCAGGCCACGGAAAGAAAAGGCAGCGAAGGTCACACCGATGCAGAATGCAGCTGAAGACCAGACCGTGAAGGCCACGAGCCCGTCAGCAGCGAGAACGAGAACTGATTAAACAGGTCATGATATTCAAACTTCTCAATCTGAACCGATCCTACATCAGTTAGTCATCAAATGTCCGTACTTGTAATTTCTTTTGTTCCATGCTGATTTCAGAGTACTCTTGTGCAGTGGCCAGGGCAGCGGCCATAGCCTTCTTCCTCTGGCTCTTGGCCCTCTTGGGAACAGAGGTGGTAATGGGGATGGGTGTCTGCACAATGTTGATAGGGGAGTTTTCTGGAAGGTTATCCAGCTGTGAAATGCGTAGAAACACAAATGAGTATTTAGTAAGGGAAGAAAGGTACTAGAGTCAGATATTTCAGCTGCGTAGATGCACAAAAATAGATCGGACACAAATCGAGCAAATATCCATGTTTGCTCAAAAAAATCCCTTCAATGTGGAAGGTATTTTGTTAGAGGTCTGAAGACTCGCCCTACCTGAACTCTGATTGGTTACTACTCTTTTCACTGAATAGCATAATTTAATGTGGATATTTTCATAAAGACAGAAGCCTTTTCATATGAACCTGGTTATGAAACAAGCTTCCTCTATAGGTGCAATAAAATAGGGGATCCATTTGAGATTTCAATTTTGATGTAGCGTCATAGTTCAATATAATGTTTTACGTGCAGTGAATGAGTAAATTTCAAAAACGGCCCATTGAATAAAAAGACGTCGCCGACTGCTGCTCCTTCCCATGTGTGACTCGTTGAATGAAACCTGTGCCTCTCCTATACGTTTCTAATGTTTCCACATCGCATAGTCATGGATCTATAGAATGTCATTTTCTACAACGCTGCATCATCCAGAGAACCACACGCCAGGCTGGACGCTGACGTTAAAGTAACGCAGCTCCTGGTTCAAAGCAAAGCTGCTACTCAGCTATGTGTCGTTTGACGCAGAGAAAATAGGAAGCGGAACTGATGTTTGATGTCATAAACGTTTCCATGGTGGAACAGTAAACAAATTCCGCAATGGTGTCCATTCAGGTGGAGAGTCTGTAGATTTTAGTGATGCACCGGTTGACCCGACCCACATACAGTGCTTGGACTTCTGTCCTATTCCTGACAGTTTAGGTGCTGTGATGCATAAAGTTGGTTGTTTGGGGGTTGGGTTCGGGAGATTTCTTTTGGAGAAAGGCGGAAATGTGGTCAGCTGATAATAATTAACCAAAAAGAGGAAGAAAGGAATAAAATATGAAAAAAACCTGCTCTCTGGGTTATGTGGTGCGAATAAGGAGGAGTAGAGAGAGAGAAGGGGGAGGGGTCTTGACTTTGGTCAGGAAACATCATTTTGTGATTCATAACATGAAAGTGCAGTGCCATCACGGTTTTGTACAAGTATTAATATTGTATCCCCATTCAGTGAGCACCCTCATAGACAGCACCAACCAGACAGCACATTCCCGTACCAGGTTTTTAGGAAGTTTAGGTTGCGCGTGCGTCTGGGCTGAAGTAGATTCTGCTTTGGTGCAGCGTTGGGCAGCTCCTCCGCTAGCCAGATCTGGGAACTCATCTTCATCCTGACGCGAGCGTAGAAAACATTTTAGCACAACGAATGAACTTCCGAAATTTAGATCTACGAGGGGTGTGATGGCGTCAGAAAGCCCCTCTCACCTCAAAGTAGAGGGGGTGCGGGGAGACCTGGGTACCAGAGACCACAGCTGGCTGCGGCCGTTGGTGCGACAGGCCGGGAGGCCCGCGCCCTGCATAGCCAGTGTGGAACTCCTGGAAGGCAGAGAACACAGGTAAAACCGGGTAACACAGTGGGAAAATATGGAGATTTCTTGCTTACTATAGTTCTTAAACTGAACATGTCAGCAATGACACATTTCAGGACGTCACCTTGGACTTTAAGAAACTGGGATGTCCATTATTCACATTTTAAAAGACAGTCAAGTGAAGGAAACATGATTGGAAACTAATACCAGTGAATCTGCATCTGTATTGTTGGTAATATTTTTTATTTTTCTCTTAAAGGTTTTAGAGTCTGCTGCGGTGAGATCTACTGTACCTGGGAGAAGTTTCTCTGTTCAGAGTTCTTCCTCTGGTCTGCTCTGTGAAAGTGCCCGTTTCTGTCCCCCCATGACTGGGTCGCCTGAGAGGCCACATTTACCCAGGTGCCTGCTGGTGAAAAACTCCTTTGTAATAGGCTGCATGAGAAATATGACTAATGACAGCACAACATTCACCACTGTGAAGCTTACCTGTCATTACGCCAGTCTCTACTGCCTGTACGGAGAAAAAAAAAAAAAAAACGTTTAGATATCAAGTGTACGTTAAATGTGCACAAACACCGAGGGCAGGTTGATTTAAAGGACCATGTTACACCGTTGGGATTTGCTCGGTGCATTTGCCGCTTTGCGAGTTGAGCCCTTTATGTTGCGACATGTCTCTGTTGTTTTATTGTGGTACGCAGTAAACCAGATCTCTACCAGTGCCGTAAAAAAGAAAAGCTAATCCAATGATATTAACATCAGCATTTTAATGACAGTGATTCAACGTTCCCAACACAGTGTGAAACGAGATGTGGAAGTTCAGCAAAGACCATTTTCAGAAAAATAACCTACCTCCCGTTACAAATGCACGTATTTACGCATCGCAGGAAAACACATTTTTAGGGTGAGCGGCCAACTTACTGTGGGCGCTGCAGTGTTTTCGGCGCTTCGTTGCGTTACACCCGCAGCCTGGTTGTGTTTGGGGCTGCAGTAGCCGCTGTCGCTGTCTATGTCCGCCTCACTGGCGCCTTGCTCGCTGTAGTTTTCGGCCGGATGGGACGCCCGTCTTCTCTTTGTCTTGTTCTTCCACAGCTGGGGACTGGCCCGCTCCGCTGCGCACCTCCCTGACACCTCACCTGGGAAATCTGAGGACCAAGGAGGAGAAGCCGAGTTAACGTGTTACAAAGTGGAAACGGCTGTAATTATTAACAGGTTACATTACATTTAGCCGACGCCTTTATCCAAAGCGACTTACAAAACATACCAGTGTTGACACAAACATTTAGTCGACTAGATGAATCAGTGGAAACTTGGACGGTGTTCTTAGTATGAAGCTATTTGAGTTAATCATTAGCTTTCTTAGAAATGGCGACATCGCTGCAGACATCATGAGCGGCACACGGTTTAACCTTTCCAACTAGCAGCTCTGCATTCCGACTCGTTCGGAAGTCGTCAACATTAACAACCAGTGGGACCGGCCACAGGACTGACTGGCATTGTGTCCCGCTTTCTCTCTGACAGGAAAGCGACTCGGTCACGGGGCGAGGCACACAACCTGAGCAAAGTCTGGAATGTTTGAGAAAATATGAAGTGTCTTCATTTGTTGCAAAACGACTGCTTGCATGTCGTCCAAGTTGTCCTACATGTGTTCTATTCTCATTACTTAATAAAAGATCTGGTGTTGGGTCCAGTGAGAACTACTGCACCTGTGAGAAGTACGTAGGATTGTTCCCCATATCAGCTTCTCATCTGAAACTGTGTGGACAGTCATGGTAGAACACAGTTGGAGCTTACCGGTCTGCTGTGCCGCATCCACCAGCATGACTGTCTTGGTTCTACCATCAGGCCCCAAAGTGCAGACCTCCTTCTGGACAGCTACACTCCTGGTTGGAGGTCGGCGACCCCTTAGAGGTTGGCACACACCCAACTGCTGCTGTAGGAGAAAGGGCCGGGGCACGCTCACTAAATAGATCAAGGATGAGGACGGACACTTTTTCGCGGCACAAATACCGCGCAACATCAACGCGACAAGCCTCACAATCAGGTTACTGACCTTCTGTACATTTGGGGGAACATTAGGTCGCACCATGCCTCTACCCCTCTGACTGTTCATCCCGTACGCTGGCCCCAAAGGCAGCGGCCTTTCACCGACTTCTGCGGAGACGGGGTTGACCACTCCGGCTTGCACGGGCCCAGCGTAGGGGCCAGGGAAGGGCTGGTAGAAGCCCATCACCGGTGGGCACGGAGCCGGCATGATCTGGTAGTAGGCGTAGTCGTTGGAGACAGGAGGCTGGGGGGAAGACAAGATGGGGTAGGCCAGGTATGAACCACCGGGGCTGGGGTTAGGCTGCTGCCAGCGCAGCTCCCCTCCATTGTACATGGGATGTTGCCTGGGAAGGAGCGGAGAGGCAACATGTTAATGTACTTTGTACATGCTATGTAGACATGTTGATAAGGATCCAGATGACATTTTCACAGCCAGCCTACTATAGCAGGCACTTCCTTGCATTCAAATAGGCGGGAAGGAAACAGAGGAACGGATGTGTGTGAGGATACAGCAGATCAGCGGGACAAAGAAAGAGCCACTGGAAACATTGATTGTGGCTCCAAGTTAACCAGCTCTGGCCATTCATGATTACGCAGTCTTAAACTACTGCACAATCTAATAGCCCTCGCACCAAGGACACTGGATAGTGTTTTCTCATTATTGCTAAAGTAAATAATACATTGAATACGTTGTAAACAACACAAAGGATTGTTCTTGGGCGGTACCAAAGTTTGGGAGAACCGACTTCCCACAATACAGCAAACAATGACTATATTTCGGCCAAAGCGGACAGTATTGGAAAACTTTATATGGAACATTTTGGTGCACAAAATATACATATCTATCAATATCATGCACTACAACCACGGTTTCCATTCGCTCACCAGCAAACAGGGTTGAAATATCCTTGTTGAACCCCCCTCCCCTCCCTCTGAGCTAGAGACTGTACCTGTTGGGTTGGTTCTCCTGGACGAATGGGTAGCAGGTGATGAGGTAGCTGGGTATCGGCGTGGTTTCCACCCCTCCGCTGCCTCCACCACTTCCCCCGCCGCCGGCCTCACCAGAAAGACTCATGCTCACTTGAGATCCTTCCATTCCTTTCTTCTGCGGGATGAACGGTTCTACTTCGGCTGATAGCTTCACATCCTGCACCAAAGACAAATGGACGGCCATCAGCGCCGGACTGCGAGCCGGGGAATGACTGCGGTGCCCAATCGGAGTGGGACGGCGGTCTACGCCGCAGAGCGTTGATCAATCTCTCAAATAAAGATGGAGAGAATGTGGTCACTGACTGACTGCTTGTATTGTATCAAGCCCTCTGTGTTTGCATTGTCCGCATCTGCTCGATGCAACGAATCCTATTTCAATAAGGTTACGTCCGTCACACACACACACAACGGGAGAGTTCAACAGTGAAAGCGAGAATTCACATCGGTTTAGTAAGAAATCCTCCATTATTTCAGACATCAAGTTGATTGTTTGGATACGTTTACTAAGCTCTTAAAATGTATAAGACTAATAATACAGATTACAAACATCAACTTTCACATTGTAAAAACTTTAATGAGAGAAGATCTGTGTACAGGCATTTTCATCGTATTGCCTTGAGTAGGGAATGTCTTGATGAACAAAGAGGCTATTGATCAACCTCTCCTTTGGTTAGTTTTAATCACAGCTGGTCACCAATTTCGTCATACTGCTGGAGTTAGTTCAGTCCTCCATGTCTTCCACAATCAATAAACACGGTACCATAAAACCTTTACGAGTTCAAAGGCTACCAAACATCGAACTGAGAGGATCTAAGCAAAGTACACAGGATGTAAAAAGAGGCCTCCGGCTTTGTTTATTAGTTAATTTATCACACATCTGCAGCACAAACAAAATGGGTGAAGAATATTAACACCAAGCTACTGGTGATGAGCAGAGTCTCTGTACCCAAAAGCCCAAAACAGGTATTAGTGTCTTTGGGAAACATTTCATCTCACAATAGCTAAAAAGCTATATGGCTCCCAGGTACAAACACCAGACTTAACAAAGTTACAAGACACAAACTGTAGATGATTTTTAACAAATTAAGGGCCTAAAGTAACTCATACATTTGGAGTTCTCAAAGACTTTGAAAGATTTCGCTAGTTATGATATAAATCAATCCAGAGCAATTCACACTATGTGCACATTCACTAGTCGTCTTGTCTGATTTCACGAGTCTCCAGATTTACGACCTAGACACACAGCAAACAGTCAGATTGTTCTGCTGTAGGAACTGGGACGGCGGGCCACAGAAAAGCCAAAGATTTGCCATTGGGTCATTAGAAAGCCGAGCTGGGACTGAAAAGTACTTCCAAGCTCAAACTCGAGATGCAGCCTCAACTGGACACATGTTCAGTGATGACTCCAGCTGACCGGCAGGCGTGCAAACATCCTTAATAAACCACGAGGAAACAATCACATTAGAAAACATGCCATTGTTTGATGTGCAGTCCTATTTATATACAAAATGTAAAACAGCAAAGGCGCCATTGAAAAATGATGACGGATGAGCTCTGTACAAGCGGTCCTAAAATAATCAGACCTGTTGCTATTTGCAACGGGTGAGGAGAGGTGACGGGGTTTAGGGTACAAAGCCCGCCCCCCCCTCGCTTCTCTGAAACAGTGGTCGGGGTGCATGAATAGTCATCAGTGTGGCCAGTGGATGTCACACAGACAGCCATTGTCTCCCACTGCTACTGTCGGCGGGTGGCTTCTTTCTTCCTCTTCTTCCCTCCCCGTTAAACAGTTTATTTTGGGAGAGTTTTTCCTCTTCAGCAAATTTGGGATTTGGGGCAATACCATAATTCAAATCTAGCGCTCATCCATTCTGTTGTAAATTAAACTTGGTCTACCGGTTCACGAAAGAAGAAGAAACTGTACTTGTAATGCAATATTTTAGTATCAGCCTCAGTGCAGAGACCGACAAAGCGACACGGGTTTAAGGACCCGAGTAGGAGACCGGAATCAGCAACATGGCACATTACGACCGACGGGGTGTTGTTATAGGATTAAGTTTTACAGGATCAACTGCTCCAGGATAAGCTAATTATACAGCAAGCCAAAGTATGGAGGCCTCACTTGCAGCCATGGTTAATTCTTGAATTCCTAACAGCAGTGGTAAAAATCCAACAATCAAAAGGAAAGAAGAAAAGTTGTGAAAGAAGACAGAGCTGGTCAGAGGACACATCTCTGGAATCCATTACGTGTGTGTCTTTGTAGCATCCGAGTGTTGGAGGGCGGGTGAGCGAGAATAGCTGTGATTGTGGAAAAGGCAGTGCGGTCATACCCAGATGTGCATCGGCTGGGGGTGACAGATGTCGGAGTGGCCAGGCAGAGTTGGCTACTGATCTCACAAACCCTCTTTTTGTGCGATCGACTTATTCTTACACAAGTTGCATTCACACACACACACACACACACACACACACACACACACACACACACACACACACACACACACGAGAACCGGCTTCTGCGTTGAAAGAAGAGCAAACTCGTCGGATCTCCGAGGCGGTTCAGCACCAACGGAGACACAACTGACGGATGTCACAATACTCGATCGCACTTTTTTTTTCCCAGGTGTGACAAAAATCTCGCACATTTAACCTGATGAAACCGTGACGTCACCACCGCTCAACGCTAACCGGTCTGAAAGCCTTTTCACAAACACAAAACCCCGGCACGCGTAACTTTCTGCATTACTGACGGCGTCAAAGGAATTTCACACATGCAGAAGAACCGGATAGTCTCCTCTCCTGACGATCCACGAAACCTGCCCCCCCCCCCTCCCGACAACAACAAAACTAATGCACATTGCTGGTTAGCCGACTGAAACCGTCTCGGCAAATCTAACGCCACGTTTCTCCATTTCTGAGGAAAAACAGCTATCGTTTTTCACTCCAAATTAGTGCTGTCAGAAAGCTCCTCTGCTTCAAGCGACAAGCGCCGTCCAATGACAGGAGAGCTATTCAGCTTGAGGCTAAGCAGCTAGCCAAGCTAACTCCTGACACGGGACCGTGTTTCTCAGCTTGACGTTTGAGCATGAAATGAATGCCACCGAAATCGAGCTTACGGTTTCTTTACGCAACACGAAAACAACGCGAATGCCACTGTGACAGGAGACAATTAATGGATGTGCGCTATATGCGTTCTGCTTTTTCCGCCCCGAGGAGCTCCAGTTACCGTTAGCCGTTTTAATGTTAGCTTGCTAGCTAAACGGGATAACAGTTTGCACGGTTGCTCCCTATGACAAAACACGTAACGCCCGATAGCGGGCGGTTTGTTCCTATAAATCACCCAGATAGCTTCTTTAAACCACAACGATGCATCGCTGCGTTTAATAATAACGTTTATTTTAAATAACGTTTACCAGAGAGCGATGTCGGGCCTCGGCAGTGTTAACTGTCCGTGTTCCCTCTTCCACGAGTTTCACCCTGCACCCCCTCCCAAAAAAACACACCATAATTTTAAAATTAAACTGACACGTTACCTTATAGTCACTAGAGTCCATGTCAGTCACAGACACCGCGACGGAGGGTCATTGACCAAAGCGCGGACGTCAGGATGTGGGCCCTTTTATTTTCTTCATTGTGAATGGAAAATAAAAAACAACAACCACCACTGAAGGACTTGAGACTTACAGCCAGTTCCTACACAGCGCTCGCTGCTCCGCTCAGCCTGCGCCGACTGTTGCTGCGTCAGCTGGCGGCGCTCCGCGGACTTGCGCTGTGTGAGAGTGGAAATGGGAGTCACCTGGGACGGAAGCCGGGGCGGCTCAAAGAGGGGGACAAAAAACGCGTTAACGCGCGTCACGCGGCGAATGGAAACCCATCTCCAAAGGAGCGACTGGAATGAAGTACAAGAATGAGGGATTCGCGTCTCATTTGTTACAATTAAAAACACCTTTATTCGATGCCTCCTCACCAGTCAAGAGTTTATACTGTAGCTGGTCAAATTCAACAGAATCCTTTCAGTGGTGAGAGACATCTGTTTATTACCAACAGGCAACAGTATACATTAAAATATTGTGTACAAGTGTTCATACACATTTTGGACTTTTTTTTCTTTTCTTTTTAAACAACTGTAGCATTTGAGTGTTGCACGTGGAAGAATCTGCCAACCAGGAACATAAAAAACAGAAAAATAAGTGCCAGTGATTTCCTCTCGTCACAACAAAACAACACTTTGAACACGCTCTCGGGGTTCCTGGAGTCTTCTTTAAGTTGATGGCATTCTCAAAACCTGTGCTGTGCATCTTGTCTCGGACGATTTACTTGAAGAAGCACAGCAGCATACTTTGTGGATGTACTCATACGTGCCATTTTCCTTGTCTCTTGATTTTACATGCCATCATGTGAGCTTGCTAACAATGGCTTGGTTGAGAGAGTTCAGCTGATTTGTCCATTTGTCTAATGCTGTGTAGCGAGCCCCTCCTCTCTTCTGGTAGTCCAATTCTAGTAGCTGGTTCACTTGGTCAATTCGGCCATGGATTGTGCTGAAAAAGATGGATAAATAAAATTAAGAATTCAAGCCACGTATATAATAACTGAAACTTGAACAGTTTCTAATAGTTGCGTGGTACTGCAAACTTTACCGAGACATGTCTACGGTTTCCTAAACTTTTTTTTTTTTACATTAATAAAAATGACCAAAAAAGAATTTCTAACACAATAGAGAATGATGGCAGCAATATAAAAGTTTTTAGTATAGATGTTTCCCTCTGAACATCAGAATAATCTGATGTTCTCCCCTGCCACTTGACGGTAAATTATTCCAGAGAATGAGAATTATGACAATCATCTAGCACAAGCTTTAATAACCGTCAACTCATACCGCCTGACTCTTACAAAAGAATTCAATGAATGAGGAACAACTTATTTACGGGAAGCAAACTTTTTATCTTTTTGACTTCTCAGCAAGAGCATGCGGGAGAAACTTACTTGTCCAAGATGCACTGCACCAGCAAACTCTCCACATCACACACGTCAATGTTCAGCTCCTGTAACGGAAGAGCAGAAAGAAGAGTCATCCTCACATCTGTAAAGACCTACATCAACTAGTACGACTTCACATTGGAGGAACAGAAGCCACCGATCTGGTTTTAAATTATTATTGATGTTGAGAAAGTCTACCATGCCTAAGTATGTAAACAACAGAGCACACCAATAATTAAGAGTGAACGTCTTGAAACGGCAATAACAGCTTTCTTCAAATTATACTTTTCTCATCATCAACACAAAGCCAAAGAACGTCAGTCACATCTGTGCAAATGTTTGTCCAATAGTATTAAGAAAAAACAATCAACAGAGGGAAGATAACAGACGGTCAACAGGTTACGCTGGGATCATTTACCTTAGATATGAAAGGGATGTGTATTCTCGTGTACGGTTTGATGAGTTTGATAAGCACTTGAGTTCTAATGTTCCGCAGGAGCTCTGAAACACACAAAGATACATCTTATCACGTTGTTTCTAAACACACCTATGACGCACATGGTCTGCAGTCACGTTCGCCACTCACCTTCTATGTGCTCTCTAATGAAGGGGTCGTCCATTATGTTACTGTGATTCGTTTTCAAGATTTTCTCAAATTCAGTGATGTCATTGTTCTGGTAGGCGCTGCGGAGGAACAACAATTATTGTTTTTACACCACATACAATGTGTTTCCGTGACCCGAAACACAACTCATCCTGATAACCGTCCAACACATTTCAAAGTATTCCATTTTTTTCTAAACACTATTCTGATTACAGTTTGGGATGTCCGTTGTTAGTCTTTTGTTTTTTCAATAAAAGTGTTGAATAAATGCATGGAAACGGAGTCGAATTGGGTACGTGCCAGTTACTAGTGGTAACAAAGAAGGGCAGACAAGGAAGCACCAGCAAGCAAAAAGTCTTAGAAAGACATGAATCAGATTACATACTTTATACAAATAATGTGCAGAGGGATCTGATGTGTAGGTTAGATGAAGGCCACTATTGTTAATGTATTCTTTTATTTACCAAGAAGAAAAAGGGACCCATTAATTACTCTGAACATCAAATTGCAACGATTAGAATGAAACTGGGAAACGAAGAATGAGAAGCACGTCTGTAAAGTAAAGTAAAAGTAACAGTAAAACCATCTGGGTCCAAAAGATAACAATACATTTAAAGACTTTCATCAGCAGCAGCACTCCAAATCTATAGATTCAGATTCAACAAAAACATTTTACACACCAACTGTGTTGTTATAGATGAAGATGCAAAAAACAGTCAAGTGCATGTAAAGTGTGCAGAAGGTTTTCTGGCCGCACCTAAGGTGCATTTGAATAAAGTAAAGTAAAGCTCTGGCCATCAAGATGGTACGGAACTCTGAATTAGTTTGGTGAGTAAAATGTTATGAATAATGCCCAATGCCATAAAGTAAGACTTCTGTTTAAGGACCAAAAAATACATTAATGTATGCTTACCTGACTAAGTTTGTCATCGCTAGAATTTCCGGGTCATTTTTGTATGGTTTGGCCTGGGGGGGAAAAAACATTAAATATTACATCTGGAATTCAAACTTAAAGCAAAGGTCATCCGATTTGGCACAACAATTAATACAGTAAATTATTATATAGACCTTCTGGCTCAGCAAACATAAACTGCCACCTAAACAAAAGAATGTGGCAACTAGAAGTCTCTGTCTTACGTTTCATATTCTTACATACAGTGTGTGGAGGGTTGTTAAAATTAAACATTTCCAACAGTAAAATGATTTCCATACCTCTTGTGAGTCAAAGGGGTTTATTCCCGACTTCATCAGCATGTTGGCTAGGACCAGGTACTTCAGGCACGTCGTCCTTCTTGGGCTGCCAGACTCATCATAGTTTTTAAAGGCCTCAAAGAAGTCGGTGTGAGCTTTCTCAAACTCGCCCTCTCTCAAATGCATCTTCCCACCACACTCTGGTCAGGGGCAAACGAGCACAGGTCATTCGTTTTCAGTGTGACAGTATCGCTTTACACAAAGCAAAAATACAGTGTTAAGAAGGAAGGAAGGAGATATGTGCACCAACATTACCTCGGATAACTCCCATTATGAGCGGGTGAGGAATGGCGGATTTAATATGAAGTGACTGCTCATACAGTGCTTTTAATTTCTTGTTGTTTTTTTGTGCCGTGTACATCTGGATCTCCAGAGCATAAATCTCCAACAGCTGCGTGCCTTTCTTCAGGTCATCCTCTCCGTCGTCTGTCTGTTGTTTAAAACAACCACTTATTGGATCAATATTGTGTTCAAATCTATATACACACATTTAGCGTTGCATATTTTTGTATCAATAGAAACCCCCCCAAACATATTCTTGCACAGACAGACAAAAAAAAGTATTAAAGGATTCGCTTACTACCTGACATGACTGGTGAAGTTGCCTCAGGATCTTCTGCAGTTTCCCATATTCCTCCCTCTCCAAGTAAAGCTTCCCCAACTGCAGAAGAACAAAAACAATTTTAAGATTTTTTTACAAGGAAATTGTGGTTCATGGCCACATGGAATCAGTGAGAAACCTTTTTTATACCTTTGTGTTAGTTTTAAACCACAGTCTGTCATTTTTTGCGTCTTTCAAAGCCTCCAATGTGGTTTCGTAGAACTCCTGTAGTAAGTCCATCTAGCAAGAACACAAATAAATTTCAGGAAGACAGATTTAGAACGTCAATTACTGACAATTATATTATCCCGTCACATATTGTCTGTCCTTACCTGTTTGGAGGTAGAGATATAGTCCAGAATAGAGTTGATGGACTTCTCGGAGTAGTTCCTGGTGACGGCACTTCTGATGTATGTAAGGAGCTGTTTGTACCTGTTCATCATCTCTGGGAAGTTTGTCTACAGGGTTGAGACATAAAGAAAACAACCTCTCAAAACTCCCGACTGGTACGGAAGGTTTCAAAAAATGATGGCGTATCTTGCAGAGCCTACCAGCTTGAAGTTGATTTTGATCATCTGTTTCAATGCTTTGAATCCCCATTCTCCTTTTTCTCCCTCTAGTTCTAATACCTGAACAGAAAACGCCGACAAATGGATGTAAATATTGGGCTTTTGCATAATTAAAAACAAGCACAGCTTGCTTTGATTCAGTAAGACTTTACCTTCTGAAAGCTGCTGAGTGCGGCTTTGGGATCATCCTCCTTCAAGGCTTTAGAGTTGTAGTACTGGTTCTCCAGGTCCACGTTCGGTTCTGAGTTACTGTCCTCTGAGTATTCCTAAATGTAAGCACATAATCATATCAAAGTCCAAATCATAACAACCAGTCGGACATTCAAGTTGCACGCTGCCTGACAGAAATACTCCCGAAATGTTTTGCTAACCAACACAAATCAGGGGGGGAAACCGGTTGCCCCTGGATATAACGTTACGGTTCACCGTCAAATGTGCCGTGAGCTAACGTTAGCTAACACCGTGGCGTGCTATCTAGCGGGGTGGTTTGCTCTTGATGCCGGCGATTCAAACGCGATGGCAGCTGAACGCGTATAGCTAGAGTTAGCTATCCACGATGGTTAATGTGCATTAGTATTAGCCAACTGCACTAAAGCTAGTGGCTAAAACCAACGGTCATTAGCCGGCCTGGAAGCTAACGTTTGTCATCCGCTGTCAGCTTGGTATTAGCCAACAAGCTAGCTAAACAGCTAACATTAGCTAGCCCGCACTGCCGACCCTACGCTGTACGCGCCCAACGGACAAACGGTTAGAGTATAATGCACAAAGTAA